CACCACACACTGTTCCTAGCCTCCTCAGAATACCCCCAAATTGGAGCGACAGACAGACAGAAACAATCTCTTTAAACATTTTTTTAAACATCTTTTAAACGAGGCTCCAATAGCCACAATAGCCAAGTGTTAAAGTTCATGAAAACTTTACTTTACCTACTTCTGTAAATGTGAGGCTAAATTTACCTGCCCTCCCTGCAATATTCTTTTCTTCTTCCCTAAATGTCAACAGTTCTTTTTTAAACTCCCCCAAAGACAATATTACGGACTTTCCCCTGCATCTTTAAATCCAGTATTTCATTGCAATAATGATTGTATTAAATATCTTTATTCGTGGGGAATTACCGGACAACCCTAAATGTCTATCTATCCAGTCGATATACCGTACATTGATTCCCTTAGCTCAAACTTAGCTCACGCACACACACGAACGCACACACACATACATATACACACACACGCACGCACGCGCACACACACACACGCACACACACTAACCACACAATCACGAGCGCGCACGCACATCCACACACACCCACACACACACACACGCACCCGCGCGCACCCTCACACTTACACACCCACCCACGCACACACATACAGCGGCATATCACGATATTTGCAGAGAGGGGGTGTTGTCCCCGCGTGCCTCTGTCCATTTTGTTTTGTTCTGCTGTCTTGGCCCTCGAATGGGGGGGAGGAGGCACACCAGTGCCCCACTGGCCCTTTTAACAAATACACCATGGCCATACTATGATCTTATTAGTTCGCTTGTATTCACTCAAATATAAATTTACATAAATTTCACTCTATTTTTACCAGTCTATGCTCTTAGGCATTGAATTACATACATGCAACTAATTTATTGCTACAATTGCAAATACTATATTTCTTCCAATGAAATGCTATTAATTTCAATATAAATGTTGTCCATACACCTTCTGACGTAAATCTGACTTTCTTGTGTTTAACGATTATCATCTAGCGGTACATTGGATCTGTTATAGATTATTGAAAAAAAATGTTATCGCTTTGGAAAAAAGGCATCGTTTAAAGTGCTCTGCTGAACGACTGTCGATGGAGAACCGTCTCCCCCTCCCTCAGTTCCCGTGCCCCTCCGATTGGGTGTCTTAACATTTTTTTCTCCATTGGAATTAAATACACTGAACTTGACTGCTTACTAGTCCATCATGTGCTACGTTTTAGAGTCACCTGCTTAATTGTTCGTTACTGCATATTATTATATACAACTGTCAGAAAAAAACCTTCACAATGATAACCCATTTTACAACAGTTCGTCAATTTATTTGCTCGAACGGAGAAAGATAATATCTGATACTTTTTACACACAGGCATTTGAGTTTTTCTTTACCACAATCTTTCTAAAATCTCTCTTTAAAGGTACTATGTCCCATTTGCAGGCCAAAAAATGAAAAGGTTAAATTCCAACGGTATGTGAAAGATAATACTAATTTAGAACTTCCCTAAAAATAAGTGGGGCTTGAAAATGTCTTCAAGTGGGAAAATAACGACTATTAGTTGTCAAATCGACTTAGGAGCTATAGAGCCAATAAGTAATAGTCTTGATTTTCAGACCATTGTACCGAATGGTCATACGTTTCATGCTGCGCAAAGATTCAATCAGTTTAATTTTGGCCATCACAAGAAGTGGGTTATTGATGTAGACAAATGCTCATGTACCCTTGACAGCTCATTTTATGTATGTTATTACCAAAGAAGAAAAAAGCCAGTCAGTCACTCAATAGTGTCTGACAGTGAAATATAGCAAGTAAACGGTTTCCTTGCATAAGTTGAATATTAGGACACTGCTAACGTTTAAATTTCACAGATAAGACATACAAGACATATTTATAATTCCTGCAAAGTACTACAGAATGTTAGGTTGGCTGCAAAAGGGACATAGTTCCTTTAAAGGCAGTCATGTCATGTCGAGAGAATTCAAAAAGGCAAAGGATGTGTTTTGCATCAGCAGCACAAAATAATATATGCACATGCATGTTATTAATGCAAACTGTCACTATAAAGATCAGCGGAATCCTGTTGAATATTTAAGATAAGCAGATTATGTACGTTATGTTTATAGTGTTGTCAGATACAGGTGTATATTGATGTGTGGTAACGTATGTTGACTTACCCGTTCAAAATATAAAGCTCTCGTGCCTTAAACTGGACATCATTTTGTAATAGAACACATGCTAATGAACGTAATGGAAAAAATGTCTGCTGTACACGGGACGACATGTCGATTGGGTTATTTTTATGATCTTTTACAGAGATTGCACTGTTTATTTTTCATTCATTAACGATTCGTACATTTTCACACATATACTTACACCGAACATAGACATACCCCACCCAGTCTCTCCCTATATCTCTCTTTGTCTCTCAAACTTCTCTCTCTCTCTCTCTCTCTCTCTCTCTCTCTCTCTCTCTCTTTCTCCCTTCCTACCATTTTTTTTTTCTCTCTCTCTCTCTCTCTCCTTATATATTTCTTTACAATATTCATCTTTTCAATGATATCCATACGATATACATGGCTACTGATTTAGAATTCATTTCAGTCAATTTCGGAAAATGACGACACTACCTCACCCGACCGAACTGCCCTCAATTCAGCTTGATATTGTTTCATCTCTACCGCCCTCCCATGGTGGACTTGGTTCATGTGTCTTGGCAAATATGATTGTGGTTAATTCGGGCTCCCGTTCACTCTCGTGTTAAGTTGACAATAATATGAATAAATGATGTTTGTCTCTCTCTCTAAGTGCCATATCGATTGACTTTGGCGATCATGCTGTTCCACAACCCTCGGTTCCTAGCCTTCTGTATTAGTACCACTCCCAGTTCTTTCACTCCTCTCTCTTCCAACAATTTCTGCAGACTGTCCATCCAAAGTATCCTCCTTCTTCCCCTACTCCTTCTTCCCACAATTTTCCCTGTCAAAGCAAGATTCTCTAGGCCTTCTTTACGTGTAATGTGACCCATGAACTTCAACTGCCTAATCAACATCTCACGTATCATTTTCCTTTGCACTCCAGCTCGTGTAAGAACTTCCTCATTTCTAACTCTGTCAGTCCAGGGGATTTTCATCATTCTTCTTACGAACCACATTTCGCAACTTTCCAAACGCTTTTTAGTATCAGAGGTTAAAGTCCACGTTTCACTACCATACATAAGTACTGGGTAGATGTAACAATTCAATACTCTTATTCTGGTCCTCATACTCATTGTTCGATTTGTCAGAATTTTGCCTAGCTTTGAAAATGAAGATTTAGCGAGAGCTATCCTTCTCTTGATCTCTGTCTCACATCTGGCATCCTCGGTGATCATGCTGCCGAAGTAGTTAAATGAGGAGACTTGTTTAATAATATGTTCTTTCAGTTTCAAGTTACATTTTGGACTGCTCTTCTTAGAGACCACCAGGCACTTTGTCTTGGTATAGTTGATCTCTAGTCCCATTCTCTCACTTTCTTTTACAACTACATTCAGGAGTCTCTGGAGATCTTTCTCTGATTCAGAAAATAAAACAGTGTCATCAGCATATCTAATATTTGTGATTGAATGGCCACCCACTTGTATCCCATTTTCATCTTCCAATTCTCTTATAATGATTTCACTATACATATTGATCAGGTCCGGCGACATAACACAACCCTGTCTGACTCCCCGTCCGATGTTAATATATTCACTACACTCTCCTTCTACCTAGCCTCTTGTCGATGCCCTCGCGCTGTTGGAGTCTCTAAATTCTGACGAGCGAAGCGAGTCAGAGAAACAGAGGCGCCTCCGCAGCGCCTCGGTTTCTCTGACTCGCTTCGCTCGTCAGAATTTAGAGACTCCAACAGCGCGAGGGCATCGACAAGAGGCTACCTTCTACCCTGATTGAGAGTATTTCGGTGGAATTCGTTTTAAAGGTAAAGACCAGTAATGGTCATGCGATTGCATTGTGAAAGAAACGTTGTGGAATCGATCAGAAAAGGTCGATCATCTAGCATCTAGCATCTGCAAGGTTCTGGAATCATCAAAATGATAAGAAATTTGGCCCATTCTTCGTAAAGTTACTAGCACTATACACAGAAAGATGTATATGGGACTACCCTATCTCTCTCACCAGACCATGAGAGAATTAAATTTACCAAATATATGAATTAGTAGGCGGTTTCCCGGCAAATTTTGTATCATCATGTATTAGTCAAAACATATTCTTTCACATGATTGGTAATGAGAGCTTCCATTTCATTTTTTGAAATTGGGGCGTTGCCAATACTGGTCTTTACCTTTAATGTAGATGTAAAGTAGATCAGTGACAAAAGCAATTGATATGATATCAAATTTGTTCTGCCTGCCCTGATGAATTAGTGTGGTGCGCACTGTAGTGGTGGTGAAAAGAAGTCTGTGAAGTACCATAGGTGTTGTTATAATCTTCGACACTTAATAATTTGCTGCCATTTGCTTCTAAACTAGAGATGAGTATGTGAATTTCGCCGGAGAGCTTGTAGGAAATTTTTCCAAACAGCAAGCGAAAAAAGTAGGCGAACGAAAATTGTCAGTATTACGGCCTATTTCCAAATTTACCCAATAGTTTAAAGTAATATGCTGTTCAAATTCCTAAAGGAGAGTATGATTACAGATTTTTTTTTAATGACTTTTCTCATTGATATTTGCATTAAAATCAGATACAACGAGAATTTCAACAGAATTCACCAAAAGTATTTATTTCCACGATTGTATAATGACACATCTCTCTCTCTCTCTCTCTCTCTCTCTCTCTCACTCTCTCTCTCTCTCTCTCTCTCTCTCTCACACACACACACACACTCTCTCTCACACACACACACACACACTCTCTCTCTTTCTCATTCAACCTCTATGACGCTACAATTATTAAACGCAAAAAATGATATGATAATAACGATGATTGAGTCTTAGACCATTCACATTCACCAAGATTTAAAAAGAAAGAAAACATTACAACCAAGTCCATTATCTTGACAAAGATTATTTTTAAGAACCATTACCAAAATTATATTTTTACAAATTATACTCATAGACTTGAAAAGTTTACACAATAAAACACCTTACTCCTCCAAACATACTTAAAATGCACTTAGTAGATAATAATAATTTACAATACTGTCATTATATTCTGTTTCTATATAGCGCATATCATTATGTGTTTTTTAAAAGCTTGGGAATTAGTACCAACTTGATAGCAATAAGGTCTTTTTTAAAGCCTGACGCCTTATCATAAAATAATACTGTTCTCCTTGATGGCCCTGCAATCAAAATTATTACCCCGTCTCCAGCAGAACTACCAGGATAATTTAAGGCACTCAAAATTCTACGAATTTCTCCTTACCGGGTACCCGTTTATTTCACATGTTTCGAGAGTTTCAAAATAAGAATTCCTTGCCAGATGCAAATACTTCAGAGGAAGATGGCTTATACACTAGACTAGCTATATACGGCAGTCATTAAAAGCACACGGTGCATTTAGAGCAATGTGTTGTGACAATAAAAGTAGTACATGTAATGATAACAGGATTTTACTCTTGTATATCGCATATCACAAAATGATAGTCCATATACCCTTCCAAGGAGCTTTTAATTAAATCATCAAAGTTATCCCCAGCTTAATTAGCCTAGCTATAGCTACTCTAAAAAGGGCTTTGTAGCATTCACGAAATAATTATCCACCGGAACCCACTTGCTTCACCTGGCTCGAGTGTGGTACAGGTAATGTAGATTAATGTCTTGCCGGAGGAAACTAGTACCGTGGCAGGGATTCGATCCTCGTTCCTTGTGATCCACAGATCATCCACTGCTTGGTTAATTTTCCACAAGACCATCATACGTCCACCATGGTTTATGCATGCATCCATGGCCGACGCACATTACATTTCAAGGAATGTGTACTTTCCTGATATCGAACAAAAATAATGGAAGAATGTTCAGATTAATAATAATAATAATAGTTAAACATTTGTGTACAGCGCATAATACATAGGTATAATATTATTTTTGCATGACTATTATCATGTGCCTTACAGAACAGAATACAGAAGGAGTGGAAATGGTAAACTGGGTTCATAATTATTAGATCTTACAAAGTGTTAAATAAGTATGTTTTAAATTACTTCTGAACTTGTTAGAAGTTACTATATCTATAAGGTATTTCGGCAAATAATTCTATAACTCGGTGGCTGCATATGAACATGACCTTTCCCCATAAGATTGCTTTGAAACTTTGGCGTATGGGCTTAATAATTTTAATGTACGAATATACCGCATTTCAAAATAATGCCCCTTTTGTAAAGGGTTTATTTTTCAAGGTCGTCCACATACGGAAGTTTCGGCTCGTTCGGGAAAGCCATTGCCGACTTGCCCGATTCTCGACAGTAGATGTATCAGCTCGATCTGCACAATCTTATGTATTTAAATAAAGGTAACAGTTTCTTCATTGACAATATAAGTATCTCAACACCAGCCGGTACCATTTTGATACTGTTTCAAACTGCTACGGCAGTTTCGGCTCGTTCGGGAGAGTCTCCTTCGACTGAGATGAAAATCGCCAGTCCAGCAGTTGATTAAGCTCATCAGATATTATCTATAGCAAGATTTATGCAAGCATACTTCGATCATTATATCATCGAAATATCTTTACTGATATTAATGGAAGTATTTCTACACCGGCCAGTACCGTTTTGATGCCGATTCAAGCAGCTCAGCACCGGAACTTCTTGTAAGAGGTTCATTTTCTGTGTCGGTAGCAACATGCGGGAGTTTCGGCTCGTTTGGTAGAGCCTCTCTCGCCTGACGTAATCCCTGCCAATAGATATCCAATGTCCATAGATACTCGCGAGTTTGGTTTCCAACGCGGTCGTAGTCGTGGTCGCCTCGGCGGTCAGGGCGGAAGACGGCTTGTCGCACCGGTTCAAACGCCTCGATACACCCCAGGATGGCGGTTCGAATCTCCCGTAGATCTTGATCTAGTCGCGTGGCGTCCGCTTTGTCCGTTGAAAGACTTTTAGAGATTCTTTCCGTTTTAGTAGACTCCTACGATAGAACAGATCAAACGAAACATTAATTTAAAGAATAAAATAAGTTCAAGATAATCATAATGAGACCTTTTCGACATGAGTTTTCCATTACTAACGGTTAATCCGGGTACGTTCCTATATAGGGCATGTTTTACTAAAATCATGACGCTAACGGGACCCTGCAAGATTCTTGGGGCTCTCCTCAGATTAGAGAACATGTGTGATTTTACAAGCTCTCTTTGCTCAATTACAAATGGAAGAACTAGTTAGTTGATTTTGGGGCAAGAGCCTGAGGTGATTAGCCCCCTTGGAAAAAATAATGCTGTGACGCCTATGAATTTGGACATAGACTTTGCTTACCTTTGTAAGTGTATTGATCAGAACTGGCGTGAAGATTTTCTCCGGTTTTGTATCCTGGACAGCACTCAGACTCTTCTGCAGTCGTTCAGTCACCTCTACAATCGGTAACAACGCCTCGGTCAGTTTTTGAATGTTAAAAAGCCTGGACTGCGAGACTAATGTTGTCGCTTCATGAGCCGCGTCGAATTGGCGCTTTAGACAATCCGCGCACGGTCGAAGATGATCTGCTGCGGACACCAAGAGTTCGACCGAGTTGCCCAATATCCCTACATTGCCGCCGACATTGCCTTTGGTGTTGCTTGGAGTCATTGGTGACTTGGCCTCTGGAACTGTAGACGAGTTGTCCCGATGGGAATCAACCGCTTCGTCCGCCTCAAATGCATAATTCTGCGTTCCCAATGTCTGATGCTTAGCTTTGTTCGGCGCCATAGTTCCTCCTAGATGACGGAGTCTGTGAAACTTACGTCTTGAATTAGGCAACGTCACATATTTTCGATTCATCTGAAGGAGAAAATTGTTCTACTTCTTAAAGAGGAGTTTACGGGTTGTATCTTGAAGTCAGCTATCGTCACGCTGTTCCTCCTGCGGGTTCTGCCAAATAAGTTAGGAAATGAAATTAAGATTAATAGCGTATTCTTCAACGTTTATGTAAAATGTAGCTTCTATTATCAAAAACCATTTGCACACGACGCGTCATTTGCTGACGCAAGACTGCGTCAGCTACTGTATGACATCTTTTTGACGCACCGCATTTGAGTGTGACAACGCGCACAGTGTGAACGCAAAATGAGCATTGCAGCCAAATACTGCGTTAGATTACTGGCATATGCGTTAATTTCCTTCAAAGTCTTGATAGGACAGGTAATAACGCAATCGAATTGACGCATCGTGTGGAATAGCCTGTAAGATTGGTAGTAACAAAATTGTTAATGATTTATGTAATGAATGTGAACGTGAATTATGATATAAACTAAACTGAAACTGAAACTGAACCCGCAGAATAACTAATTTGGGGATAAACGATTCAAATATTTAATGAACACACTCTATGAAAGAACTAAGGAACATTCGGGAGAGGGAACAAGGAGTGATTGAAGAAGGGGAAGTTTTAAAAAAAATTATATCATAATAATCACACACAAATTTACGGAAATCCTCAATGTCTAAAATAGATTTTTACATTCCAATTAATGAATCTATGACACGTTATTAAAACAAATATAGAACAGTGGACAGTGATGACTGTTTAAGGCTCGTACGTGTCGCCTTAATGGCCCACTTAAAAAAAAAAAAATAATCAAGCCCATGTATTATAAATAATCGGATACCCATTATCATAATAATTCTATAAAGTTGATGTATCATGTCGAAACACAAAACTCACCTCTCCTGCAATCTGAGTGGCTCTTTGTCCACAAACTAAATTTAACTAGGTCCTCGGTTTGATGGTAGAGGCAAGATGGTCCAAGCACATCGCTACATTTACAGGAGAGGATCAGGAGCGAGTTTGATCACAATGGAATAGCTCTCTCCACAGTGATGGTTGATTTTCATGTAAGTAGATCACTCCTTGTTTTCTGTAGTATAAAAACGTCACAACAAAGATAAAATTTAACGACATCATGAGACCTCGCGGATCCTGAAGGTACTCCCAGTGGCGTGCATGTAATGGATCCAGAAAAGGCGTGATGGTAGTATGTGCCCCGGTAAGGGTGTCTGGAAAGGGGTTTCCTTTTTCTCTCTAGGGTGGAGAACTTCTGCATTTTAATCTGTCGGAAACAAGTTGACTTTGGTATAAGATATTCATTTTTACATAGCCTACGGCCAAAATTATCTCTTGCTAAAAGTAGGCATATTAATTGGGTTGAAGTAGCCTCTCTCAATGTCCCCCTAATCTCCTTCTCTCTCTCTCTCTCTCTCCTCCCTATCCTTATCTGCCTGTCTCTCGCTGTCTCCGCCTGTCTGTCTATCTCTCCCCTCCCCCTTTTTTCCTTTTCTCTCCGTCACCCCTCCCTTCCTCTTTTCTTTCTCTGTATATCATTTTATAAGAGTGCATCCCCTCCGTACGCGCCCATCCCTACGCCACTGTGTAAGCTTTGCATTTATCGAAATGTTGTAAACCATTCTACCTTTAACTTCTTTACATATTTAGGTCAATCGTTTCGCATTTCAGTTGCATAACTTCAAGAAGGACATTTTGTCAGATTTGTCATGGTAGCAATAAAAGATCAGCCTATCGGGTTATTGTTCGTGGATCTTTTTCTTTTCCTGGTATCCACGTGACTCACTCTAACAAATATTGTTATTTTGCATTCATTGTTTTCTTGACGTTGTCCTTGTATTATTAATACAAAGTAGTATCCAACGGCGTTTTTAAAAGATACCAGGAATCTTTGCTGATAACTATAAGTGATAATAACTCAATGGTTATTTGCTTTTTTTATTGTTTTCATTGAAATAATAATGAAAATTTAAAGAGGTTTTCAAGAATATGAACAACCCACGTGATCATGAATGCGGCAAAGGTTTCTTGGAAGCCACTTCATTCCATCCCTCAGATATATAAAGTTTTGTTTTAAATTATTTATTTATTGTATTGAATGACTTTCATATGCGTGTCATCCTGGTCCTCAAGTTTAAATTTTCTATTTAAATTTGGGGAATTGTGATCTAAAGCCTTTCCTCCTCACACCGCTGTAATGAAAGTACATCAAAATAGTTTTTAGAATTATGTCTTAAAATGTAGAAGAAAGAATCTTTGATTAATTCAAGACAAAGACAATTATAATCGATGTTCAGTATTGGTAAAACTGAAAGTTGAAGAAAAAAAGTTGTTTTTAATACTACTTTATTAGTAACAAGGTAAGAAAGAAGTATTATAATGTAAGATGATTCGTAGATGTCGTTTAATAATTATATCATTTACTCTGATAAATAGATATAGTGGATATGTCGTGGTATCGTGGTTCACACGAACTCAAGGGGTGAGGGTTGGAATACCAGCGCGTCAATAACGTCATCTGTCAAGACATTAATCCACAATAACTTTGCCACTCTCTACCCAGGTGTAAATGGGTACCTGGCGATTGCAGGGCCCACTTGCAGGGCCCTCAGGAAGAACAGCATTGACAATCAGTATTTCTTCCCACTTTTATTATAGTTTTTCTTATCATTAATATCTTTATTATTAGTAGTATCATTATTAGTACTATTACTATTATTATTGTTATTAGTAGTTGCAGTAGTAGAAGTAGTAGTAGTATTACTAATACTATTGTCGTTATTACTATCATTAGCATTATTATCATTGGTATCATTATCATCATTACTACTTTAACTCGTTAAGTAATTTTGAATCATATATATATATATATATATATATATATATATATATATAACGTTGAGACCATCCATACTATCTCTCATGTCTTCCGTTACACTTTTCCAGCATGTATTTTGTTAAATATATTCTAACCAACAAATTAGATTCAAACAGAATTCTTCCATATGCGCTCTTCAAACATTAGATGTTATTCATTTCGAACAATTGTCGTGTACACAGAAAACAACCCGTATAATTCTTAAAAACGGAGACCTTGCTATAATACTGAGATATCAATATGCAATATTAACATACAGCTCGTTAAATTAGTGAACTGGCTGTGGGCTGTTACAAAAATGATGTCATTACTAATGTTTCACGTTGTTGTTGACAGTCTATTGATAATTTCTTTGATGTTCATTTTTATAAGCAACAAAAATTATCTTAGTGTTTTACCTGGATATACAAACTGTTGGACTTTATAACACAAATGTTTGTAGTTTTCTGAACAAATTAGGCTTCTACGATCGCTTTTACGGAACTGATTTATGAACACACAAACTGCCGAATTCATAAGAAGAGTTGCCGGTAATGCCTGACGATGCCTCTGTGGTTTTACTTCTCTCGTTTGCTGTTTTTCGCGCGCTTTCGCTGAATTAGGTTCACTAAATTTAGGTAAATGTGGTCTCACATTTAGAAGAAAAAAATTGATATTTCTGCCGTTTGGCAAATTTGCCATGAATCAAGAAACAAACGAGTTGCTCATAGCCAGATTTTATTGATCAATGGGTCAGATGAAAGACAATATTGTAAGCTAATATTGTTAGTATATTTGACTAAATCTCTGCGTACTTATTGCAAGGATATTTAGGGTTGAACCTGGGTTTTCTTTTTGTGACCCATGCAGTATAGCGTACAATGTTTTTATAGGGCTGTATACGGTTAGACAGAACATTATGGCTATATCGTGAAAAACGATTCATCTGCCCAATATGTGACAGAGAAGGAAATATAATAGCTTGTAAATAATATTCTCCGCGCTTATATGATCTATGAGATGAGGTAATTTAAGAATAGTTTTTTTGATTTTGAAGGTATGTCAGGGCGAGGGTTTCAGTGGTTAACATACAGTCTCTCTATAGCCTTGAAACCAATTATGCCCTGACATACTTTCAAAATAAAATAAAACGATTCTTATACTGTATTACCTCAGGTCATATATCATTTTAGCGCGGGGAGAATATCATTCACAAGGTCAAGTTATTATATTTCCTTCTCTACAACATAACGGGTAGCGTTTGACGAAACCATAATAAGTACAATTTCACCGACATCCCTTTAAAACGCATGTATTATAATATTCAACACACGTTTCGACGGCATGTTCGGTGGACTCGTTCTGATGACGGTTTTGTGAAGCGATGCCCGGATGTTGAAATAAAAAACCCTCATTCGTCAGGTGATGTTTGTTGTACAATAAAACAGATGTGCTGGCATAATATCGAATGACTTATTGACTCCATCAAACAAATACAGCCGAGTTTCACATCAGAGTATCATCACTCTTAATGTCCTTTAGCAAGGCATTAATCTACATTTGCCACTCCATACCCAAGTGAGAAATGGGGAGCGGTATAGGATGACGAAAGCCCTTACGGTGACCACATGTTAAGAATACTCCCCATTGATTGGAGAGTGTTCATTATGAATCCGATGACCAGGGTAATAATATCTGTAAAGCGCTTAGAGACGGTATTCCGTATTAAGCGCTTGATGAATCCAGATTATATTATTACTTTAAGGCCAAATTGGCCGATGTCCATTTTTGATCAATTTAATTAAAACAAAATGGAGGTGATTTGCACTTGGTACAACTTTCGTAAACTTCTTTTTGAAATATTTTGCGTTTCGAGAATTCATCTACACCTCGTGCGTTTCTATTTTATTTTTTTTATCTGTAAGGATTTAGAACCCCCCCCCCCTTGTCCCTCAATCAAATATGCTAGTATTTGTGAACATTATTTCGTCATGTAACACAAAACTTAAGGACCACTTTTAATCAAGAGCAGGCTATATGTCGAGTGCTTGTAATTATATCGTAGGGACCGGGCTTTTAAGAGACAATTCGCGTGAAATACGGGCTGAAAAATCGAGATGGAAAGATCAAATGCGATGACAATTGTCATGCCTTGAGAATGATAAAATTAACATTTCTGAGATATTCATTACATTCGTTATTCTGTCGGTTGGCTGCACAGAATCGCATATGCTATTCTCATCAGTGCCATGTAACGTATGTCCAGTAGGGGTTTGGGGGATTTTGAATTAATTCAGGCAAGACGCGTGAAAAAATGAATAAAGCATACCGCCCCCCCCCCCCCTCTCTCTAAAAAAATGTATATATATAATTATATATATATATATATATATATATATATATATATAAAAGTGCTTGACTATGATTAAGTGATATTAAGTTTGTATGCCATGTATATTTGTTCATACAATGTATTTGTTTGTGTATGTGTTTGCACTTCAGAACCTGAAGAAGGCCTCACAAGCAGAAGGCTGGTAATAAACTTGAAAAGTACAGCTACGTCTCACGTTCCTAGACCTTTTTCTTCACGCCTATATAATATAGTATTATAGAACCGATTCTGGGTATGTATTCGATTGAAAATACGGATTGAAAATTGAGTTGTAAGAATCAATACTTGTCTGGCACTGTTAATGTGTTTATTTAAAAAACTTTTTCTATTTCATTTGGGAAACAGATTTTGTATCGAAGCCTAAACTGATTAAATTCTTCCCCAATCCCTCTTTCCAATTGTTATACGAGGTTGATAGGAATAGAAGGTGGGAGAGAAAGAGAGATGATGGGGTGGTGTGTGAGGAGAGGGGGAGAGAGAAAGATGGGATAGTGTTCGGATTCAGATTCCTGAATAAGAAGTCAGAAAGGAAAAAATCACGACATTTATGAGAGCAGCATTGGTAAATGGAACACTGGGTATTTCATTTGACCATAACATTATGACCTAAAACGTCAGTGAATTAGAAGATTTATTATCCAATTAACATAGTCTTCAATACATGTATAATCATATAGGATATAAGTACCCTTGCCTTTGACTTTTTAGCTCAACCCTGGATATAAAATGTGTAAATAATCATGCATACCATATGCTACCTAGCTTGTGTATACACGTACACAAAAATCAATATTTACCCGAGTCGGGCGAGAAATTGGCTAAAATGAGTCAGTTTTTCACTCACTATTAAATGGCTGGATTCGCACTCATTGCCTTTCCAATAATTAACAAATTTGTACGGCGAAAGCCTGCCCATTCATCGATTACATTTTATTTTCAGCGTCCGTATTGTCGAATCCGGCTACCGCATCATGCCCTATAGAGACCAGAAAGTGAAAGTAGGCCGAAATGCATATGTTGAAACACTATGTCACAATACACAAGTATTATACAAGGCTTTAAGCAGCAACAACAAAAGAAAAGCTGAAATATAACAACAACATAATACCAGGGCAGCGTTTCATGAAACCGTCATAAGTACAAGTTCACCGACATCCCATTGAAATATACGTGTATCAAGTTTAACACGCGTTGCAATGGGATGTCGATGAACTTTTACTCATCACGGTTTCATGAAATGATGCCCAGATGTATGTGTTAAAATACAATATAATTATCATTTTTTTTGTTGGGGGGGGGGGGGGACACTTTTTTAAAATTGCTTTATAGGATATTTGGGGAGGGGGGGGGGGTGTGGGGCACCAGAAATTCGTTGGAGCAAGTGCCTCAAATTATACGCAATCGAACGAATCGCCAGGGATTAATGTATTGGTACCATTCAGTCAAAAGTTCTCCCTTGGCTTTAGCATAAGAAAGGAAATTTTGTTAAAATAATATCTAATTTATAAAGTTTCGCAGCTACTCCTATTAACGACACTGCCAGAATCAATATGAATACAGTAGTGATCATGTAATTAACTTTGAAATACTACTCGTCGGGTGGAATGATGTGAGTGTTTCAAATTTGGTGGGTGAATGGTGTAAGAGTGTAAGAGAAAAGGCAAAGCTCAAAGAAGCATTTGAAGAAATTATGATACATTATTTTTCATGACAAATGTCCATTTGTAAACTTTTACAGATACGTAAAAAGGTTACCGTGTGTTAATTTTTTTGGAGCACAATGTTTAAATCTGGTTCGTTATGAAATAATAGGAATGAACATAAAATAAGAGGCATGTGACAGGGTCATTAAATTTGACAGGAATCTTCTTCTTCTGTTTCAGTTAAATGTCCATCAGTCAGTTAGTCGGGTATTTTTATGCATGCATGGATACGGATGAAAGCCGACCAGGAAACGTTTAATCTATCCAAATTTCTTGAAAATATTCGCTTGAACAGAGGATTGAAATTGTCTCTCGCCACTGATTAATGTATTGCGAATACCAGTAGGTTAATTGAGAAACTGAGATACCGTCAGATCTCTATATCTCATTTTATATGCATGGTTGTCGATGAAAGTTGAAGCAATTACCCAGAACGCCAGAGAAACCTTGAATACGTTATAATTTCTTTAAATTATCCACTCGGGAAAATGGGCTTTCTCCGCCTCTGTGATATTGACTGGAGCTCTTAAATACCATTAATTAAGAATCTGGAAACTCACTCTATTCTATATCCCCACACAGCCTTGGCGGTATGTCATTATCTATGCATGCACGGCTGTGGTTGAATGATGATGTAATTAATAAGATCGATCAAGACATGGGGCCCTGCTTCCGTTTTAAAAAACATAAATTATATTACTATCGGAAAAATCAATAGTGTAATATCATGAGATCAATTGTATTCATACAATTCAAACAACCTATAATGCTAAACATACATTCCATGTATACAACCATCGTGGGTTGACATTTTATGTTTAGTGGCGTAGTGGGTTTGGGCGGGGGGCATCAATCAAAGTCAGTGGATGAAAAACGAATATATAGTAAACAAGGCCATCTAGCGGAGGGTATGTGTGTGGGTGTGTGGGTGGGCGGTGATACCCTCTACTTAAACTTTCCCTTTCCCATTTCTCTTACTTTCTCTCCCCTCTCTCTCTCCTTCACACACACACACACACACACACACACACACACACACACGCAAACTCCCTCTCTCTCTCACCCTCTTCCTTCGCTCTCTTTCCCAATTCGATAAGGGGTTACTCGCTCCTGCCCCCCCCCCCCCCATCGTAGCGACATATACGCCATATGATTGTGTTTGTTTAAATGACGGGTTTGTCATACACCAGCAGAGTACTTCATTTACATACAAACCGCCAGCCCATGTAAATCCCTGCTTTAATATATCAAAGCCGAGATAATCTATTTAAATCGCAAATAGAGCTCTATGTTTTCATAAATCATCGTTTTATAACTTCCTTCATAAAGCTAACACAATGTCGCATGTTGAGAGCCACAATGACGTTATCTTCAATAGTCTAACAAGGTAAATGACCTTTTGGCTCTTAACAGACAGAAAATACAAATCCTGTTTTAAAACCTATCCGAAAATATGCCAGTAATTTATAGCTTTTCTCGTACCAGCCTTATTCTGAGTACACGAGGTATATAATAAAATGTAATTATTAACTTGCGGTTGGCTTTAGGTAAGATTGGAAGCTGTTGCATTGAGCAACTGTTTAAAAGAGAGTATATTTAGGAGTTATTTAGGAGAGTATATTTCAAGCGGAAATGTAAAATTTGGTGGAACAAAAATTATCGCCCGTTTTGCCCTTTTTAATGTGTTCTCTATAAGAGGGTTTGTTGTAAACACAATATGTAAAATATCCAAATATAATTGTAAATAGGGGAGAGAGCGTTTCTCTTAGGGTTTATTTTCTTGAATCTCTCAAATTTTATTATCACCAAAAATTGATAGTCACCCCCTCTCTCTCCCCCTCTATCTCTCTCTTTCCCACTCTTTCCCCCACACACAAACACCCTTTCCAACCCTCTCGTCATTATCCATCATCATGTTCTGTCCACAATTTGTAAACGATAATTCAACAATATAAGCATAACAGTAATTGTGACCTCGTTTAAAATTGTCGCTGCCTTCCCCATCTCTCTCTCTCTCTCTCTCTCTCTTCCCTTTTCATAATGCTAAATATCAGACCTATATACCCTTGATTTACAGATGTGAATAATGAATGCCCTAATACAAAAGAGTCCAGTTTATGGTAGTAAATTACGTTATTATAGTGTATTGATTGTGTTTTGTATTGCCATACTTGTAAGTGCAATGACCCAATCCCCATCCACAAAATAAGATCGTCGCCATAGTGATATAGGCCTATTTCACATATTTATTTGCATGTTTTTTTAATGCTGATTCTTTGAATTGCTCATTGTAATGAGTTTTTATGACTTGCCTTTTAATTGTGTGTTAGAAATATATCAAACCGATAAAGCCATCTTCAGACAACAACGCAATATGGGACAACGCATCATTGCGAACGTAAACAAATCCATCCTTAATATTTTAGTACAATATGCCACTGTGGAGTAGAAATATATCAACAGACTCTCCGAATCTAATTTTTCCAAGCATAAAATTATGTCAAGAATAAGCCAAGCATATGCAAGGACTGTTTGAATACAGAAATGGAGATTGATATTAGACATATGAATAGCATATAAACCGCGATAATAATAAAACAAATGCATCCATTTTTACTCACCGTATGACACACAGCAGCCGACGCGACAGTGCGATCCACTCCTTGCACCAATCATCTCATTAAATACTATCTCTCGTCGTATTGTGATGATATATATGCGCTGCTCGAGCAGTTTTACAATCAAAACCTCGCTCGATCTCCGGGCCATGCAAGTCATTATCATCAGACATCCAGTCAAGCTGATAATAAGCGAGAGTACGGTGAAATAATGCATGGTCCCCACTTCGTATGCGTGAATCTCTCTTGACACGGTCGTGTGCACACATGTAGTGGGATACCTCAGTCACACGGCAGAGACCGGCACAAGACCGACATTAGATCGAACAAGAAATTGCTTTACCTCTGAATGACGGATATTTTATTGAGTGTCGGTCAGTTTGTCGGTGTGACGTGTGTGTATAAACCGTGTATCCTGGCGTGAATCGTGGCGTGAATCGTGGCGTTCTTTCGGTACTTGACTTATAAAAAAGGGAAATAGGTCGACACTTTACGTTTTTTTTTAAACACAAGGAATCCCAAGTCCGAAGTAGAGGAATTCTATATTGTAGTGTTATATTAATGGTGTAGGCCTATTCAGGGACCAAAAAAGAAGGAGAAGAAGAAGAAAACCCTGACAAAAACAACAATAGAATATGAAGCAGAATTGATCATTTTTAGTTCAAATGTACATTAAATATAAATAGCTATCGTATGACAATTGAAAGTCTCTTGGCGTACATGTAATCTGTGACATCTAGCTCAGATATGGATTTCTTCGGGCACACTTGAGTTGTTTTATATATCTTTTTTTTTGGTTTCAGAATAAAAAGAAGATACGCTGCATGTATACGAACATTTCGTCTCTTAGAAAATACCCCCCCCCCCCCCTCCCCATAAAAAGAAGAAGCAAATAACCACAACAACACCAAAAAAAAAAAAAAAATGAAACCTAAAGAAGACACCACTGAACATTATATAAAAGAGGGTTATGGGAACCTGTGTATAATATTAAAAAGGGGAAGCAGGACGTCTTCAAAGAAGAGGAAGAAGATAGTAATATCAATTGGAAGTCAATAATATTGTTGTCAATCTCTTCTGTTTAGACGGAGTATTTACTGGAACTGATGTCTTTATTAACCGTAAACTATACGCAGCAAGCTTTGCGTTGATAATGATTACCAATGATATGTCTTAATTTTGATTTGTTGTGACATTCAATATCGTTTTGACTACAACATGAAACAAACATAGGTGTCCGAATTCCACTTCTGGAGCAATTAATGTCGGGTCATGTTTTAACATCGGAGAAAGGGAAAACAATGGGCAGAGAAGAGAGATAAACAGGCAAAGATAGAAAAGCAACAAGGACAGAAGAAGAAGGAAGAAAATATAAATGGAGGGATAGACGGACAGGGGAGCAAACACGGACAGGTAGAGAACGAGAGACAGGGAAGAAGAGACGCAAAGGAAAAAAAGAAATGGAGACATACATAAATATATAGGGAAAGGCGGAGAGGGAGAGGGCAAAAGACAGAGAAAGAGAAGGAGAAATAAATACAGAGCCTAAAGAGAGATGAAGAGAGAATGGGGGGGGGGGGGGGGGAGAGAGAGAGAGAGAGAGGGGGGGGGGGTGAGGGACTTGTTTCATAGCACTGCATCGAATTGTATGAAATCCCCTCTCTCTCTCTCTCTCTCTCTCTCTCACTCTCTCTACCCCCTCTTTTCTCCCCCTTCTCGCTCTCCCCCCCTCTCTCTCTCTATCTCTCTCTCTAAATTTCTCTCTTGCTCTCTCTAACAAAAGTACAATGAGGCACAATAATAGGTAAAGAAACAGAACATTTGATCCATGTTAAACTGTATCAAAGAAGGAAGTTTATATATTTTACGTTATGATTTAAATCCTACAAGCTCTATTCTTTTCATTCGCATGCATGTTTCTTACGACAACAACAAAATACTTCATAAAAATTACACTCTTACAGAAGAGAACATAAAATATTAATTTGATGTTACAGAAAGATACATATCTGTGTACGATACAATTAATTTGTAGAAAGAAAGGAGATACACAAATGTAAAATAATTATAATTATATATGCACATGCATGAGCAGATAAAGGCCATTTGTACAAAACTGTGAAACCCGTCGAGACGAATGCTGGGTACGTGTTCATGAAAACCATATAATCATTATTCACTGATGCAACGACGGTACATTCTATGATACACAGGTGGAAGTATTATTTTCAAGAGTGCAAACAGAAGGTATACGTGAAGCACCCCATCACTTTGGCAGTGATTATTCTAAAATGCACAAATGGGCTAAAAAAAAGTCCAATGGATATTCGGTGCTCATATCTGTACTTCGCCGAACTGTTCTTATCAATGTAAGTTACGTTAGAGGGCCCTGGATATATGAAGATCACTCTCTAAAGGCTGTGTACGACTGTAACGGTCTTAAGAACAAGCAACAAAAGAAAACAATTGTTAATTCAGTAAATAATGGGTGATCTAGACATATTTTCACCTATTGCGAAACCCAAACTCAACTTTATTTAGGACACAATCTTCAAAACTCAGCCATGTCTATCCGAAAATCTTAAGAATTTTGTTTACAAAAACGAAGAATAAGAAAAAGGAAAGAGATTGGATGGCATGTAAATACTGAACATATTTGGAATGGGAGAAGTCAGGCTTGACCGAGAATAGCACCATTCAATTTAGGATAAGATGTTGGATTAACCGCTGCACTGATATTCAATGCAAATGACAAATCACAAAGTAAGAGTACTATGATTTTTCTCATACAGGTAGTCGTGGTAGTAGTGAAACATGCAAATAAAGACCAACGACGATGATTATTATAGACTAGATATAAATGATTGCTATTGAGAACTCTGGTAACTGTGCAATTGCTGAAAATAAGGGGGGGGGGGGGGAGTAAGCAATACATTTTAGCCCGTGGGCCTCATAAGAATATTATCTGTCTTGGCGCTTATAGAAAATGTTGGATTCATATTCAACATATCAGTGGTCCAATCAATTTATTGTATTACTAGCATATCAAATGACCCTTAGACAGTTCATATCTACATGCACATGTTGTGGAATTACCCAAATGTTGGGTTCAACTACCTGCAATATGATCGGTGGTTTGAATTGGAAGGACAAAAATACCATCATTTTTGCAGCATTAGCAGATGTATAAATAGATGTACCAGCCAATATAATTCATTCAAGGAATTTGTGGTCTGGTAAAGGTCAAAAATAATTTGAGAGCAGCCTCGTTTTTTAAAATGTTAGTTTGGAAAATATTACACAAGCGATGTCTCCTGTAAAGGATTGCTCTCCAAATGCCACCATATTCAAAGGATGAAAAGAAAAGGCTGAAGTGTGTGTGTAAGTGACCACACTTTCACAATGTAAATTGCATGAGCAGAGTTCAACTTTCTATTAGATTTACATACTACTGACATGTCTAAAAATCCTCTCTGCAGAATAATTATAATAGCAATCATTTCATTTTTTTAATCCCTAAAATAAAGTGTACTTTAGTTGAATGCCCTTTCTATGAGTCAATACGTAATAGAAAACTAGCTATCATTAAAGATAAAGACTCAGTAAAGAACATCAATTAATATTGCTATGATAAAGGTACCTTTCAAGGCAATTAATCTCTATTTCTACGAGTCAACAAGTAATAAAAAAGATGCTTTCATTAAAGATAAAAGGGTATTAAAGAACATCAATTTATATTGCTACTATATAGGAACATTTCAAGGCAATTCATTTTAACAGAACTTTAATAACGTTGTTTTCTTAATGTGGTGTGTGTATTTGAAGTAAATTAACCGAGTCATCCCAATAAGAGTACATGGAACTTTATAAACACGATTGTAATTAAAGACCTATTAGGGCAAATTCAATCAACCCTACATGTATATTGCTTATGCAATATGTCATTGTAATACATGAACAGTTTAAATGAAGTGCACAAAGTTACTGAAAATACCTTTGAATATTTTTCATTTAAATATCATTTTATTATTAATATTATCATCATTATAATTATTTTGTTCTCTTCATATTATTATTATTATCATTATAATCATCATTTTCAGAGCAAAATGAAAGTCATTGAAAATTAGTTAATCTACATACTTCAGTTTTTTAAACAATTTGGATAACTTATTATGAAAAGGTAAATTCCACTTTGTCATTATTTCTCTCAACTTAATCACAAAAGGTGCTGTGGTCATTCTTTCAAAATACTCTGTCTCCATTCTCAATTTAAAAACGAAAATATCTGTGTATTTTTTACATTTACATGTAGGCCTACACTATTTGTCTGCAGATGGCTAGAAGGGTACTAACTCCTATACTATAATACAGAGATAACGCACTTCTGGCTCCACCATAGGATATCTCAACTTGTAACAATCTGACATTTTCTAAACTCTCCCTTTTGTGTATATATTTTTCAGCCCTCCCCCCTCCCTATGAAAAATAAAAACAAGCAAAGGTTGCTAAATTGACAAATAACTGATTAACTCATGTAAAACGATACATAAACATGTACACGTAGGATATAAGAGACTTGAGGTTAATATACATTTTATTACAGACGAAAGGGCAATAAAAAGCAAAAAGATCAACAAACATGCAATTAACTATAAATCAACTTATATCATTAAATATCAAAAGCTGTTGTACAACTCTATATTATTAAAGCAAGCACATCTCTATAGTTACAACTAATGAAAATAAATATTACTGGCATACATGTATTATTAATCATGATTATAAATGGATTAGAAAATGGATCTTTACAATGAATAGCCAAAATACAAAAGAGAATATATTCAATTCTGATGATGTATATATTCATTATACTCATGCATGTATGAAATATCAGTATCCAATCTATTTACACCTTACAACACTGTCAAGAAAAATATTTCTGAGATACAATATTCATGTCCATACATCTACTGTATTCAATATTTTCCAGCAAATTCGTTCCTGTTTTCACGAAGTAACGGTAGTGAGGAAAATCCGCACGCAAATTGTATGCGATTTTCATTCACTACCGTCATTTTGTGAAAATAGGGACAAATTTCATGATACCACCTGTTCAGAGCCAGAGGGTGTTAACTCATATCCTTTTACAAGGAACTACATGCCCTTCTGGCTCCGAACAGACGATACATGAGATTGTAAAAAAGGAAAGATTTTGGGGGAAGAGGACAACTTCAAATTGGAGCACCAAAAAAGTATAATACCACTCAGCAAAAGATAATCATGGCATTCATGCTACTGTTCATAATACATTAATCACATGTAGAGAAAGAGGGGAAAAAGGTTTGAAGGAGTTTGACAAAAATATTTATGCAAGGTGATCAACTTCGACAGGAAAAAAGAGATTTAAAAAAAATGTTGAGCATCTAACTTTTCTCCATCTCTTTATCAATCTTTTTTTAAATAATTGTTTTGATTTGTTATTATTATTTATTTTTGTTGGGGGGGGGGGCAAAATTAGGCTCACATTATCTAAAGCAGAATCTTATAGGCAGTCTTTAAAGAAATGGGAATCAAGTGAGATTTCATCTTTGCAGAATCAAGTTGCCTAATCTGCTCTACCGCCCTCTATGCCATCAAGCAGAACAGTCTATACTTTTGCAAGGCATTAAAGTGTTATATTTCCAGAGACTGATACATGTATGTATTATAACATTGTTTGGCCTGTTGAAACAGTTTTCATTGTGCATTTATAAATATCTCAAAGATATCACAGGTAACAGAACTACACAGAGACTGGAGTTTGTCTTCTTTTGTGCTTCAAATCTCCCGAATTTTTAACAATTCATCCCATAAAATTATTCTGTAATGCTCTTAGTCATGTAACACAAATTGGTAAGATTCATATAGGTTTACATTTCTGAAAACATTTGTGCGTTTCCCCATATGGAATTTTACCCCATCACATCTCGGGGTACAAATTCACATACATTAATGGATACCGTAAAGGCTATGGAAGAACTGATTTTCCTTATTTAAATTCAAGTCACTATATACCCCGATTAGCATAATATGGGCAGTAAATTGACAAAAGCCAAGAGATTATGGTAGTGGTGACTGACAGACTATGTAATGAAATCTAAGTCTAATTTCATACCAGTCTTGCTCTGAAAAAGTACACAATATTTTCTCGTGAGGTTTTATTTGCTTTTTAAGTATTCTTGTTTTCAACATACATTACTCAAATCAGAAATTATAATTAGCTTTCTTAACAAGATTGTATGGATTTTTTTTGGTAATTCACCATCATCCTTCTTTGCAGATGTAACAGATGAAATTTGAATCGTAAGACTCTGTAACAGCGCCAATTCTTCCATCACAAAACTAACCAACTTGAACAGAACTGTAAACTAATGTATTCAAGTTTCTGGCAGTTTCTTCAGAGAACCCATGGTGACAAGTTAATTTAAATTCCCTTGTTCTAAATGACAACATTTGCATGGATGTATGGTCGCTATGTTAGACAAACCTCTGTCAAGCTTTCCTGGCCATCAAGAACAACTACTTATTCAGAAATATTCATCAAACTGAATATTAGTAAACATATTACTATGCATGTGCTCCATTAATAATAAGCCTGTTATGGCATATCTGTCAAGTATCCATAAATACAATACACAAGAAAAGGGTCAACTAAAAATAGCATTTAGGAGTTGTTTGATAAAGAAAGGTGATTATCTGATGAAATATACAGTATGAGATAATGGCTAGCTAAGGCTAATCAAGGTCTCCTCTTCACTTCTCGTTTTTGCCATACTTTTTGCTGGCCATCTCCGTCTTTTTCTGCCTCCTCTTGAGTTCGTTGGGGAAACGGTCGTAGCATCGTTTGCAGACCGGCTTGAGGTCAAACTCAATGAACTTGCTCCTGTGAACAGACAAAAAAGAAACAGACAGTAAGCTACAATTTAGGAGAAATTCCTGGTTGAGACAAGACATGAAAAGGCAACAACTTTGTATTAAAACCAGGAACTTTTGCGTCCATGAAATATTTGCAAATTTTGTGAGTACATTGTAGTTCAGATTCATGAAAATGTCATGGCATGAAACATTGGAGTCACAATTGACATAAAATAAACTTTTTACATTTTACAGATAGTCCGATTTGGGTTCTGTGCACAAGATATGTTATTCTCGATCTTCCTCATTATTTGTAAGCCCATATAATGCAGGGCAAAGTTTTTTGGATTGTTTTCATCAGGGATGATAACGAGCAATAAATTTATCTTTTTTTCCTCTCAACCAACCCCCCACACCCCTCTTGAGTAAGAAAATATTTTTTGTTAAAGTTTCAGAAAAATTGCATCACCCTTGCACTCAATTTTCACCAGAAAATCAGGAAAAAATTGGGAAAACGATTTAAATCTGGTAATTATCAGGCATGTGTTATATATTCTAGCTTAAAAGTGTTACCCTATAACAATGGATGTAGACTTACTTGGTGGTAAGAAGACTATCGCAGCACATACAGAAGAAATGTTCATCACACCATGTCTTGCTCATAGTACACATCACTGTAAGAGATAAAACAAAAACAAAGCATACAAAAACAATGAATAATGATAATAATAAGCTCTTGGATAGAGCATAACACATTATGATATTACGCCCCTATGAGCTTCCCAAAAAGCTTTGGAAATGTTTACCCTAACTTTAGCTCCGGCAACCTTTATCAGCTATTTGACATCATATCCAGTGTAAAGTTTTACTAAATTACTTATTACTGTTTTTTTGTTTTTACTTTACTAGTGTACTACATGAATATTACATGATAAACGAAAGGAGATGTGTGGTATACATAAAAACAATCTATAGTTATCTTGTAAAGTGCTTCTCATTTTAACTAGATGAAACAATACACTGGTTTACTAACATATTCAAATTGTATGCATACTTTTAAAACAAAGGTTGTTCTTGACAACCTGAAATCTAGCCAGCGGCTTGTCGGACATAGCAACATGTAATGTATGCAGACTGGATTCTGAATTTTGTTGTTCATTGATCAATGACAGATTAATGGAATTAATCGTCACTAGGTCCCCAGGAAAGAAACATCCATAAATTTGAATATGTTGGTACACCCGTCTAGTATCAGAGTCTACTCTTGAATTCCTAAGCAGGTTTCACTGTAATATACTTACTCTCTGATGTGATGGCCTTGTTACAGAAGAAGCACATGTTTCCAAAGAGCTACAAAACAGAAAGACAAAACAAATCAAGTCATCATCAAGAAGTGTTTGCTGTCCTTGAAATCCAGACATTAAGGACATTTTTAAGAAAACACAGGGTTTCCTAAATATATTGATATTCTCAATGAGCAAATTATAAACAATTGTTTATGTCACATAGCTAAGGTACGTAAATTAAATCCTGCTAACACTGATTTGGGTGTTGCTTTAACACTAGTTCAACAAATATAAATGGGATTATGATGGTCTTACCTGATTATAATGGGTTTCACAGTAGGCCTTGCCGTTCTTCTCGTAATGCTTATGTCCCAAGAAAGGTTTCTCACATCGAGCACACACAAAATGCTGTAAAAATGAATAATAATTGAAAATTATTATACATCGATTTATATTATACGCAGCTACTACACAATATACTCTCTGCACTTAATACAAGGCATCAAATTATTACCCAGGTTGTAGCTGAGCTGCCACAATGAGGTGCTAAAGCATTCAAAGAATTTCTTCCTACCAGGTACCCATCTACACCTGGGTGGAGAGTGGCAAATGTAGATTAATGTCTTGTCAAAGGACATTAGCGTCACTGTGGGATTCAAACCGAACAAAGAGTGATAAATTCCCATTTCAAATTGTAACTAGAATTGATTTTAGTACAATGAATTCAGGTTTAATTGAATCATTTTAGAGACTCTAGTTCTTCTTACATTCCTCTTTTCAACAAGACTTTTGCTGTTGACAATATGCACTAACTTTATGAAATCAACTTTAATCAGTGCGTCAACCCAAATATACTAATGTTAAGAATTGAATTAACAGAATTAACATGACAAAATTTCTCTGCAATTCAAGATTACCAGTGCTGTTGGGCAATTCCAGGCTATTTTGTCCCATACATTATCAACCACATCTAAGCTTTCAGAATAACTAGTGACTGTATCAAGCTTTTAGAGCAACTAGAAGCGCTATCAGAGCAAAATATCAAATAACATAATCATATAATGATGTCAATTTATGTTCACAAATACAAATGAGATTCAATAATACTTGCTCACATATAGGACATATCTTGGACAAGTCCTGTAAATTCAGTAATATGTTGAAATATACATTGATGGCAAAACTGTGATTGAAATCTTGTTTTTTGAAATATTACATTGTACCTTCAGAAAGGCCTTAACAACATATTTTCTTTTGCAGTTTTCAGTTGTAAGACTGTTTTTCTTATTACATGTATTTATGTTATTTTAATTTTCATTCACTGTAAGCACTTTGGGCCTTATGTGAAAAGCGTGGGATAAGTAAAACTACTATACTAATAATAATTAACTAATTTTGTTTACCTCGACATGCCAATGCTTGCCAAGGGCGGTGACGATTCTCTCCTCGATGGGTCGATGGCAGGCCTTGCAGATGGGGATACCCATCTTGTCGTGGCACGGCAAGCAATAGAGTTCTCCTCTTAGCTCTCTCGCTGTGCCGTTCAACTCCTCACTAAACATTGAAAAATATATCAAAGAAACATTAATACATACATAAATATACATGTAAATACACGTTTAGGCCCTTGAATTACAAGCATGTTTTTTTTTCTTCTGATATATATCTGCCTTTTTTGTTGTTCTTTCACTCTCTCCATTTATCATTATTTCTTCTCATTAATGTTATATTGCTTTCAACATACTTAACAATTACTTTTACGAAACTCAGGATGCTATAATAATGAACAAAGATTCTCAGTGAAATCATCACAAAAGTATCAGTGTGATCTCTTGGGTGGTCTTTAAATACGGGTAGAGACATAGAGAGAGAGAGAGACCATTGTTCTTTTAAAACCACATTTTGCTTTACCTTGAAAAAATGCTTCCCATTCAAACCTGTGTATGAAGACCACCTGCATATAAAGACTGCTTTTCATGTCTCCATTGAGTGGTCTTTATATACAGGTTTGAGTGTACTACTCTCCTCCCGGGAGAAGGGAGACGACTAACCTGCAGTGAGTACAGTTGAAGTGATAGGCATGGTAAGGCTCCTGTTTGTACTTGATCAGCATGTCCTCCTCTACTACGCCATGGCAACGGTAGCAGATGTGCTTGCCGCTGCTAGCCGCTTTCTCCTTCAGATGGCACGGGTGACACAAGGCCCTGCAAAAGAAATGTAAGTATTAAAGCCAGTGGTTTATCAGTTTCCATGTGCAGAAGGCACGTGTTCAGAGGATCATAGTGAATTGGAGAACATCACCATGGATGCCTGTTCTCAGCGGAGTTCCGCAAGGGACAGTCCTTGGCCCGCATCTGTTTATCCTCTACATAAACGACATAGTACAGTCTGTCACATCAGGGACGTGATAGAGAAGGACCTGAATCAAGCCGTTCTCCTTTGACCCCATGCTCCAAGCCGCCGGAAAGTTATGCGCTAATCTGCAGCTGTTGACCAGGTGGTGAGATAAAAGAGCGCATGAAATTTTAGGATTTAGAATTCCTACATCAGAAAATGGTATCACAGCAACTGTTCGCTGTCCCTTCCAATGATTTCTCATCCATTGTTGAATGTGTAAAGAGTAGAACAAGCGAACACAAACTTGTGTAATTTCATTCTTTTTTAAACTTGAAAAATACAAAAAACACGCGAAAACACGCATTAGCAAACTTAATGTTATTGAAGATTGTAAATCATGGATCAAATAACGGGACATTAAAGCATGCACAAATTAGCGCATCATCCTAAAATATTGAGTTTTTGACAGGATGTAATTTTTCTTTTACCAACTCTGGCACACAATTTAAAGGCAGGACGGAGTTCTAAATTTGAAAATTTGTTTGATGCACTATTCCCAATAAAATTCCCATATAAAGTTTTTAATTTACACTGTAATTTTGCCGGTAATTTAATATTTTGTAATAAATGTAAAACTGGTGCCTGGCTTCCGAAATTCCCCGCAGTGGAAGCGCGGTTCGGAGCATGGAACTTCAAAGCCAAGTGGAATGTTACACATCCCATTGTTACGCTTTAGAACTCAAGAATGCGTTTGAATAAATTACAAGAGTTTCGCCTCCTGTTCTTTCACCTCCCTGGTCACATCAACCCAAGGCTATTTGCTGACGACTGTATTATTTACAGGCCTATCATTAACCCTGAAGATGAAGTTTCCTTCCAGACTGACCTTAACAATTTGCTAGAATGGTCAAGCAAGTGGGATATGAAATTCAACTCATCAAAATGTAAAGTAATGAGGGTCTCTAGAAAACTAAATCCTGTGAAGACTGACTACATGTACCAGATGATAGATAGCCCCCTTGAAGAGGTTAAAGAGAATAAGTACTTGGGAGTTATCATCCAAAATAACCTAAAATGGGACAGGCAGTCCAGCAAGGCTGCAACTAAAGCAACAGAGATACTTGATTTCATTAAAAGGAATTTCTCCTCCTGCTCAAGAACTGTGAAAGGGAATCTCTACAAGTCCATAGTTAGAACCCCATTTAGAATATGCCAGCTCGGCGTGGAACCCAGGAACCAAGAAAAACAGGGATCTGCTGCAAAAAGTGCAGCGAAGGGCAGCAAGGTTCGTCTTGGGTGACTTCTCTCCCCAGTCCAGAGTAACCGAAATGCTTACAACGCTGAAATGGAATGTAGAGAGAAGATGCCTAATCCAGAGGCTTACTACAATCCACAGGATAAAATGCATAGCTGGATATCCTACTAGAAGATTATCCCCAGAGGAAAGGCTCAAGAAGTACAAATGAGCATTAGATATTCATGAGTTGTTCTTCTTCCGACAAAGTTTTCATTATCGACATGATCTCTACGTTGTCAACTTGCTTCTGCAATTTATATTACGAAAGTTAGAATAACAGTTGACTTGTATATCGGGTGAGATATATTGTGTAACGCTTAGAGTATGAACAGTTCTGGAATTTAAATACGGAACAGATATTATAATAACAATGATTAAAAAGAAGAAACAAATTTTTGTAATACGATATGTGGTCATAAGTTTATGAGAGGAAGTGTTAACAACTCGGAGCCATCTTGGTTGCATCTGAAGCACAAATGAACATTAGATATTCATGAATTGTTCTTCTACTGACAAAGTTTTCATTATCGACATAATCTCGACGTTGTCAACATAATTCCGCAATTTATCTTATAAAAGTTAAAATAACAGTTGACTTGTATATCGGGTGAGATATATTGTGATTTGCTTAGAGTATGAACCGTTCTCGAATTTAAACACGGAACAGAAATAATAAAAATGATTAAAAAGAAGGATCAAATGTTTTAGGGTGGTCTTTGTAATACGATATGTGGTCATAAGTTTATGAGAGGAAGTGTTAACGACTCGGCGCCTTCTTGATTGCGTCTGAAGCACAAATGAGCATCGTGTATTCATGAATTGTTCTTCTTTCAACAGAGTTTTCATTATCGACGGAGTCTCTACGTTGTCAACGCCCTTTTGGAATCTATATTACAAAAGTTTGAATAGCAGTTGACTTGTATATCGGGTGAGATATATTGTGTATCGCTTTGAGTATGAACTTTTCTGGATTTTTAACACTGAACAGATATAAAAATGTAAAAAGGAAGAAACAAATTTGTGTGGGTAGACTTTGTAGTATGGGATGTGCTCATAAATTTGTGAGAGGAAGTGTTATAGCAAACAGGAGGAGGAAAAAGGTGATAAATTTGTCTGATGTTAATGAAGCGAAATGAAGCAGTGGATTTTTGTTCTATACTGATGCTTCCAGAGGTTATGAAAATTTGTTTTACAGCTGAATCCACTCGGTTGATTCCATTGTTTAGTGATTTAGCCGAGAGAGGTGAATTTTCTTACGATTAACGATGTTGTATTATTCTTATTTGTTCATCATCTCTACAATGCTATCTTAATATTTTGTTTTTGGTAATTTATATTTTTTAATTGAAAAATATTTGTGTTTGTATGCATCTTATTTAATGTACTGAAAACTTTATTATCATGTATAATGAAGAAATAACTGTTAATTAATGTATATAATTATGTACTATTTTAAAAATGCAGAAAAAAAAGAAGAACAAAAAACAATATACAACTTGGCACCATCTTGATTGCGTCTGAAGCATTTTATATTGATGAATTGTTCTTCTTTCAACAAAGTTTTCATTATCGATGGAGTCTCTACGTTGTCAACACCCTTTTGGAATCTATATTACGAAAATTAGAATAGCAGCTAACGTTTAGCTTGGGTGAGATTATATTGTGTATCGCCCTAGGTACGAAACAACTTTGGATTATTTTATAATTAAGTATTAATATTTTGTTTACAAACAATGTCGAATTTCCAATGCGAGCCCTCTTCTATGATCCTTAAGGTTTGTATGACTGGGATCGTCACTGTGAATGTCATTGACAATGCTATTGACAGTGTCAATTAGTGAGTTCAACCTGCTTCCTGCTTTCCCCATTCATTTGGCGAGAATGAAACAAATCTAGAAACAACGCCCTGCAATGAAGCCATGTCAGAAGCCAAAGATAGAAATGTTCCAATATAAAAGTGGCTGCCACTACTGATGATGGTTGTCATGATTATGATTCTCATTTTAATACAATGTGCCTTGTACTTGCGTAACCGCAATCTTCAAAATACTCTGGATTAAGTATTTTAAAACCAGAAATTTTAATACCAAAAATTACACAGTCATGTATATTAAAGGTAATACAAAGTTTTGGTATGGGTCATGAATTTGGTCCAAATGAACATATTGGAAGCATATGCGATCCTACAATATTCGGTGATCGTTGTCGCGGTTGAAATCGAGTCTAAACTTATGAAATTGTAAATAATACACTCTTTGTGTTGTATAGCTCCCTCTCAAGGTCAAGATATTAATTAAGCTATAAAAAATGTTTCTTGGCTAAAATCGACCGATTAGCTATTCTCGTTTGGAAAATATTTATCACAACTACATATTCTGAGATTTCCATGGTCGCAGCTACCATTGTACGGCCGTAGTCGCTATTTGAAATTTATCAAAACTTTACTGGGAGCATTGGTAAATTTTTATATTAAATTTTCTCGAAAGCAGAAGTGTTTTAGGGGCTAAATTTTCTAGTGCTTATAATACATCCACAGGGGCATCCAAATTGTAAAGAATCACTATCCACCCAATTTTCAAAATTTCCCAAAACTTTGTATTACCTTTAGCTTCATTAGAGTATCTAACAAGCACAATTTTCTAGATATGTATTCTTCCAAATCTGAACTGCTCCTGCAATATGCAAAGGATTCAATTGCATGCAAAATAAGTAAGATAATATAGTCTTACCTTCCCCGATTCTTCACAAATCCTGTATCGGCCAGCTCACAGTTACAAAGCTCACAGAGAAAGCACTGAGGATGCCAGCTATTGTTCAAAGCCTTGATCACACGCCCTATCACAAACTCATCTAAAGATGGAGAAAAGGTGATTAGAGAACACATGGGTCAGATCCTTTATACATACATATAGATTTATACATTTATATTGTAAGCTCTATCCATATTAACCTATCACATGTACAAAGTTATGTAAAGAGAGCAAGAGAAAATAATAGAAAAGACTGTACAGATATTGTATAAGGAAGGGAAGAAGAAGAGGGAGAATGAGAAGAGAAGAGAAGAGAAGAGAAGAGAAGAGAAGAGAAGAAAGAGGAGAAGGAGAAGGAGGAGGAGGAAGAGAGGAAAGAAGACAAAATGATTGATAAGGGGAAGAAGACAAAGTGATAAGGAGAAGAAAGATGAAAGAAGGATAAGAAGGAGAAAAAGAAGAGAAGAAGGAGAAAAAGAAGAGAAGAAAGAGGAGGAGGAGACCAGGAAAGAAGACAGAGTGATATGGAGAAGGAGGAGAAGAAAAGAAGGACAAAGAAGATGAAAGAGAGAGGTCAGGATATGAACGGTGACATGGGTGGTATTTCAATCTTCCTGAAATATAATTCATAATTCAATGAGAGGAAAACAGGTAAAGGGCATGCAGGAAGTTGGTATAACATGTTTTTTAGTGAAAATATCATTTTCACAATACACGGCGAGGAAATGATCTGTTTATTGTGTATTATGAGCTTGTCCATGGCCTTAAACAAACAAGGAAACTTAGCAGACTGTATGTCTATGTACATGTACATGTATCAGGTACATAAAGGGAATATAGCAGACTACCTATTCAAAGATGTATCAAAGATATTCTCACCAACGTCATTTAGGTTACAAGTATACATGAATATTATCGATAAATACATTTCATGTTCTGTTCTTTCTCTTGAAGAAAGTAAATAGCACAAAAGATGCGGTGAAGCTACGTGTATTTTCAACAACTACATGTACAGTATATTCACTCTGTCTAAGATTGTCATGAATACAACAGATGTATTCAAGGTACATGTAGATCCATTGTCCAACTGTGACATCTAAACTACTTATTTACTTTCATTAGATGACATTTTCACTTTCTTTTCTTTGTTGAAGAACATAATGGGCATCAGCAGTAGTCAATCTTTCTTCAATAACATCAATGGATACACATTAGATATTATTTTCACTTTCTGTTTAAGAAGGTTTATTATGTAGTAATCATACTTTGCATCCCTTCTTTTAACTAATGGCCTTTTATAGGGATAAAAATCCCTTCTTTTAACTAATGGCCTTTTATAGGGATAAAAATATTTCTAAAGATGATGAAATGAAATTTAATTACAGTTTTAAAAAGGAAGTTTCAGCCAGGATGTGTCACGATGGCACTTACAGGACATGAGTGCTGTCATTGTCAGTCATACAAATGTATGCAATTAAAGACAAGCAGATAAATTAATGTATGCTTGTTTAATTACAGGAAATCTTTAGCTCTGGCTTATAATAAAGAAAATAACAATTCAATTCCTGAATGGAATTTATGAAGGATATTGGCTAAATGTACTGAACACACTCAATAAAAAATAACAAATAGCTCATGAACATGTAATAATAAAATCAGCACACAGTAAATTTCAAAGAAAAATCCTACCCGATACCCATTTACCTCACCTGGGTTGAGTGTGGCAAATGCAGATTAATGTAATGTAAATGTAGTAAAGATGTCAAAGAAAGACTTTGAGACTATCTGTTTATAAAACTGTGAATCTTCCAATCCAATTTATTAAAAAAGTGTTTTACATGGTTCCTTTTTCTGATCTATCAGAGTGCTATATTATAAAAATTACATGTTTGCTATTGGTCTATGTTGAATCTCTTACTCAGATGCACAAATTGATGTTTTATTGATTAAACATGTTAATTCATGCAAACGCAGAGTCCTACAAACTGTACATGAACTCATATAAAGGGTTTTGTTGAACCTCTTGCTGACTACTTCCTTTAAAGTGAACATTATACTCACTGCATTTCCCACAGCAAGGAGCAAACAGGACGTGGAAATCATGCTCGCAGTATTTCCTGCCCTCAAACTAAAAAAAACACAAGAAGAAAAGGGATGGGAAAGTTCAAAGACAACATTAAAAGCATGATATCAAAATAATGTAAGAGATCTACAAGAAGGACAGGAAAGAGATTATGTCAAACAAGATACCAAGAGAATATTGAAAGATTGAATACTCTATGCGCCTTTACACATTTTTAAGTACAGTGTAAAGTTTGTCATAAAAATAAGTTTTAAAAGAGATACACGCTGTATTTGGCATACAGTGTATGATACGGGATGGCTTTGAATCCTTTTAATCAGTCGCCCAACGCCTATGGAATAAGCTGCCTGCATTTCTGAGAAAAATAATACTTTCACTTCCTCTACAATTCTTCTTAATTTGTTGATAGACTAAGGGATGCCCCTTATATCCTCTGGAAAAGCAATATTCAGTGGCAATGCATTTATTATTATCATTATACATGTACCTTTGTATGTGTTGTTTGAATCACGTATTGGGCTTTAATTATATCCGTCCGAATAAACCTACAATAGAGGAACATATGTACTACATGTATTTCTCAAATTCTGGTTCTGGAAACAAATGTACAGTGTACACCTTCCTAGTCCAAACACACTATACAGTACTTAAAATCTTCGGCTGGATTTGCTGTCAAATTTTTCTTTTGTCAACACAAACTGATCATTTATACGTACCAGGAACCTTATAAAGTGTAACTAAATTAAAAGATTATTACATGTAGGTGGTCTGCTATCTCTCACAGAGTCTGAGAAAAACAGTACCGGTAGATAACTAGTCTCACCCATAAACTATAAAAGACGTTCCTTCTTTCCAAAGAATTATTTTAGGCCAGATAATTTTGAGTACAATGTATTTATAGACTAACCCCTAACATCCCCTATTCATAACAGAGTGGTAACTTGAGTCACTGTAAGTATGATCTCTCCAGATTCACTAAAATATACTTTATTGAGAAAAGAAAAGCCAGTTTGTCTTGAAACCAGACTGGCAGTGACTGACTCACCTCAAAGAAGACTCCTTCTGGAAAAGGCCTGAAACACTGGGCACAGCTGTGGGTGATAAGGCAAACATAATTATACATTCATTAAAATGTCATTAACCATGTCGAGGAATGGTAAACATGGCCTCGTGTACACGGTACATGTATGCAGCCTTGGGGTACACACATGCACATGTGTACAAAAAAATTGTACATGTACAGTACATGACAAAATAAAAAAACAATTCACATTTACATTTAGATGAATGGCAAGGAAAGGTGAGGAAGGCACTTTATAGCATACTTATTGTATGTTACAAGGCATGGTCATGTAGAAAAGTAGATGTAGCGACACTGGATTTGATCTGATTCTTTTCTTGATCTTGTTTTTTCAGTGGAGATATAATAACAGGTTATGAGTGAATTAGCTTACGGTACACATGAATTTACGTTTATACCAACATGTACACAGAAAGACAAGACATGATTTTAAAGGTTATCTTGCATTCTAGTAATGTTGTTCTGTATGTAAAGATTGTAAAATATGAGAATCATGAAACATAATGCATATTGTTGAGGGGGGGGGGGGTGTGCAGGGTGTTAAACTCTTGAGTAATATTCCAACAAAATTTCACTACTGTATACAGATGTACTTTAGGGTGATGAGTCTATAAAATGTGTTATTTTTATTTTGAATAAAAGATATACAAACTTATTTCAAGTACCGGTAATATGATATCCTATCAATTTTTCACAACACAAATGTATGAAATATAGTTGTACTTTAAGGAAATGTGTCTACTTAGTCTTTCTTTCTTTTAAATTTGGTGTCTAAACTCTGATAATCTCTTCAACATACAGCATGCACACAATGGACAATGGTACAGGATCTGCTTGTTTAGATGGAGGGGGGGGGGGGGGGGGGACTCAGTCACTCAACCCAACCTGATGAGTGATGTATACACTATGTACTTCACAATTTGTGCAAGTAATGCTGACATGTTTACATTATTAGAACTCAGTTTGAACTTTGATCCTTTCACTAGCATGACTAATACATTACGTTCAACATTATCAGAATTCTGCTGCAAATACACATTTACTGTAGGCTTGTCATCTACATGTACATGTATGTATACACTTCTGTCTTGTGAAAGAATGTATATGACAAAAGTACATGTTTACATACAGTAGATGACAAGCATATTAATGTGCATTTGCAGCTAACATTCAAAGGCCTACTTGCATGTAAGTGTGTAAGGTCATGTAAACAAATGAATATATTCTTAGTTTCTTGTTACAAATACTGCTTCTTTATTCGACCAAACTCCTTTTGTTGTTGTTTTTGTTTGATGTCTGCATTTTAAATTTTAAAATGAAATGAAATAAATAAGAATCTGAGTAAACGTGTACCAAGACAATAAAGTGTACACAATAACGTAACAACTGGAACTTCACCTTGTTTTAAAGGAAAAGATCAGTATTGGAAACGCCCCAATTTCAAAAAATGAAATGCAAGCTCTTATTACCAATCATGTGAAAGAATATGTTTTGAATAATACATGATGATAAAAATGTTGACGGGAAACCGCCTACTAATTGATATATTTGGTAAATTAGTGTATCTCCCGCCTGTTGAGAGATACAAATGCACGTGTCGTGCACGTGTGTGTAGTCCCATATACATCTTTCTGTGTACAGTGATTCTAACTTTATGAAGACTTTGCCAAATTTCTTATCATTTTGATGATTCCAGAACCTTGCAGTACATCTATGCCAGATGATCAACCTTTTCTGATCGATTTCACAATGTTTCTTTCACAATGCAATCGCATAACCATAACTTTAAGCCTTTATATTGCGTATGCTTCGAAAAAAAATCGAAAAGAAAATAAGACAAAAAAAACAAAAATTGACCATAATTATATAGCATGTGCCAGAAAATGTTATCCCATCTTCTTTATTTTTCGATAAAATTTGGATGGGGAAATAATCAACTTTATTTGACCTACTGTATATGTACATAATGCTAATAAAAAGAACATGTAGGCCTTCGTGTAGGCTGCAGTACCCCTCTAATACAGTGAGATGGATTCCCCTACTATGCATCATGTGCAAGTACAGTGAACGCGGCCGTGTAAAATTGGTTCATTAACTTGCTACCAGGCCTTGCTGATTAATGAGTAGGAGATTGTATCAATCTACAGCACCTCCACGACATGCCCTGGGTGATTACCCTCTAGCCTTTCATCCATGCTACCTTTATTATTCCCTTTAAAATACAAAAGTATGTGCATTTAGGGCAGCTATATGTACATGTACAGTGTGTACAGCATAAATGTACCGGTATACCGGTAGCACAGTTGTTGTTGTTTTTTATGTAAAAAAAAAGTTTTTAAAAAATGAAGAAAATATTGTATTACCAATCATAGGCAGATTCCTGAAATTTCTGGTCAAGTAATGCACAAAAAATGTTTTGCATCTCCATATGTTTCAATATTTACATGTAGTATAAAATGACATGTGTTTCAGGTTTTGTACTGGTTCCCAATATGTCAAATTCGTACAGCAAGGTTCATACATTTGTAAGATACACTGCAATTAACCGTGCTGTATTCTATTCCTTTACATACTTTGTACATGTCCAAAATATATATGTTTTTGTATATTCAGCCTACAACACATGTATGTCCAGTACAAACATGTATACATGATGTGAATTGTATTCACTTTTCTTGACCACACAACTGATTTGCACCACCATTTTTTTTTAAGGGGGGGGGGGGGAGGCTGGTATTAAAACTGATAAGCTCCTAGCCTCATTTCATCAACCCATTTATCCACACAAGACATTCAAAGCCTTTAAACTAGGCTATGCTGAAATCTCTGGCTTTAAGCGCAGAGTAAATGAACGAGTCTACCAGTCATCCATTCCATACATACTTTGTCACTCTACATGTATATACAGTGTAGATATAAAGGGAGGTGTGTCTAAAGCTAGTGAGAGCTACATACTGTACAGTGGGTGTGCAATATATAATGTAAAAACACTTTGTACACTATACAATGTATGATACACATGTATGTACTGTACATGTACATTGTACAATGTATGTTACTTTCACTTTCACCCTCAAAAACCCTTACTTTAAATTTCTAAACCCATTTTACAATAATAATACATACTGTTTTATTTGGCCTATTTCTAATCCTTGTTTCGTTCAAATTTTGCACTACATTTCTTGACTATTTTTCAATCCAATCCATATTACAGTCTGTTTTATAGACTCATTTCTTATTTGTTTATTTGTTTTGTTTACTAATGTTTACATTTACGTGTACACTGTATAATACTACAGTACATGTATAAATGTATGTTTTCTACAGTACATCGAAAACTTGATACATGTACATTATCTTTAGTCTTACATCATTTGCATGTACAGTCATTACAGTGTATCGTATTTTAAATGTCAACAAACCCTAATGAATTGAATTGAATCAAATAGTATGTGTACATACTCTGTATACAAATACAAAAGCTATGATGTAAAAAGGCCTTCGTATCAGCATGAAAAAGAATAAAGATAAAGAAATGGACAGGTTACATTGTACTTTCAATATATTTACTACATGTATATAAAGTTAAAATCTGAATAATTCTTACCCTAACCAAGTTTTGTAATTATTCAAGTAAGTGATAATTGATTAGTTCCCATTTTTGGAGAATGCCATATACCTGAACATGTAATACGTCAAATTTACAAGGGGTCTGAATAATTTAGTTGTTCACTGCATATTTGGTCTATAGTATCAATAAATCAGTGCATATACATGTACAAGCCTACATTGTTCAACAATGTACGTAGATGTGTACTGATACACAAGTAGCATTACGCCTTCATGTGCATCATGAGCCAAACAATTAAATGGGGCTGAGCTAGAAAAGGACTACCGGTATCGATTCGTTGGAAGGGGGAGGGGAAGGGGACAAAAACTGCATGTATGCATTTTGCTGTCTAAAAATTGCACATTATTACAATAATGCCAGTGGTAACATCTGGGTTCATCTCTTGGTGTACATGTACATATAGCCCCTGGCCGCCCCTATTTAGGTTTGGAATTGGCGTTAGAGGTAACTTGCCCCAAACCTACCCAAGACAGATTTGAGAACACCAACTACAGTACCGGTAGTCTCTGTAGAGTCTATACACAGACCCTTGAAAGTCATAACACATTACCCAGGGTCTGAACTGGAAGACTATTAGACTGTGCCCCATACATGTACATATACATGTACATGTAGGCCCTTTAAATTCTTGACCACTTTTGGGCCAGTCTTTTGGAAATCTGTCTTGGGTAAGTTATTTTGGTGTTACATGGATCCATCAGATTGTCAAAGAAGTCACCCAAAGAAAATTCACGACAACTGACAATTATGGACAAATTACATGTGTACTGTACTATGCATGGAAAGAATTTCTCTTGAAAAACGTGAAAGATTTGCTGGCAAATTACAAAGATGTCATGAAAAGGCGTAAAATGCAATTTTGTGGCTTGCTGGGTCTCGCATGTGACATCACAATTCTTGACGCTTTACAAAGGACCACTGAAGGCAGAAAATCTTGATCTCAAAATTAACAATTTTAAGAGATGATCACTGCGGGACCCAAACATATTTTGAAGAGGAAAGTTGTTATATTTGATCAGTAAGGCTTACACTTCGCAATGGTATGAATTTCGCATCAATTCAAAACACTTCTGATTCTGTGAGTGACTACTTTAAGGAAGGTACATGTACATGTATATGTTATTGTATACTTACACAAAGCACTGCTCATGCCAGACCTCACCGTGAGAGTTGACAATCCGCTCATCTTGTCTGAAACCGGTGTGGCACCGCACGCACACAGAATTCAAAAGGGACATATCAGTACTAGAGAAAAAGAAAAGGAATGTAATGAATGTACTGTACAGTAAATATGACATGTGCATATCAAAATTGAATGTTCCGGAATACTGAGTTCAATTCAAACATCTGAACCGACAAATTCAGAAATTCCCAAGTGATTACCGGAACATGTATATTTCACTGTGGTTGCAGACCAAGGTTGAAATTTGAAATATAATTTCACAAGGGAAATACTGAAATTACAAGTGAAATAGTGAATATATCGTCCCTGTTTTCAAGAAGTGACGGTAGTGAGGAAAATCGTAACGCAAAGTGAATGCAATTTGTTTTCACTACCGTCACTTCGTGAAAACAGCGACGATATAATACTATGACAGAATGCATTCAATATTTGTTATTATACTGTATGTATTGTATGATCTTCAGCCTTGAATTGAAATTGTCAAAGACATAATTTAAATGTATTCCTATAATGAATACAAATCTATTTTTCAAAATATTCTGAAGAGTAATTTTGCCAAAATCTTATCAAAATTCAATTCAAATTTTATTTAATTCAAAGTTTATTCAACACTCTTCATAAATACAGTACATTTAAAAATTCAAATACAGAATGGAATGATAAAAAACAAGATAGTGATAACAAACAAAATGGCAATTTATGAGCATTTGGGAGAGGCAGAAAGGAGGGATTCCTTATACATGTATGAAAGCCTACACATACATGTACATATGCAGAACAAAGCCATTTTCACAAAAACAGCAACTGTGTCATTTTGACATTGCCAAAAGTGTCCCATTCCTGTGCACACATGTTACTGTAGTATACAAATGGCCAGTCCCATTTTATTTATAATCATAATGAAAGTATAAATCGATCTGAATTTGTCTCCTATGGTTTATGTGGAAACTGTATCGAGCACAAGTGGACAGTGATGACAGATACAATAAAATCAGTGCTTAATGCTAAAGGCTCATTAACATCAAACGGTGAGAATGGAACAACATTGAGAATGCTTTCCGATACCTTTTCCACATCCAAATTGTAAAAATACAAAAAAATGATTTTCCGCCATCTTAACAATATGTAGTTGTGCAGTTCTACTTATGAATTTATTTCAAAGCAAATTACAAACAGAAAAGAGTGACACCATAGCAGTGGTACAAAATACAATGATGCAGATGATCTGTTATTCATCATTTCTTTATAATCAAACCAGTCTAAGAAAATATCAGTTTGTCGCACCATAAATTTTAATGCTTTATGAACTTTGGCTCACAGATAGAGTTGGGACATCATTCTAGTTCTTGTTCTGCTTCAAGCTTGCTAAAACTGTTTTGCCGCTATAATAACTCTGAATCGACCCTTAGTCTTATGTCATGTATGTTCTTAACTTCTTACATTGTACAACAAGTGACTTTGCCTCAGTCCTCAGACTCTGTCTCTGTGATAAATGTTGGTTTTCTTAATGACACGATTAGTTGGTAGGGTATTCCTTAAAAAGGTTCTATTCTTATATCCATGTACTGTACATTGGTAGTACATTTAACATTATACAATAAAAACTCAATAAGTGCTCATGCCATGGTGCTGTAGGCTACATCTTCCTACTTCCTTTAGAAAAAATGGAAACTGACAGCGCAAACTACGGACAACTGCTAGTAATAATGTCAACCTGCTCCTTCTTCTCTTCCTAGTCCTACTCCATCATGATTCCTTACCTTTCATTTCAAATACAATAATTTTGAAAATGACAACTAAGCCACTCCTACATTGTAGCTCATACAATGCATCATTGCATGAAGTCCAACTCTAAACGGTATACTGATGGTAATGTAAAGTAAACCTCGTCTCCACCCCCACCCCCCTTCTCTAGTTTACCCCTCTCTCCTCTTTTTGTTCTTGTTCTCCATCTTCCTCCACTTCTTTGGCAAAATGCTGAAAATTAAGTACAATTACAGATCAACTCCCCCTGTGTAAATAGTGGCTATGCTGCAGGAGTACTCCAATTAACCAGGGCATCGTTTCATGAAACCGTACAAACATAATTTTGAATACACATTTTTCAAGTTTAACAAACGTTTCAATGGGATGTCAGTGGACTTTATGAGTAGACTCTAGGCCTAGATCTATGACAGTTTCATGAAACGATGCCCTATAATCTAGGCTTAGTCTTGGTCAAACCGCATGGCCGCATCTCATTCTCAGCTCAACTAAACTAGATCATTAGATGATCCAAGTCTCAATCACAATGCAAGAATAATTTAATCAGATTGATTCAGAAGTCATTATCTGTCAGAATTCCTAAATAAGAAAGGGGTAGGCCTAGGCTTAGATCTATGTCTTCATTAGCTTTATTCAATTCCTGATGTGCAAATCAAGCTCAACTGTTTGTCCTTGACTCCTTGCTAATGTTTTTTGCGAAAATGCAATGGCAATGCCATGGAACCCGAACTGCAATCAGATATCACTGCAGGCTACAGGCTTTGACCTCTAGCTCCCCGACGTGCACGGGGGCACCCTCCGGTATGCGAAGCATGCAGAGTCCGCTGAATTCATAAACTACTTCTCCCCTGACTCACGCTGTGCTTGGAAGAATTTTCCATTTATAAATCCAAGCTACGCCAGAGCTAGAACACACTTTCATCAAAAATACAATATAAATTTACAGTTTTTAACCCATCATGATCAAAATATCATTCATATCAAGATTATATTTCAACTACAAGAAACACACTCACGTTTTTGTCATCGGTGCTCGATGAAACTGCCAAAAAGCCACTCCTAAAATTACAAGCCGCTTGATTTAGCGGAAGTCAACAACAAGATGTACCAAAATCTAATTCGCTGATTCACCCTACACTTTCACTATGCTATATACTTTGCAATTTTTAGGAGTCAGCGAAATAGTGTAATAGCATAGTTGCGACGGTGTAGGCGCGCGCGATCCGACGTTTTGCCCTTCACATACAATCTTAAACGGGAGGGAAGATTTCCGCGCTCCATGAATTTGACCTATGAACGAGCTCAATTTCTGGTGGTACAACTATTTCTTTCTACTCGCTATACGTATGGGAGCGGTCGCGTTTCTCTGGGGGGGGGGGGGGGGGGGGGGGGGGATCGGCGCTTATACTTGACATAGGTTTTAATCAGTGTTTTGTTTACAAATTACAATCAACAATTAAAAGAATCAAATCAGATAAGGCCAGATATTTGTTTTTAAAGAGTCAAATATAAGTCACAATCAAGTTACAAACAATGTACTTACATAATTGACCAAAATAAAGATGTTTGATCGGAAACAAACTTGATGTAGGCCTATAACTGTTTTCATATTTGTATGTGTTTTTTTCTTGTTCAAAAGTCAAACATAATTTTGAAGAGGGGGTTGAACATAAAATATTTTGTAATGATAACAATGATAGAGAAATATCTACTAGTCTGTAATGACAATTGCATAATACTTCTATGAATATGGTATCAAAGATTATTGCAATGATGTCATTGATGATTTTGTAACATGCGCACATATATGCGTCATCACCAACCAATTCTTGCAAACTCATTGGCACAGTCACAGGCCCTTGACCCCCCCCCCCCCCCCCCCCCCAGTGGCGTAATGAGAACTAACTTGTTTGGGGGTCCGGATATATGGCGGATAACGGTGAGGAAAAAAACGTGGAAAACCATGTCATTTAGTCATCAACATTTGTAAATCACTGATAGCGAATTAGTAATAAACCACATTTGGATTTTAATTGGGGTAAGAGGGCAACTGCCCCAAGAATCCCCCCCCCCCTCAATCAGTACGCCAGTGTCAACCCCTAAGCCATGCTCACATTTTTTAATGTTATTTCGCATTTATCAATTTAAATATAAATAATTATTCAAATTACGACAGGAGATGAATTTGAATATATTTTTGAGGCATACATGGGCAAGAGCGTTGGAATTTATTTGTAATTGGGGGGGGGGAGAAAATAATAAAAGGGCACTTCATTATAAGAATAGGAAGGCCTACAATAACAACACAATGGACAAAGGGTTAAACTCTTGAAGTGAACACAGTGATACTGAAATTGTTTTCAAGCTCGGCCGTCCGAGTGTTGTTCACACTTTAACTACTTAGGCATAGCGACCTAGAAAAAAAGATCTATCACCATAACTTTGCATTTAATAAAGAGCACTTCAGAACCCGAATAGTGTTTACTGTTCCACTTATTTCTTTTCTTTTTGTTCTTATTTTGTATTTTAATTATTATATTTTATTATTTTATTGTGTGAGGGAGAGAGGGAATGATCGACCGCCTCCCTCCTGAGAAATAAAATTCTGTCCCCCAGTTCTCCGGAAACGACACGTCTGCATGGAAAATTCCACATGTATATTCACTTCCTTTTAAAAGAAATTTATTGCATATGAAAGCTTATAGTCATGGGGCTGCTAGGGTCATGGAAAGAGATCCCACCTTTATAAAAAATAAAAATAAAAATCTTTATTGAATAAATATACCTTGCATTCGAAAGAAATAGGCCTTTATATTTATATCATAATGGATGGGGGGTACTATCAGCTATTTAGATATTTTAATAGACAGTCTCATGTGATCGAAGGCATGAGTAATAATTGTAATTATTAAACCAACAATTTCGTTCTTTTTCGTTCCAAGATATGTTCCACTGCTGAGGAAAGCGTTAAGAGTATGAAGACTGTAGGAATAACAAATAAAACAAATAATAATTATTAAAAAACTCGAAGCAGACGGAACTTTCTGTCTACAACTAAATTATTCTTTGAGTTTATTTTCAACTGGTTTCGGCACCTTTCAAATACGATTTAAGCTAGGCCCTGAGCCCCCCCCCCCCCCAGAGTACCCCAAAGTGCCCCTTTTTACATAGGAAAAACGCCCCTTCCCTCTTTTGATCTCTGATAAGTGCCCTTTTTTGACACGTGCCTCTTTTCATGATAAGTTCCAACATTTATAACAAAATAGCTCTTTCCCCTTCTCATAAATGCCTCGTTTTCACTTAAAGCTTATCTGCCGTAGTTTACAGGAGGGATTAGAGAGCCCTGCAAGGTCACTGGACAGGTGGTTATCTCATCAACTCAGCTCTCGGTTAACATAAGAAAAAGAGGATCATGGGGGACCAATGGTCACCGATTAGGCATTGTCTGTTATATAGAGGGCGCAAGTAGCTACAAGTATGCGCAGTGGGCCTTTAAGAAAAGTGTTCCTTTTAATTCTCATGAGAACCCCTTTTCATCTATGGTAAATAACCTTTTCAGGTACGAGAAGTTATTCCTTTTTACTTCAGATAAATGCCTATTCACCTCTAATCGCTCCAATTCTGAGAGATGCTCGTTTTACTTTGACATGTGCCCAGAGGCGGCGGAGCGACTTCCAAAGTGGGGGGGGGGGGGGGGCACCAACAAAAAAAGGCACTTTCTGGGGGAAAAGGGCACCTGCAAAGGGAAATCTCAAAGCGAAAATAAACAATTTTTAGACATTGGTATATACCCCTAAAATTTGATTACATTATCAGGGATGATTTCAATATTTGTTTCTCTTTATACATCGTATAAAATATTGCTTTTTAAAGCATCATACCTTGCAGTTGGGTGTGATGGTTGAAAAAATCATTTGCGAGCGAGGAAAACTTTAAGATTTGTGAGGTCACAGTGCGAAAACTACATCTTATAAAGAGGAAAAAACCAATCCTCATCGGGTTATAAATAAACACATTTTCATAACAGCAAACTGAAAAGACCTTTGATAATTAAGTAACATAATTATAACATCTATAAATGTGAGCAAGCTAGCGAGCGAGCTTTGGGAGATATTGCTCTTAGTCGCTTGAAATTAGGGGCACGTTTAATGATGAGAGGAAAGGGGGACACTTATCGAAGGGATAAGACACTTATTAGAAAATAAAAGGAGCACGTGTCAAAGTACAAAGGGTTATTATCAGAGGTGAAAATGGGGCACTCACCAGGGATGAAAAGGCACTTATGAGAATGGAAATTGGGCATTTGTCGACGGAAAAGAGGTAACCATCAGATTTTGATTGGGGCACTTATGAAAAAGGGATAGGTTTCTCAAAAGAAAGGAAAAGGGGCACGTATCATTGTTAAAAAAGGTTAATTATCAGAGGTGAAAAGGGGCACTTATCGCACCTGAAAAGGGGCAAACACCATATATGAAAGAGGCACTTATGAGAATGAAAAAGGGGCACTAATAATAAAGGGAAATGTGCATTTGTTGAAAGAAAAGGAGCACCGTTCAGATTTTGATGGGGGCATTTATTGGAGGTGAAATGGGGCTTTTATGAAAAGCGGAAATTATGAAGGAAAAAGAGCATTTATTATGAAGGAAAAGGGGCACGTGTCAAAATAAAAGGGGGTGTTATTATAGGTGAAAAGAACACTTATCAGGAGGAAAAGGGGGCACTTGTCAAAATAAAACGATTGTCTCTCAGAATTGAATAGGATCATTTACCAGAAATTAAAAGGAGTACTAGTAGGAGAATGAAAAAGGATTATTTTCATAGGTGAAAAGGGGCATTTATGAAAAGGCGAAGGGCTCTTTGTTAAATGGGGGCACTTATCATAAGGAAAAGGGGCACTTATTAGAAAGGAAAGGGGGCACATGTGAAAATATAAGGTGCACTTATCCGAGTTAAAAAGAGGTAGTTATTAAAAGGGAAAGGGGCACTTCTTACAAAGGAAAAGAGGCAATTGTCAGCATCTCCACAAAAAGTTAAAATGAACGTGTTTTTACACGTTTTTTCCCCCTGGATCCGCCACTGCCCTTTCCTCTCATCATTAAACGTGCCCCTAATTTAAAGCGACCTGGAGCAATTTCCCCCAAAGCGCGCTCGGGTCGCTCACTCGCATCTATAATGATTATGTTACTTATCAAACTTTTATATAAGAGAAAATGCTTATAAGTTATGATCCTATCAGGATTGGGTTTTCCGCTCATTTATAAGACGTCATTTTTTCGCACTGAGACCCCACAAAAAAGACCTATTAAGATTTGTCATCGCTCACTCGCAAATGTATATTCAAACCATCACACCCAACTGCAAAGTATGATGCTTATTAATTGAGCCCCGCCCACCCCACTTCAAATAACTGTTGTGAATTAGGTTGTCTGAGCTGAGCAGATGAGGGCCGAAAATTCGCTCAGTGGGGAGGGGGGGGGGGGACACATGCCCCTGTGCCCCCCCCCCCCCCCCCCCCCCCCCCCCCCCCCCCCCTCTTCCCGCTATTTCATCAATAATCTGTTCGACTAAATTTTTAATCCTAATATCTTTTCAGAATTATGAATAAACTTCTACAAAAAACTACGAGCCGTGGTATTCGGAAAACATCTAGATCTGGAATCATTATTGGTAACTTAGTAAAAAAAAAAAATCGTCGATTCGACGATGATGCTGACGCATATCTCTATGTGCTGACGTCACCTCGACAGGCGATGTTCAGTCGATTATTTCAGTTTGTCATACGAGAATCCCACGCGCGTGTCTTGAAATTAAACGTGAAATGATGGGTTTTATCGCTCCAATACAACCTCCACAGGCTCCAGTAAGATGGCAGAAAGAGGATACTATTGCCTTTGTGGAAAAGCAAGACTTGTCTAAGGGGACATTATACATAGCTGAGAGGTAATTCAAAAGAAACCTGGTACAATTGGTGCAACGATACGAGCCCGTGAAATGTGGCCAAAGCTCCCTTCTTTCATCGGAGGAGTGTAGGCCTGGTGTTCGTTGAAATTGTGCACTCACGCGGGCTTAGTTCAACGGCAGTTCAATTCAACGAACAGTTCGATTCTCTGTTAATAAATCATGATAAACGGAAAGGAGTATATGAAGTAGTCTCTGATGTCCATTTCATAACGATACAATATATTAAGCTTTGCACTAAGTCTATAGTATAGTAGTAGGCCTATACTATAGCCATGATAGCCTAGGGTCTAGACCTAGCTATGGCTTAGACCGAAAGCTTCAGTCTCTATAATCGTCGGTTGTTCCACTGAGACTACGTCTGGCTCCACTAGACCTCCGGTTATAGAGACTGAACGACTGCCTATGCCAGCCTGTGTTGAACTTATTCCGCTAGATTTTAGCCGCTAGGCCCCTCCCACAAACTTGCCACGGCCGTATTGTTATGCCCCCAAAATCCCCCAAAATGTCATTTTACCTCGTCCATATCCAATTTTAAATTAGGCCTAGGCTATAATACATCGGTTCCACTTACTAATTTGATGTAAATAATCCGTTTAATGGTCCCTTTTAAGGAAATTATGGGTCAAAATCGACATCCATGTTGAAAATCTTGCAAGCCGTCCGTTAAACTCTCGCTGCCGTCAATCTCATCCCTTCTAGTCTACGCCGAAGGCAAAATGATAATGAAGGAAAAACTGTGCGCCATCTACACGTTCGTAATGGCGTTATCACAGTTTTTTCCTTCATAATCATTTTGCCTTCGGCGTAGACTAGAAGGGATGAGATTTACGGCAACGAGAGTTTAACACGGCTTGCAAGATTTTCAACATGGATGTCGATTTTGACCCATAATTTCCTTAAAAGGGACCATTAAACGGATTATTTACATCAAATTAGTAAGTGGAACCGATGTATTATAGCCTAGGCCTAATTTAAAATTGGATATGGACGAGGTAAAATGACATTTTGGGGGATTTTGGGGGCATAACAATACGGCCGTGGCAAGTTTGTGGGAGGGGCCTAGCGGCTAAAATCTAGCGGAATAAGTTCAACACAGGCTGGCATAGGCAGTCGTTCTGTCTCTATAACCGGAGGTCTAGTGGAGCCAGACGTAGTCTCAGTGGAACAACCGACGGTATAGAGACTGAAGCTTTCGGTCTAGCTATGGCTATGCCATGTACTATAGGCTATGACCCTAATGTGCTAATGAGAAAATAGTAGATTGTCAAACCTAATAGATCTATTAATAGTCTAGGCCCTAGTCCTAGACCCTATTCTAGGTAGAGACTAGAGACTAAAGACTCTAGGTCTAGATCAAGCCTAGATTATCATTTAACCACTTTCTCGATCTGTGAATCACTGAATGTGATTTTGAAGTTTGAGTTTTAATTGAACTTGGACAGTTGCAATAAAATGTGTTCATTGTTTGTATGAATGAAATGTACGGAGCCAGACTAGATAGATGTGGAGGGGGGAAGTCCCCTTGTCATCAGACAGACACAATATTAGTCTAGGTGTGTTGCTTTGGATATTGTAAACAAGTATGGCATTTGTTTTAAATAAAAGGAAAATTCCACATTGCCAGACATTTTCTTTTATCTTATTTTGTCTTGTGTTAATCACAAACTTAAAGTAATTTGATTCTTTCTTTGCAGTCATGTAGCATGGATCAATCCCAGCGGTCAAGGATTCAACATCCCTTACCGCGCCATCACAGTTCATGCCATATCCAGAGACCTGTCATCGTTCCCCCATGAGTGCCTCTATCTCATGATCGACTCCGATGTCATGGGTGAGCTCAGAGACGTCCCGGGCCATGGCGGAGACGAGACGGACCCAAGACAACAACAGCGACGACGGCTTTGAGGAAGAAGAGGGCAATGAAGTCCGAGAGATCCGTCTGGTTCCACAGGATAAAACAATGTGTAAGTGAAGACTTGGGATGGGCTACCAACTGTGAAACAACAGTTAGTTTGTAAGAGCGCTATAGACATGACTTTATTGTATTGTATTGTATTGCATTGTACCTCTTTTGTATTTCAAGGGGTCTTGGCTGAACTTTTTGTACCCGAGTTACACGCCTCTAAACCAACCCCAAAAGGACCGATCGGTGTTCACTACATTTGCTGGAAGGCTGTTCGTATTAACACAATGAATACAACTTTTGTTAAGGAACAAGTTAAACAACTGTAGCTTGTTTTTTTGTAAGAAGCCTCTTTCTTTATACCTTTTGAAGCTTATGAATGACAAGTAATTTTGATTTTGGTAAAGTGGATTGGTAAGACTATAGAGTACCAAAGCTGTCACATCATAAAAATCTATTTTTTGGATTTCTCAATTTTTTCTTCATTTTCCGAAAGAGCATAAAAAATAATGTCCAAATGTCGAAAACCAATTGAATATATGTTAAGTATTGGCTGAGATATAACTATCTGAATAAATATATGTCCTATAGGAACTCAGTGTCATATTGCTCTGGCTCGTAATGTTACTTCAAAATCAGTGTGAATATTAAATAAACATAAAAATTATCTATTGAACATGAAAAAGCAATGTTAGGTCTACTAATAACATAAGTTGGTTTCAAAATGTGGCTCTTCTTGAAGGAGTGCTGATAAAAAATTGTCACTTTTTCGGATAGGACACTTTTTGACACACCCCTGACAAACAAATTTGAAACGGGCATTTAACAAAAACTGAGTAAGTGTGGGAAAAGTTAATATCATAATTTTGTAGGATATTAGTGATTCTTTTCAAGGAGGTAAATAATTAATTGAGTGCGGTCTTACTTTAAATTATAATGCTGATTTCGGAGAGGACATTTTTTGACACATTTTGCACCTCATTTTTGGTGCAAAGTTAAAATTTGTAGATTTGCCAAAATATTACACCCAATTCAGATCTTACATAGACCCGTTGGAAGAGTTAATTCTAATAGTTGATAATGTTTTTTTTGGTACGTATGTCAGATATGCACATATTCAAACTTTGCCAAAAATGAAGTGAGACAGCAAAAATGTGAAAAACGGCATATAATTACATATTTGGTCGTTTCAAACCATTTCTTCGCTGTTGTAGGTTGATCTAACGGTGCAAAATAATTGACCAAGGAAGATTTTCCTTGGCTGTTAACTGTTTTGTTTTTAACGACCATCAAAGTGAGTTTTTCTATTGTGTACCCTGATTGTAAAACAACCCATAAACCTATTACACATGTCATATGTTCCTAATCTTCCTGAAGGGTTAATAACTCATGTAAATTTTTTCCCCTTTAACAGTACAGAGCATGTTTGAAGCTATGTCGCAATGTCAGGCATTACATCCAGATCCAGATGAGTCAGACAACTCAGATCCTTACGACCAAGGTGGTGAGTAAAATAGAATTACTGTACACAGTTTGACCATTGTTTGTAGCATATTTGAATCGCTTTCCCTCAAGTTATTTCCTTTATACAAGGGAATGATTTGCCCCAAAAAATGTATTTAGAAAGGGCCCTTTGAAATAAAATTCCTTCAATGTAAACTGTTCAGGCCTACAGAGACAAGACATTCCAGTGTCTACAATGATAGAAATGTTGAAAGAAATTATTCTTATCATGATCAGGTCTGATTATCATTGTGTTATTTTCATCATTGAGAATTTCATTTTCATTTTGAATCATGGATTTTATTCTATTTTTTTTTGGGGGGGGGGGGTACCATGTTAATTACAAGTTCATAACTTTGTATAATTTTTTATTAAGATTATTATCATTAATTATTTTCCTATTGACAGTTTCTATTAATTATATTATTGTGATTTTTCTGCAGAGTTATCACGATCATCATTTTAGGGCAACCATGTCCTTGTGAAGACTTATTATTATTGTTCTTAAAAAAAAAATGAGAGTATTTCTATTGTTTTATTGTTTTATGTACATGTACATGTATTGGTAAAAACTCATGAACAGACCGCTTTTCCGCCAGTCCATGCACATAATTAAAAACAGGTACATCATTGATAAACAAGTCTTGTACAAATTCAAACAGTTACAAACAAATATTGAAAATTATTAAACGTAATCATGATTATCATTCTAAGTGGTGATAATTCCCTTTTTGTGATTTGTTCTTCAGATGAGGATGAGGAGGTAGGAGAGGAGGAAGGAGGAGAAGAGGATCCCGAGATTGGAATAGAGTTGATCGTAGCGGATGGAGGCAATGGTGATGCCATGGATACTGGGCAGTTCGATGATGCAGATATGGGCCCAGAGCATTGACAATGTTCAATTCATTCCATCCTATTGAAGCTGACATTTAAGGCTTGTTTACAAATATGATGCAGGGAAACTGCTGTGCATTTTATTTACATTCGGTGAAGTCGAATGAAACAAAGCACATGTAGCTGCGCACAACAAAAGGTGCTCACAACAGAAGGTACTCACTTTTCTATGGGTTTAAAGATACAAAAATATCAACTTGTCGTGTACCATAGAAACAATCTCCCAGTGACACATTGCATTCTCATGGGATGGTTATGGCAGTGGATTCGAGGTAATCTAAATGTTTCTGGTATGAAATTGATCTGTACAGGGCCTTGTTTCATAAAACTTTTTATCAATAACAAGTTACAAGCTGCTGAAATCGTGGCATTTGATTGGCCAAGAGCAAATTTTTCATAGGAATTTAGCTTTGTTATTGATAACAAGCTTAATGGAACAGGACCCTGGTGTCGGACGAGTTGTCATTTAGCAAATGGGTAGTTATGCAAACCTTCTTTCCATCGACACCTATTAATTTGTGCAGAATAGCATGTGTGGTAAATGAGCAGCTGTGCCTATTGGCACTCGAGGCAAGGATGCTTAACGTCATTATAAAAAGAGAATCTAACGCAGTTTATCTTGTCATGTATGAAGTTGTGAACGAACAGGTGCCCTCTCCAGTCTTCAATATAATGAATATGTTTAGAGTTTAGACAAGTTATATGTATTCAAGTGCGGGGATGTTTCTTCACAGAAAAAAAAAACGAGCTGGGAAAAGGAAAAGTGTGTTGACATCAAGTCAATTTCAATATAAGAACATAAATCAGAGACATATCTTGCGTACCTTATTAAAGTGTAAATCGAGTATAAAAGAAAACATTATGCCCCCAATCACCTCCTCTCTAGCTCTTTTCTAGGCACCGGAAAATGTGATAAATTTCCTTTTCATTTTATTACTAATTTTGCTTGCCAGGGAATGTGGAGTAGAAAGTACTCCAACAGTACAATGACTTTTGTTTGGTACATATAAATTTGAATATCTGAGTATTGACTTTATGTTCGATTCGATTGTGCATAATTTCATTTCCTGTTTTGGGATTGCCTTTAGGCTGCAGCAGTGTTTGAAGAGAAGGTTGACTTTCTGAAACAGATGAATATAAATTGTGAGCTTTTTCATTATTTTCATGTTAGTTTTGTTGAGAATATCATAGAAAACATATCCCTTGAGGCTCTTCATGTGGCATCATATTTTATTTATGACAAGGAATAGCTGAAGTGTTTGGACCAACATTTTAATGCCACTTGTGACTTGTGACTGTAGTTTCATAAAGTCATGTGCAGTGCATGTGACTTTCATCGAGATGGAGTCAATCTCTTATTACTTCTACGACTCCGAAACCCCACAGTACATACCAATACTGACATGTACAGGCTGACATAGTTGACCTTTTCCAGTATCTTTCCAGACACTTCCACAATGCGTACTTTATGCTTGACCAGGACCCTGTTTCATAAATTTTGTTATCAATAACAAGTTGCAATAAATGATATAAGTTACTGAAATTGTTGCTTTTGATTGGCTGAGAGCAAATTTGTTATAATAATATGGCACTTGTTATTGATAACAGGTTTTATTAAAAGCTGCCCAAGAGTTAACCTTCTCTTTAAGCCTTATAGAAGCCTGTAAGAAGCAGTTGTTATGGCTGGGGTAAAAGCGCTCAGCAGCTGTTCTCTCACTCTGTTTCCCCAGACAGTGTCCTATCCTCCGAATCTAGACAGCATCCCTGCCTAAAATTACATTAAGGAGGTCCATGCAGGGCTGGATCTTAATATTCAAGGCTTAAGTTTTTCAGCAAGTGTGTAGTATTAATATTATTATTATTATCATTATTACTTTTTTTTTTTTGGGGGGGGGGGGCTGGGGTTGGATGGGTAACTAGTATGATGAAGAAATGAAACTAATTATTTTTTTTAATACCTCTATAGGATTGTTAAGCCAATTTGTATGCAGAATTACATGTATAACTTGTTGAGGTTTGCTCTTCAAAAAAAGAGAAATCTATACATTGATGTGTAGTATTGAACTTTGGATAGTCTTGTACCGGTACTTATACTTATTCAGTGAATACTCTCACGTCTACATGTAATTGTATACATCAGGGCCCGCATTTCATAAAACTTGTTATCACTGACAAATGCTAAATTTCTATGACGTACCGATAGTTGCTCTCACCCAATCAAATGCCACAATTTGATTAGCTTATAACTGATATTGTATTACTTCTTACAAGTTTTATGAAATGGGGCCCTGTATGCATATTGCTCAGGATAATGTTCACTTATTTCAATTGATTTTTTGTTGTTGGTGTGTTTCTCATACTAAATATGAGAAATAGAACACCCTTTGTAAAAATTTGTAGATAATTCAGCAACTGGATTTCTCTTCAAAAGGGAGTACTTGTACAGATGATGTTGTAACTTTTGGTATAAATATATCTTTGAAAGAAATATTGGAATCCTTTGTTGCTCATTACATCATGTGTTGAGAGCCAGAATGTTTTATATAGAGAGAGAGAGAGAGAGAGAGAGATGCAGGGAGTGGGAGAGAGAAGGAAAGACAGTGAGAGATACAGACGATGAGTACGAGTCAGATACAGAGTGATACAGACAGACAGAGAGATAGGGTCAGAATATTTTATAGACAGAGAAAGTGGGAGAGAGATAGTGGGAGAGAGAGAGATGTAGACAGAGAGTGCAAGTAGGAGAGAGAGACAGAGAGAGATTGGGTCATTTAATACCTTGCTGATCCTCGACCAACAACTAATGGAGTTCAAGTGTGCTGTGCTTTGTGAATAGACGTGATGTATGGTATTGTTTAGAATGTGTTATATGAATATTTGGAACCACCAACTTGGCACATTACCTCTGTACAGTGTAAGTTACTATTGTACACATTCTAATCAAATAATTTGTGGAAAATATGTTTTAATAAACATACGGTACTCAATGTAAATATTCATTCAGGCATATAACGATCAATTAGGCTCTGTTGTGTTTAATAAATGCCCTGGATTTTCTGATGAGTGCGAGATATCTCTTTTACTGAGTTGACATAGATCCTTATTTTGTATGTACCTATGATGATAAGGAATACACTGGGAGTACGAGTCATAGTCGCAAGGACACACAAATCAAACAAAATGCAGAGAAGAAAAGTTTCGGTTTTTATAACCATGCATTTATCATCATGTTTTGTCTCAAACTACATCCTGTAAATACATCAACATATTTTTTGTTTATCCGTTGGTTTATCTCTCCTCGTCCACTTGAAAATAGCGTATAATAATGGTAACAATGGTTATACTCTCCATAAAAACCTATCTAAATGTACCTACCTAACATTGTGCATGAATAGAAAAATCACACGTATACATACATCATGAACTCTACATACTTGAATAACTGGAGCCTCGTTCATACGTGATGGGTAATATCGTCGTGAGCCCTGGTGAGAACACAGCGGGAAAGTAAAGTGTAATACACTTTGCATTTATGAATTATTCAACACAGAAGTATGCAAGTACCGCGAGCCATACCTGTATTCAATAAAGCATGTGGATTAAGTCAGTATTTTACTTGGCTAAGTAATATGTTCATACAATACAGTGTATTTGACTCGTATTTCGATCACATATGATCATTTTACTTAAAAACACTTTATACGGTACCGATAATCATTGTGACAAAATCATGCCTGCCAAACAATGCATCCAAAATATTTTGCTTAAGTCTGCTAGAGAGCTGTCTTAAATTTAGAGTAAAGTTCTAAGCCGAAGCCCAAAAGATTCAACTGAATACCAAAGTTGGCCAAGTATCCTATCTAAGCCGAAAAACTAAGTTAATTTCTCCTATTTCGAACTTTTGAATTGAATAGACTAGGGCCTTTCTCGCACTCAGCGACTCATGTTCATCCCTTCACATGACTTCTAGACGGTTTACAACAGCACGTATGAACGAGGCATTTCTCTGTACATGTCACACCACAACCTTACTTTAAACAGTACACAAATCACGACCTCTAGATGGTTCAACCTGTAAAATCAAACTTTCAACTTGTGGAGAATTAAAAATCAATGTTGATCGATTAAACAAAATAAATTAAAATTATTAAAAATAGAGTTCAATAATGCACATTGAGGAGTCATTACTGCTTTCTCTTCTTAACTTCAAATCAAGATAAAAAGGTTCTTTTATCCTTCATAAGTTTGCTTTTATCCTTCATAAGTTTGCTTTTATCCTTCATAAGTTTGCATACTTGCTGCTACGTAAGTGGGTGAAATAAATTAAATTAAAATATACATGTATATCTACTCCACAGTGGTGAATTCCAATGGTCAAACGACCAACTATCACTAGTGTTTTTATCCAACGTCAAAAGAACACACGACCCATAACCACATACCAATGTTACTCAGACGCACTGCATCAACCGACCAACAGTCAAATATTTAGTAAACAGAGTGTAAAATGTGATAGAAAAACAGTGAGAATCATAGAATACATATATATCAAACACACGTAGGTATAGATTGACTAACATAAGTAAAGAAATAAGGCAACTCTTTGTTATAAAGTGTACCAATATCAGGAAAAAACACTAGAATGTTAAAAAAAAACATGCATGTTATCTAAAATGAACTAAAAACTCATATTTACAAGGGCAAGACATAGAATGGATATAAACCTAAAGTTTGTACAATATTCAGAGAACTATACAAAGTTGTTCTCTCCCCATTAATTCAGAATCGACGTTAACTGTTGGGCTTTCATTTCATTACCAATTAATATTTCATATCCAATGCCATATTTGTCTAACAAAGATAGTACCGATTTATTTCTGTAATGGATTTTGGCATTTTGCTGATGTGGTCATAATCTAGGGATGCTTGAATGCACATGTCCAAAATGTTTTTATTTCTGTTTTAGAATCAACTGTACACTTTATCTCAATAATAATATGCCATTTTGAAAAATGTTACTTTCCCCATCATCCATCCATCCCCTTCCGTCCCACACAAGCAATCTCATCAATTTATTCATTGAGAAAACAGTGCGACAATGATGGCATAAACATCCCATGATTAGAAAAACATTATCTCACATTTTGTGTTGCATTAACAATGTTGCACAAGTTTAAGAATTGAGACAACGAATGACAATTTAAACTACACAATCAGCTACAGTCCTGGATGGAGAAAAGCCAAAGTGCCTTCTGAAAGATATGGTAGCACTGAGCAAAGAATATATGAACCCCTGATTGCAAAAGCATGAATCAAAATTTGCCAAAAAAGCACCAGTAAATAGATCACTGCAATACAAGTGGGAAGGGTGAAACTCTCCTAGATAGATAAATAATCTGTACAGTAGCGCTTTGCCTTTTTTCTGTGGAATGTTTAGGTGAAGTTATGAATTCATGGTAAAAATGAAAAATTAAAAGAAATACCAGAGATGACATAGATCAGTTTGATAAAGTAAGCTTGGATGATTATTAGAAGTTCACCTTCAGACCTACTCCACTCCATAGGGAAGTCATGGAGTCACCATATCTCTTACAGCCAAAATATGACTAGATTTCAAAGAAATTGCATTTTGAAATTCTGAAAACATGCTTAAAATTTTTTTTTTAATAATAACCTCAATCAGAAAGGAAAAAAATAATATCATATCTCATCCTTTCGCAAAAATTCAAAATCTAGTCCTAGTTTGGTCTTAAGACGCATGTTAAAGCCTACGCAGTTAACCTGAATTTTGCCATATGGGCTGGACAGCTGTCTGCAACCATATGGTCTCTTTGGAGCCAGAAAGGTGTTGCCTCTGCATAATATGATACGAGCCAACACCCTTACGGCTCCAAACAGATGATATAATTGACATACAGTATGTGACTCAGACTTGCCAAAGATATACAATGTACGTGTACATGTATCATATGACATAAGCAGATGTACCTGATACAGAGTTACAGACAGTCGCAGTGGACCTCAGCTTACAAGCTTGGCAAGGGCATCTCTAAGGCTAGCCCTATGGAGATGGCGATAGATTTTCCTAATACATAACACCAAAGCCGAACCTGAAATATGGGGATTCTGGTGCTTTCGCTCAATGAGCCTGACAAGAGACCTTGGGATGTTGATGCCCCATATCGTCTTCCAGTAAGAATCGCTGTAAGAGCTATGTATTGTCAATGGCTGCAACAGCCTCCTTGCAGGAAGCTTGCAATATATTTTGTACACTATGAAGCCTGAAGATATCCTGAAACACAGAGGTCACTGGGCCTGAGTTCAGAAGATTTAGTCTCAATTCTTAAACGGTATCCTAAGAAATCCATGATCTCATCTTAGTCCTCCTTGACATGCTGAGAAGATGGGAGTAACAGGCCACTTTCTAGAATGCAAGTAGGACTGCTGTAGCCAAGATCAGCTTGCGTGTAACAGGAGTCATGGTAGGAGTAGCAGGCCGCTTTCTACAATGAACTAGGACTGCTGTGGGGGATAGCCCTGGGGTTGTGCCAACACACAGCTTGTGTGTAACGGAGGTCACGGCGAATGACTTTACCAGTAAATAGAATGCTCTCATTGATGGAAGTTCCCCTCCATATTTGATCTGTAAATGACATTGTCCACTTGAGAAGCCCTTCCCCAAATAGACACATGGCTTGAAAAGGTTTGCATTGCATTTACATAGCAACCACACATAAACATGCACATCAACCCAAATAAAACATGCAAACTTTTTACAACTTCAGAACTTTTCATTGTGCACACATAAAAAAAAATGTTTTGACTTCTTCAAAGAAATGTAAAATATGAAATGAAGATAAATAGCCTAAAAATGAAGGAAAAAATCAGTTGAAAAAAAATCAACTCCATTCTCTCAATTCTGCAGTTCATTATTCCCATAAGTTGCCAGTCTTTTTTATTTTTAACTTACATCTTTTCACAATTTTAGGAATATGCCATTTACCCCAAATTGCTCGTGGCTTCCTAAATGGGAGCCCAATAATATATATCAAAGTCCTGCCCTTCCATGGAGGTTACATTTTAACCATTCATGACTTTTTATGATTTATGGAAAACTGGCACAATCTCAAGTTGATATAAGCAATAGCTTTGAGCACTGCTAAAAAGGTGAGGTAGGAAGAAGGCCGACTTCACAAAGATGGCTATCGACATCCTTATCAAGAATTCATTTTCACATCAAGAGAAGTCCTGTTATTTTTAACAAAATGGCTGATATTGTTAGGATACCATTTATGTTATCTGACATTCATCACTGTTTCATTTTGACATTACAAACTCTCTCTTCTGACAGAGCATGCATGCCAGCCAACATTCCACAACAGAGAAATACTGGTAGGGAATCTCTCTTACAGTAAAATCAGGAAAACTGTGTATTCTGTATGCTATCTTGTAGAAGTTTCAGACGAAAGAGAGAAATCTAGGATTCATAACATTTAAGTTTGAAGGCCGGAAAATAAGGATTCAGTACTCCAAAATGAGAACAGTTGGCTGGTATGCATACATAAAGAAAAACATTATGCCTTTAAAATCCACACTTGTTTGACTTTTCCTCCACAAATAAAAGCTGGAGAGGGGACGGGAGGGAGGTGGGGTAATGCCCTGCAACTGTTGGGCAAAGGAATATACATGGACATGCAACCTGCTTGCCCCAACCTGACATATCACTAGCCCATCAGTCCGGAGGGGAAATATAACTGGACATGCAATCTGCTTGTCCTAACCTGACATATCACTAGCCCATCAGTCGGGCAAAGGGAATATAACTGGACGTGCAAACTGCTTGCCCCAACCTGACATATCACTAGCCCATCAGTCGGGAAGGGAAATATAACTGGACATGCAAACTGCTTGCCCCAACCTGACATATCACTAGCCCAGGCCCAGGCCCAGCTGGAAGGCAAGTACCTGTATCATGCACCCTGAGTTTCAATATTTAGTGTATAATAAAATATTTCTTAGCATTGCATGGATAGGTTCCAAACAAAGGCTAACCAAATTTATTTGTTCAGTTTAGTCTGTCTTGGATATCTCTTTGCTTTCATTTGTTTAGGCACACGTCTATTCGGGACCCAACATTATGTACCACGGCTGTGAATGAAACATATCAAAGAACAAAAAAGAAAACTTTACAGTCTGCCCCATCTAGCTAAACACAGAAATCCACTTTCCTACTATTTCCCATCATCATTTATTTTAAACAAATTCAATACTTGACAAGACGTTCCCAAACTGAACTATCCCTAGACACTCCCTCACTTAACTATCCCTATGACCCCTAAGGTATCTTTAAAAAAAAAAACTACGGTATCTTCAAAACGACAGTTAAAAATACACATATAAAAAGAGGATGAAAATGTTGACAACTAGGTGCCACCTGGAGACGATGGCATCGAAAGCTATCATTAAATATGTCCGTTGGCTTGTCGGCGACCGGCGTGGTAGGCCGAGTAGTCTGCATAGCTTTGGGTAAGTTTTTCGCTCTGGTAACGAGTGACACGTATAGTTCGGCGGAACTCGTCTCGTATTACCGGTACCGTGTACCCTCCCTTACGCAAAAGATGGTCTATCGTTTGCTTCTTGGTCCACTCTGTATGCAGAAGAAAAAAGGAATAAAAGAGACAAATTGAGTGACTTATTGATTATGTTGATATTTATGTGACAAAACCACTGCAGTTTTCCATGACATACATTACATGTAAATTGTAATACACTTCATGTTTCTGAATCTTATAACGTAGAGCTCAGTCCTTTATTGCACGAAGTTGCCATTCACTTTACACGTAATAAAAACCGTAGTATATTTTTTTACAAGTATGTAAATATAGAACCCTTCCTTGCCTCCAGCCCCCCCCCCCCTCCCCCACACCAGAAATTGCAAATGTACACAGATCTTAAATGGGATTTTGCTTTCTTACTGATCCAATCCATAACCCCATTGCCAAACGAGCACATGGGAGTCTTAACTCCTACTGTAAGTATGTTAGGGTCACTTGACTGTGAATCACAAAGGTCACAGTTCAGGTACAGCACTGCACTATAAATACCCTTTTCCAAGACATTAACCTGTTGAATACTGAAGTATGTAATTCCCATAGGCTTAATACAGGAACCCACCGCAACCCCTTTGTATAGTCAAGGGGTAATCTGCATTTGCCACTCTCAACCCGGGTGTAGTACATTTGTGTTTTGTATAAAGTACATGTAGGTACCTGGTGGAAAGAAACTCTGTGAATGCTTGAGCACCTTAACATGGTAGCTCAGTAATAGCCAAGATAATCATATGATTGCCAGGCCCTCATGGAGAGCATTGTTAATACTGATGAGGCTACCCTGGGTAAACAAGACATATAATTTTGACAGGGTTGTGATAAAAAAAATATTGAACATGTTTTTATGGTCATAAACTTTTTTTATTGCTTAATTTTTTTGTTTGTTAAACGGAAACATGTTTTCACTGCGTTAATTATCAGTCATTTACAGTAAGGACATCGGCGACTGTGGCGTATCTAGGTATTATGGCACCGGGGCAAACAATGAAATTGCAGTATATTTTTTGCAATTTTAACCCTAAAAAATCTAACCTCTGATGCATTTTACCCATTTACAAATTTTGATTGGTAGCCCTGAAATCATAGCCATACATGTATGGGGGTGAGACCCGGTGGCTGAATATCAACCATCATCTTTATAAATTTCATGAGCGTGTGAAGCAAGTGAGCAATTTTTAACAACGTTCATGGGGAGGGGGGGGGGGGTGAGGCTTGATAGTTGAATATCAACCATCTTGTAAATGCCATGGTTGAGCAAAAGAAATAAAAATACATGAACACAGTAGGGGGAAAGGGGGGGGGGGGCTGAGGTCTGGCATCTACAATGTAACTATCAACTAGCCTGGTTATTAATTTCACAAGCAAACGATCATCATGGCAAACTAGAGTGGCAAATTTTGAGCATCATTTTGTGGGAAAAGTACATATACATGTTGTTTTCTATTGCCTTTTTTTGTCTCAAACTATAATTCATTTGTTAATTTAGGATCATAATTTTGTTTTCTTCCTCCCCTCCCTTTTTTTTTGGGGGGGGGGGGGGGGAGGTGGCCCTTCAAGTGCTGCCCAGGGCACATGCCCTCTCTGTCACCCCATAGATAGGCCACTGAGTAAGAGACTCATAATGGGCCTTTTATGTCATCAATATAAATGTTGAACTAATGATGAAATATAATGAAATTTAAAGTTTTGAAATTTACACATTGCCGAAATCATAGGGGAAACAAAAATTTGCGAAAGCTTGCCCCCTTCTAAAGTGTACTGACACAGGGCAGACATACATCAACATGCTTGTTGTATAAACAATAGAATGGGCAATCGGGCATGATTCAGCAAGGCCCAAATTAAAAAATTTGAAGACTTTAAGATTTTAAACACAAACATCCCAGCAACAGTCCACAACATTGACAATGTTTGTTTAGCGAAAATCCTATAAAAATTGTGCAGAAAGCGATTGAGACCAACTTATTGGTCCAAAGGACTTTATCCTCTTGGGCTGACCCAAAGGTATTGTGTACTGTTGACTGCAAGTACACTTCGATAACTTTTCAAAAGACCCAAGAGGAGAGAGACAGAGTGGAGAAAGATTTTATTCCAACAGCATTTTAATACGTAACTGTGGAATCATGTTCAGCCTGTACTTACCAAAATGAATGCAAAACAAAGTAATTTAAGCCACACAAAAAATAGCACATTAGGAAAAAAAGAATTTATAACATACCTGATTAAGGGGCATTTCAAATCATTGTTTTTGTGTTTTAAAAAATGGTAATTTAAAACGTGATTAAAAAATGGGGTATTTTAAACGTGCCAACCCTGTAATTTACTTTTATTATAATTACATATATATTCATTATCACTTACCCTGCTCAGGAGGGACTTCAGGTAGATAAGTAGCAGACTTTTTGTTCCCCTTGTCATTGTAGAATTCTATTCTTATGCCATGGGTACCAACCTACACAGAAAACAACAATATATTGCGCAATAATAATAATAATAACGATAATAATAACAGTCTTGTTTACCCAGGGTGGCCTCATCAGTACACAAACTGTTCTTCAAGAGGGCTCTTAAGTTCATGTTCATGGGTATACATGTACAAGACAAATCCGTTTCATTCACATCTTCGCAAAGTTCTATTTTTCCTCCTCTAAATTAATTCAATGAGCATGAAAGTACAAAATGTACAATATTGAAAATCTTCTGATATTCAATACAGCAGCTGTATCCATTGTCTAAATGAAATAGAAATATTTGACCTCTGCATCAACTCTGTGGTTTACAGTATACCAGTACATGTGGCATTGTAGGTCAGGTAAAAAAAAAAATGCTTGGACCCGGCATAACGGTCAATTCACATGCTGAGGTCAAACCACAAGAAAAGTTGGAAAATACCAAACAATGAGTAACTTCTTATGACATATTTGTTTCCTCTTTGATCAAAACTGGGCAGAAAAGGTGGGATTGTAATTCATTTGGGGCTAACATACTTTTTCACAAGTACATTGGACACTGTACATTGTAGATGTTCTCTGTAGGTTTTCATGGGAGTACCGTATTCACAACTGATGTACCTGTACTGTAGCAAGGTTACAACATGTTATCCTGTTCCGTCTAACAACTCATCAAGATATTGTGTATACTTTAACATTTAGATATTGTGTATAGTTTAACATTTCATACATACCTGTACATGTACATGTATCCTCTTATCTTTCGCATCATGTTCAGTTCATCAAGTTACCACATTTAGTATTTATAACATTTATTACATACCAGTACCCTTCAATCTTCCAAATATTGGCATCTTGATATGATGCAGCAAGGATACTGAAATAATCCTGATCAGTTAAGCAATTCATCAAGTACAGTGTAATCATACTTTATTTTTAGATTAACGTTTTATACACACCTTCCAATCTTCCCAATCATTGACATCCTCAAAATGATGCAGCAAATTATCAAGACACATTACCACATTCAGTTCAACCATTCATCAAGTTATCATGTTTAGTTTGATGTTGAACATACAATCTTTAACATCTTTAAAATGATGCAGTGGGGATACCAAGACAAGTAATTATGTTCAGTTCATCAAGTCATACACCATGTTTGGTTTGACGTTTCATACATACCCTCCAATCTTCCCAATCTTTGGCATCTTCAAAATGACGCAGCAAGGATACAGAGACATGAAGGCGCGAGAGCTCGTCCCTGGTTATAGGTTGAAATCGCGTATCTTTAAACGCACTGGAGAAGAGATGGAGAGAAAAACAAAAGAATTATGTGTACATGTATGTCAAGAGAGGTTTTCACATCAAGAGTATTCCATTCAATGAGCCGATAGAAAAAGGAACAAGTTTTGAAAAAATCTGAACTTGACGAGGAGCACTACAATGTACTTACACCTTTTTCTCAACAAAATATGATTTTGAGGATATTTTTTTGCATATTTCCCATTTTAAGTTTACAAATACCACTATTAAAAAAACTCTGAAAAAATGATATATGCAAATATGCAAACTTACATGTATCTTTAAACAAGCAAATCATTTTGAAAAAAATCATTTTGAAAAAAATCCTGAAAATGCCCCACGTTCTACTGAATCAAATTTCTTAATTTTTTTAAATTTTTGTCCCTGTATCATGGCGTTTTGATGGCCAGTATACTGATAGAAAGGCAGCTGCGTGTACAGTGTATCTCATTTTGAAGGTGTTCTACTTTTAATACTTGATACACTACTTGGATTCATTACGAAAAGAACTGTATAAAAGGGCATGCAGCTAGGGCAATAAACGAACCCCAAGACATGTATAAATCATAGTTGAAGCATGTAATTTGACATTAAGTTGATAGCATGTCATTTTGAATTCATCAAATTGCCCCTTCAATTTCTGTCATTGGAGTTTTCAATTGCTTTTTTTAGAAACTTACATTGAATAGGCCAGGGATCAAATTAAAATTGATCCACCTAGGCTACTGTACATCTATGGAGTGTGTCTGCTAAATTCAATTCAATTCATTTTGGTTGCATTGTAAAATAAGAGAACATGGCAAAAGTCTGGAGACTAATATTGTCATATTTATGGTGAAATACACGAAAACATGAAATAGGTTATAAATTTACATTATAGCAATTCAATGATAACTAAAAAGATGACTGTGACTTCATGGATTAAACAATCTTAAACAGCAATTACATGTCTATATTGAATTCAATTGGATAGGTTTATAAAGATTAATGTCTATCAATTGCATTACTTATCAGTTATCACATTATATGTTAATTTCATACTACAAGTAAACCTATTTGCAAAGTATACGTACAAAAAATGGCCGCTCAAAATGGCCGCTCAGTACATTTTCCCTGACAGTCGGGCTATTTTTCAAGATGGCCGCCGACATTTTTTAATTTTTTTTTTTAAATCAGAAATAGATCCATTTAAAAAAATAAAAAAAAGGGAGGCGGCCCCCAAAAAGGAAGCGGGCGGGACGCTAAACTTATATTTTTTTAATGGCCTAATGTAATGTTACATAAATGCGATATCTGACAGTCCATGCAACGCTGGTAAAAAAAAACAAAACACTTTACTATATAAAGCAAAGATTTTAAAGAGAAGCAACAGAAACAAGAAAAAATCTGGCAGGACACGTTCATCACCTAAAATACATGTATCTTCAACAAACAGTTTAATCTTCCATGTGCATGAGAAGATCTCATGCCAACCTTTAATGGACTTTGTCTTTTTTTAAACCATCGTTTATAAATGCCACGGCTGAGCAAAACATTAAATACATGTTACTCGGGAAATAATTTGTTAAACCCCAACCTCATGGAAAAACCATGCGGTCCCTTTCACTGGTTTCATTATGATGAGTATCAGGAAATGTTTGTCATGATTCTTGACTAATTGCTACTTGACTTACCTAGATATTGCATATTCCCTGAGACCATCATGTAGATTCATAGCAGTAAATGTACCTATACAGCCGCGTAGACGTTTTTCTTTCCCTATTTTCCATGTTACAAATAGTGGACTGAAACAAAAAGTGAACACAGAGAGATGGGTAATTAGTTCAGGTACACATGTAGTAAGACTATAAGGCCTAAAATAAAAACCCGTTGTATTGCCCTTTGGGTGCCAAAACATGGGTCGGTCGGTCGGTCGGAAAAGTTTTTTTTTTTAAGTCTTTTTTTTGTCGCCCTCTTTGGGCCGATATTTTTCAGATTTGAATGTTATTGTTGTTTTTTTTCTTCTTTTTTCCACGCCCTCTTTTGGCTGATATTTCTCAGGTTTTTTTTGGTGCTTCAATAGGCCTACATCGTCATCATTCCATTGATATCTTTTTCATCTCATAATTATCCATGGTTTGCACGAGTGAGAAGTTGAAAAATTTGATACATTATTTTATTCATTACCGTAAATCTCTGTGTATAAAGGCGCAATTTTTTGCCGCCGAAAAAAATTGAAAGTCGGGGGTGCGCCTTACACACAGGTTTTTTTTTTTTTTTTTTAGTTTCGATTTATGGCGCTATGCCTGGCAATGTCTCCCAGCTCAGTAATCGGTGTTGACTCACCACTCGGAGACTACAACAACACTAAAATTTGTCTGTCATCTTGGTTTGAAAGTAATCTTTTTAATAGATCACAATATGTAGTTTAAAATAATAATTCCTGAATTTGTTTTATATAACAAATGGTGTACCACAAGGTTCTATCCTAGGACCTACCTGTAGGTAGTCTATTGTTTTTAATTTACATTAATGATCTTACACATTCTTCTAAAAACGACATTGTTACTATTATTTGTGACAAGTTTACAAGCACAAATCAGCGCCTTTACCTGCACCTCGATGTTAAATGAAGGTCCTTCCCCGCATGGGTTTTCGGTAACAAAATAACAACAAAAATCCCAAAATAGGGGTGCGCCTTATACACAGAGATTTACGGTAATTTTAAAAAAATCTAAAAAAAACGGTTAAAAAAAAAAAAAACTTTTTTAAAATGCTGACCGTAGATTTTCAGATTTTCAGATTTTTGGGTCGGTCGCAAAGGGCAATACAACAAGTTTTTATTTTAGGCCTAATGGAGCCATGGGGTTATTGTCAGATTTGTCAGAAAGTCCATAAAACATCCAGTAGGCCGTTTCTTGTCACACTCATGGGCTGCCGATTTTCTAGTCTTCTGTTGGCCTCGTGGGCCATACTGGCTTATAGAGTATGGAGAGTAGAGTCATTATCTGGGAAGTACATGAATCCTTCATATTTGCATCTACTGTATGCAATTCCTAGCCAAGAACAAAAAATTAAAAAAAAATCTGCACAAATACTAACCTGCCTGTATTTCACTGTAACAGCAAGAACAGCATTTCCTTTAAAACAGCACTTTACAATTTCTTTTGAAATAATTGTGCCTGAAATATACCCTTATTCTAGATATACCGTACATGTATCTTCACATAAATATATTTTAGTCCGAGATTTTCTGAATTTCAAACAACATGGCTCACAAAAGAAAAGATATAATTTTACATGTACAACAATGTTTACCAATGCATACTTCTCTTGTTCGTTCATACATGGATGTACCGTAGTTATCTTCAAAGATTTTGATTAAACTGTTTCCGACTCGAACCATAAAGCCTTTTCTTATATTATGTTTGTGTTGCTAAAACTTGCTTCAGTCTTGGTCTTAATTTCAACCTTTTAACCTTATCACCTCCTCTTGATACCTTGAATCATAACCAAAATGTACATGTATCAAAGCGAGACAAAACAAAAAGGCATTCCAATAAACTTTCTCATTTAAGTCTGATAATTTGTAGCTGAAAGTTGTTTTATATTCTGAATCCTATTATTAAGACACAAGGACTAGATTTTGCCTTTTAAAAAATACATTATCACAAAGAATTCAGGGTGATTAGATTAGAATCTACTTAGACGAAGATGTAGGTAATATAGGCCTACTCACTTGTTCACATTCATTATGAATGTCATCTTGTAACAATTTACTTGTCTGATAATATAGACCCTAGACTACATGTATCTCTCTTAAATTTAAAAACAAATTAAATTGAAACATGTAAAAAAGAAAAAGTGCACATGCGCGGTAGCCTGTGCGCACATATGAATAACATGTTGTATATTATGTTCTTTGTATTCGAAGTTGAATCAACGATATACAACATGTTATTTATATGTGCTGCCACTGCTGCGCCGCTACCGCTCATGCATGCGCACTTTCTCTTCGACGATATACAACACTGATGAATTGGTTTAGGACCAGGAATGACCCTTTAAAGGCTTTTTCCCATCGAAGACATCTTCAAATTATAGTTTTGAGTGGTTGACCGGATGCCCAGAGGAGTCGAAAAACATTGTAAGCCTAACTTTTAATTACTACTTTTTTAGATTTCCAAAAAATAGAACCAAACCCTCTGTTTGAATCGTTTCCCGGTTTAGGATTTGGAGCTCTAACGCTACCTGTCCTGGAGTTAGACTTAACCAAAATTATAACACAGACTGGAGCCTTTTTTCCATTCAGCCCGTCTGGTATTTCTGTTGCCTTTGACTTTGTCATCAAGTAGACTCTACAACTAGCTGCAGCATTTTTGCCTTTTAACCTGTTAAACCATCACACTCACAAAGGTTTATCGGTGAATTTGGGAGAAGGTGCGGGAGCTTCGTTGTGCAGATGTCTGTACAAAGTTTCGAAGCAAAAATAGCACATCTCATCACACACTATACGGGCTAGGCTAGTATTCAGTCCGTTGCTAAGGCCATTTGGTCGAGGTATAACTGCCGAACCGTTCCTTGGAGACGGAATATAATCTCTAGTTGAACATGACGTTGAAGATCCATGATGATTTCCTTCATTTTCGGGAGGAGCAGAAACTTTCTGTCGCTTGACTCCACAGCAGCCGGTCGCCATTTTCGTAGTCTATTAAGTTATTACAAAAGATTGTACTACTACAACGATGCCCCATTCATTGTGACTCTCGTTTTCTCAGTATACAGATAGGTTACCAGTCTTTAGTTCAGCTGACGGCCAGCCCATAGTGTTTTGCAAACGGGTTAAGCGAGCTTTGTTTATTGTGAAGAATGAGGTCATCGCTATCGACCTTTCCAAATGTTGACAAGTCACAATACCCATGGAATACCCTACCCACAACTCGAATAAGAAAACAACGTAGCTGTCAAGTTGATATCATAGCTTCTATAACTGGCTTTGTGAGAGCCATTAAAAAATACATCTCCAGTATAATTATAATATTCCCAATTATAATGTCCTTCTCCAAATTTTCTTCTTTTTCCCCCTTGACTTACATTATTTTCTCCACGTCCTTTTTCTTTCGTTTTTTTCATTCATTAAATGAGCCAATGTTTAATTGATTCTTTGAGAAAAAAAAAAAATCTCTTTCACAATTTGTGTTTTTCTTTCTTGTGTACCATATAGTCAATTTATTCAAATTTCTTCTCTGGTGTTTCCTGTATAGGCTAAGGCTAATTTATGATATACATCCACTCTCGAACTATCTTTAATTAATTGTGATGTATTTTTTTATTTTGTTATTAAGAGACGGTGCTCCAGGGGGTGCAAAATGCCCCCACTTTTTCGAGTACCCCAAAAGTGCCCCCTTTTCCTTCAGATAAGTGTGCCCCTTTTCACCTCTTATAGTCGATCCCCCTATTCTAATTGATCTATGGACGAGATGCCCATTCTACTTTAACCAGTGTCCCTTTCCCTCTGTAGGCCTAATAAATGTCCCTTTCCCCTTTTCATGAGTGCCCCTTTTGGCGAGAAGTGCCTTGCCTTTTACCTCTGATAAATCACTTTGACACGGTGCCTCGTTTTCTTTCTAACAAGTGCCCTTTCCCTTCTCATATATATAAGTGCCCCCTTTAATTTATGTAGTTAGTGCCATTACAATTTCTCATAAATGCCCCTTTCTACTAACCTCTGATAAATGCCTCCATTCTAATTTGAAAGGCGCCCCTTTTACTTTGAAACTGCCCCTTAGTGAGAAGTACCTCTTTTCCGCTATGATAATTGCCCCTTTTACTTTGACAGGTGCACTATTTCCTCTTTAATAAACTAGAAATACGAGTATTAAAAACTATTAAGTTTAAATTGTATGTACTTTGATGGTTTCAGGAAACAATACACTGGTTATAATTGGTAGTCCTCCTGCATCATAGCCACTATAGTATAGGTACAGTCTGGGGAAGTTGATCAGTAAATGTATTTGTATTTAATTTCAGCATTTTGCCCAAGAAGTAAAAGAACTTGGAGGAAGAGGGAGAACAAGAACAAAAGAGGAGGAAACTGAGGGCCAGAGAAGGGAAGGGGGTATGGGATTGAAGACGAGTTTTACATTACCATCAGTATACAATTTAGGGTCAAATTTCATGCAATGATGCATTGCAGGAATGAAAGGTATATAAGGAATCATGGAGTAGGAGGAGAAAAAGGCGGAGGTTGACATTATTAGCACTTGCCCGTAGTTGGCGCTGTCGGCTGCCATATTTTCATTTGCGCTAAATGATTTGGTTTGCTGATTATGATACTGTACATGTGGGGTATGTCTGCAAGAATCCTGAAGGAGGCACATGCAGCAGGGGTGATTTGTATCCGTGGTTGGGGGGGGGGGGGTGATAGTTGCACGTGCCCCAACTTTTTTAGACCCCTCCCCAGGTGGTCGATCAATAAATGTATGTGCCCCCCCCCCCTCCCCCCCCCCCCCCCCCCCCAACTCTGGCTACGGCCCTGCTTATCATACCAGATACGCTTTAAAATATAAGCATATAAGGCCCTGACCAGAGCAATATTTTTTTTCCCAAAAAATACAACCAGTCTTAGAAGGTGCATTATTAATTGGAAGGGTGTTATAAACAAAACTTCAAACTTAATAACATTCTAACCTTCAAAAACACCTCAACTATCCTATGCCTGTTACGTTTGAATACAATACATAGGCCTCCATCAGCTTTTCAAAGAAACAAAAATAAGTTGTGACTTAATAATCTTTCTCCAAAATATCGAACTGGAGTATTATGTTGTATTGCTTGTTTATGTACATACAAAGAGCTTATTTTCAAGAGGCACTAGATCCCTGTGTGTAACTTAAGGAAGAAATCTTTGTTTACCCGATTTTGTTCAGGTGTCTATGGAAAATTGTTATTAAAAGATGCAATTGTGTTCATAATCTCCCACGTAATTTAGGTTAATAATTTTGTTCAAGGTAAATAGAGGAAAATATATATCATTATCTCCATTTGCTATCAAAAGATTTTGCTCCTTTCGGAAAATAGCTCTTCAAATGTTTTACTTGTAGAGATATAAATAAACAAAGAAATGGACGAAATCAATAAAACAAAATAGACAGGCGCGGATCCAGGGGGGGGGGCCGAGCGGGCCTTTGCCCCCCCCCCCCCCCTCCCCCCCCCCCCCCCCCCCCCGCAAAAAAAAAAAAAAAAAAAAAGGAGAGAGAGAAGGAAAAGAAGGGAAAGAGGAGAGAAAGGGAGAAAAAAGAAGAGGAAGAAGAAAAGAAAAGAGTGAAGAAGGAGATCGGGGGGCGGGGCGGCAAAAAGACTTGCCTCCCAGGCTGTTGCCTCCCTACCCCCCTTCCCCCCGCCCCCCCCCCCCCCCCCCATCAAAAAATGAAAGAGAAGGAAGGAAAGGGAAAGAAAAAAGAAAAAGAGGAGATAAAGGGAAGGACAAAAGAGAAAGAAGAAAAGAAAAGAAGGGGGATATCAGTTGCAATTTTCCCGCCAACAAGTTGTGCATCGGAGGGGGGGGGGGGGCAAAAGGCCCTAGCCTCCCCCCCCCCCATGTCCTCGCTAAAAAAATGCCAAAATATGCTCATCTGACCATGATTAAATGCCTAAAACCCCAAGGGCTCTGCCCCCTGGATTCCACCTAGGGTCCTAAGGCGGGCCCATAGATGCTCATCTGGCGGTCATTTAATGCCTAAAACCCCTGATTTCTGGGGGCTCTGCCCCCTGGACCCCACGCCAAATAGTATCCTGCCAGTGTCACAAATAATAAGGTATCAAAAATGTTCATCTGACCGTAATTAAACGCCTAAAACCCCTGAGCCTACGGGGGCTCTGCCCCCTGGACCCAACCAAGAGCCCTTAGCGGGCCCCTTGATACTCATCTGACCATAATTGAGTGCCTAAAACCCTTGAGATTCCGGGGCTTCGCCCCCTGAACCCCAAGCCAATTAGTGACCTGCCACTGTAAACATTAGGTATCAAATTAATGCTCATCTGACCGTAATTAAATGCCTAAAACTCCTGAACTTCCGGGGCTCTGTCCCCTGGACTCCGCCTAGGGCCCTAAGGCGGACCCCTGAATGCTAATATGACCGTAAATTAAAACCTTAAACCCCTGAGCTTCCGGACTTCCGAGGGGAGGGGGAACTGAATTCAGACGAGGATAATTTTCGAGAACGGTACAACGAATCGTCTTCTTTCTATAATAATTTAATGTAACGTCGAAGCTTCCGCGCTTCGCGCGGAAGGGGGGGGGGAAATTAATTTAGACAAGGATTAAGAGTCGAGAATGGTACGACCAATCGTCTTCTTTCTCTAATGATTTAATGAAACGTAAAAGCTTCCGCGTTTCGCGCAGGGGGGAAGAAAACTGAAAATAGACGAGGATTAAAAGTCATAACGGTACAACGAATCGTCTTCTTTCTCAAATGATTTAATGAAACGTAAAAGCTTCCGCGCTTTGCGTGGGAGGGGGGAAACTGAATTTAGACGAGGATTAAAAATCATAACGGTATACAACTAATCGTTTCCATTCTCTAAAAAGTTAATGAAACGTCGAAGCGGGGGGGGGGGGGGACTGAATTTAGACAAGGATTAAGAGTCGAGAACGGTACAACGAATCGTCTTCTTTCTCTAATGATTTAATGAAACGTAAAAGCTTCCGCGCTTCGCGTGGAAGGGGGGGGGGGAACTGAATTTAGACAAAGATTAAAAGTCATAACGGTACAACGAATCGTCTTCTTTCGCTAATGATTTAATGAAACGTGAAAGCTTCCGCGCTTCGCGCTGGAGGGGGAAACTAATTTTTTTTCGAGAGCGGTACAACAAATCTTCTTCTTTCTCTAATAATTTAAAGAAAGGTCTAAGGGAGGGGGAAACTGAATTTAGACAAGGATTAAGAGTCGAGAACGGTACAACGAATCGTCTTCTTTCTCTAATGATTTAATGGAACGTAAAAGCTTCCGCGCTTCGCGCGGGAGGGGGGAAACTGAAATTAGACAAGGATTAAAAGTCATAACGGTACAACGAATCGTCTTCTTTCTCTCATGATTTAATGAAACGTAAAAGCTTCCGCGCTTCGCGCGGGTGGGGGGAAACTGAAATTAGACGAGGATTAAAAGTCATAACAGTACAACGAATCGTCTTCTTTCGCTAATGATTTAATGAAACGTAAAAGCTTTCGCGCTTCTCGCGGGATGGGGAGAAACATAATTCAGACGAGGATTATTTTTGGAATGGTACAACGAATCGTCTTCTTTCTCCAATAATTTATTGAAATGTCAAAGCTTCCGCGCTTCGCGGAGGAGGGAGGGGGAAAACTTGCCCCTCCCTGCACCCACCCACCCCTAATTACGTCACTGCAGGTCACCATTACGTACCAATATTTGGCTCGCATAATTTCAAATTTGGGCCTCCCCCCCTAAGAAATCCTGGATCCGCGCCTGAAAATAGATACTGAGTATGAATCAGGGAACAAACTGAAAGTTTCGTCTCCTACATGCTGCCATTTGGACGAAACCGTTTTTCTCTTCAATGATACAATATTGTATTACTTTACTTGCATTAATGAAAAAAAAACGCTTCATCAACCCCACATAGCTTAAAAAATCACTTCAGATTAAATTGGCCAAAAGTCATGTGAAATTCTTGCTCAGATGCTTTCCTTTACCTTTAAGAGTTCTTTATATTGAGGAATTGGTTTATAATTTTTTTCTTGGCAATAATGCCCAAATTAAAAGAGTTAAACAAATACACGACTGTAGCTTTTAGCTTCAGGAAATATCAGGAAATAAAATTAGTGAAAAAACAAACAAATGAAGATACAATGACGCAAATTTTAAAAAAGGTGAACGGAAACAACATAACAACTAGCGAACTATCTTGTAAGTCATACTGTCAGAAAATCATAGTGCATTCAGTTCCCTGAAGGAAATGCTGGAATATTATGTCCCTCTCTCTCTTGTCTTTCTTCCTTTTCTCTTCCCCCTTCCTTTTTTTTTCTGCCCGTTTCTTCCCCTTTACCCTTTTTCCCAGGTTGCAAACCCATATGGGGATGATCTGGGTCACTTGTGCCATCTGGGCTAAATTATGTATCCCATATGGGGCCAATATTTAGTAACCATATGGGTCCCGGGTGGGATTAAGCTTGGCATACTCATTTGGGCCCAGTTTGGTATGGGTCCCATCTGGGTCCCATCTGTCTTATAATGGGTCCCATATGCCTTTGGGACCCAGATGGTTTTCCATATGGGGCCCATGTTTCAGAGAACATGGGCTTGCTACCTGGGTTATTTTCCTCTGTCTCTCATTATCTCTCTCTCCTACTCTCTACTTCTTTTTTTTCACTTTTGCGCTTCGCGCTTAACATTTAGCTCGTTGCTATAGCTGCGGCTGCGGCTTCGAATTTGGCGCACTGCATTTCTATGATGATGTTGATTGAATCAATTCCTGATGAAGCCGTATGAACGAGAATTAAATGTATTCTTGTCTCATATACGGTTATCTCATTTACTTCGTTTTCTATTTATATATGTATGTATTATGAAATATGAGATAGCAAAATGTGTATATTGAAGGTCATCTTGCGAGTACTGACCAAAGAGATTCGATCATACACAGTATGTCCTCCGTAGTAATAGCCATTAAATACTCTCATCGGGCTCTAATCATTAATTGTTCTCTTATTTTGTTTTAATGGTGAATCATTGGGGAGGGTGGTGGTGATTGTACAGGCTCCCCCCCCGTCTGAAATATTTTTTAAGGGGACATATCCCCCCCCCCATTCCCCCGGGATCGACACCCATGGGCACATGTTACCCAAAGAAGAAGAAGAAGAAGAAGAGGAGGAGACGGGGGAGGGGCAGATACAGAGAAATAGATTGAGACAGGAGAAGAAGAAGAACACGACGACGAAGAAGAAGATGATGATGACGCTGCTGATGACAATTTGTATATACCCGATTACCTAATCCAACATCATATTCGCCACAACAATTAATAAACGATGACACACACACAAAATAAATTGGTGAAGGGAATGTACGTTTCTTTATTCAGTTAGAGAAAGAGGTCCTTGGCAGAACGGAGCTTTTAGTTTTACAAGCATGGAATCGATTTGGAGAAAATACAGTAAGAGGAATAGAAATTACACTTTTTTCTAAATGTTGAAGTATTGAAATGGTTCAAATGTTTTGAAACTATAGAGGCTGTGCCCAGAGACTATAGGTTTATCGGTTCCTGCGTGCATTACGGGATATAATTGATATTACCTTACCCTCTAAACATATCCACTGTATATCTAATCTAAATTTCGTGCAGAATTTCAGGGGTGAACTTGTCACCCTCTCCCTCAGGATCACCATCCCTGATAATTCTAGAATATTTAGGATTTGGGAATAACACTACATTTTGTTAAACATACATTTATTATTGTTATATTGCTGTATTTGAACGTTTGGATAATAAAACCTCAACTCAACTCAATTCAAATTGTAAATATGCCTAATGATATTTCTGTCCAAATACTGCAACAACCAGTGGCAGATCCAGGGAGGGGGCACGGGGCCAGGGCCCTCACCCCTGGCCCCCCAAAAGGATTTATTTTTTAGTGCTCATTACCCCCTCCCCCCCGTTGAGCACAAATATTTAGCGGCGCTAAAGAATTCAGTCTCATGAATTGGCCATCCCCCCCCCCCCCCCCCCTCGCCGCCGGCTGGATCCCCTCCTGGCAACAACATGGTGTAAGTGAACCATTTAAAAACTTTAATCTTGTAACCGAATACGTTATTTTCTAACATAAACCTCAACAGAGAAGAAACTCGGCAAGACTCGACTACGTCATTGCTGTTTTTAAAATGAATAAACATGAAAAGAAAATATCAAAGACCATGAAAGGAAACAAAAATGACGTGTCGGTTACAGAAAATAAATGACATAAAACGATACTATAATTACATACATGTACATGTACTTTCATTATATGTACATTAAACCACTATAGACAATTTCAATATAACAATATCATTTTCATAAAGGCGAACAAAATATTTTGAAACATGAAATTAAAATACGAATTACAATATCTATACTCCGATTTTCTTGTAGAACGCTGTTGCAAACATTTCGCACCCCTAATTTCCAACATTTCAAAACAGATCAAAATCGCAGAGTCTTTCGAAAAATCAACCAATTAAGGCAAGTTCAATAGGCTTGCCCATCACCTCATGAAACGTGCGGGAAAAAAATTGTAAACCCGAACATGATTTCTTCGGAATATATGATAGTGCAATGAAATTACCTTTGACTTGATTTCCACAAAGTCTATGGAAGCATGTTTTCGATGCTATTTTCAACCTTTTTGTAATCAAGACACGATGGACGCTATGTATAGAAAACAAAAAGAATCATCAGCAATAATTTCAATGATTTAGGCTTTAACTTCGGTATCATCTACTTCATGTTCAAGTTTACAAACTGTTAAGAGACTCGAGGAAGTATGTAAGCAACGTCAAGATTTGCGTAATATGAATCCAAGCAGTCATTCTCCTAACAGATTTAAGTAATACATTTTTGCCAGAGACACATAATACAACTATTTTTGTTCATGTTAAAACATTTAAAAAATGCTTGCGGGTTGGTCACACAAACGATCATTATCAGAATTCTGAGCCAATCCATAAAAATGAACTTTATTCATACTTCTAATTCAATGGCGACAACGATTTTTGATCAACATTTTATATAATTGTATATAATTTCATGAAGAGCAAATATATCGACGTAAAATCAGAACTGCTTAGAACAGTTAGTGCCTCACTCACTAAAAAAGTAAAACACTTTAAAGCGTAAATTAAACACTGCGGATCTATAGGAAGTACATGAATGATCTTTCTTCCTTCCTCCCATTTATAATGTATAATCAGGTGGGCTGTATATCGTACAGACCACCTTATAATTTCGTTAGAATTGCCTTTATTATATATTTTTCTTATTTCTAACCACTTTTTTGTGAACAAGATAACTTGAAAATGGCTCAATAAAATGCCTTGAAATTTAGCACACATATGTATAGGCATATGTACAAAGCACAATAACGTTTTCAACATTGACCTTTACTAATGACGTCATCTAGGCGCCATTTTGTAAAATTTTACGAAAATCAACTCATGATCATATCTTCATAACCAAAAGGTATTTCTCATTCATATTTAACATGATCAAGATCAATATTCGTCCGGTCAATTTCAGGTCAAAAAACGCGCGCGTGCACGTACGTCCGCGCGTCAATGCGCGCGCAAAATTTTAAAATGCTCAAAATCGTCTCAAAATCATTTTGCATACTATATACGTTTTAGGCCATTCTAAGCATTTTATAAAAAATCGCCCACACGCGCATACGCGCGCGTTTTCGCGCGTAAAACTATCACACAACATAGAATCGCCATTTTGTTTTCTTTCATGATTTTTCGCATATCTTTTCTAACAATTTGATACCATGTTTGTCGCTTTATGACTATTAATAACGGAATGATTGACCGTTTAACATCATTTTCCGTGCGCGCGAGCTCTTGTAATACATAGCATATATGGGCATAAACATGCCTATACAAAATCCATTGTAACTCTTTAGGATACAAGCTGTGATCCAATTTTTGTTTTCATATTGTGTTGGAGTATGAATCGGAGATATGATTTCATGTCTCATTTGACCTTAATTAACTCATGACGTCATCATAATGGCCTCCGAACTCAAAATTTCAATTTGCATATTATGACGTCATCATATTTTTGGAAAATTGATTGTACTATCTCTGTAAATATCGGTCAATTTTCTTCTAAATTTTGATATGTTCTAGCTGAGATAATTTTCTACAAATCCAATAGCTATTATTTTTCCTTTTGACAAAGGCATCATGGCGTATTTTTGCGATTAAAGGAGGCATGTCAATTTTGCACATTTTGCGTGTATTCTCTATGGGACATGATTTTTTCTCAAAAAATGGATTCTACATTCCCGTCTTTCGCGAGCAATATCTCCGTCGTTTTAGCTTCGTTTACGCTGAACTTCGAGTATGTTGTAGCTGAGACAATAAGCTATCTCAAATGTACCCTTTATTTTGTCTTAAATTTTAGTTGGATTAGCCCACCTATACTTGTTCAAAACAAGTATTACAAATCTAGTTGTATTTATGTATTCGGTCGTACCCTTTACAAGCTATGCTTTTCGGGTTTCGCGCCCTCTTCCTTGTAATACAAGTTCTTTAATTACATTTATGTTCCTACTTATAAATTGTATTGTTTGGAAGAAAATAAATGTTCATTTGAATTGAATTGAATTGAATTGAATATATAAGTGAACGATTTAATGCAATTTTTTGTTGGTGTGTGAGCAATTTGACATGACGGTTAAACATTTATATAGCTTTGCAATAAAGGAACTTACACAATATGTGGTGTCGTGGCATTATGTCACCACATTTTACGGATCAACTTGTCCCACCTAAAGTCCACATTACAAGGCATATTAAATAACTACCATTTGCAAGACATTAATCTACATTGACCGACCTTTACCCAGGTGAAGTGATAAAGTAGGAACGATGGTATCAAGAAATTCCTTGAATGCTTAAAAAATGATGATTGAGGGTCTTATCGTGGCAGCTTGGCTAAAAGTTACGTTATTATATTATTTATAAAAAATCTTAAACGTAAACTCTCTCATGGCCGAAGATCATAAAAGCGTACCAGCTTTAGTCCAGGTTACAGTCTGTAGATTTTAGTCCACTGATTTATGAAGCACCTCATGTCAACTTCTTCCTTCTGTAATGGTAACATAAGTATACTCTATATTATAAAGTTAATAAACTAATATCATGTCAAAATTATTTTTTTTCCCCTTTCATTTCGTTCTATTACATTGATTTAGTAAAGCATGAAGAGTTTGACACTTGGCGCTTTGAAAATCAAGTGTACTTTAACGTTCACCTATAAAAGCGTTTTAGGCGATGGCTTTTCTCCTGGCGCCACAGTCACTACTTGCCCATCAGCACCGGTCGTGGTCACAATAGCAGCTGCAGATGCTCCTGTTGGTGACACTGCTAACACAAGATCGTTGTAGCTGTGCGATTCCTTCTCAAACAGAGTATCCACCTGCACCCCCTGGAAGGTATACCTCTGCAGCGTCTTCTCGTTATTCTGGTCGGACCAGAGGATGTAGAGCAACCGATCAGCATCACATCCGATGGCCACCTTCTTCCATTCCTCGTTGTGGATGGAGCATAGAGTATTCCCGTTGAGGTCTAGGATGGATACCGTGGCTGGTTCGTGCGTGACCGCAATGACATCTGGTACCATGTGAGGGACAGCGACGCAAATCGGTGAGATATCCTCGACTTTCAGTGTATCCGTCAGGTTGCCATCGGATCGTAGGATGTATATCTTGTGGTTGTCTCTATCAGTGATGTAGATGTTGTCCTCGTTGTCTGTTGCCAAACCGGAGATACTTTGTTTACCGGGTAAACCGTGAGACAACTCTGCTAGAGTATCCCCAAGGATATACAGCTTAGCATCAGTGGTTGCGATTACGAAGCGATGATCTGATAGAGAAGTAAAGCACCTGATGCTGTCATACTGCAAGGTTGGAAGCCAGCGGGTCCAACTAAACGAGGTACAGTTCGGGAAGCTCGTAGAGGTCTGCTTGATTGCAGCAAACACTTCAAGATTTTTCACCGCCTTGTACCGATAGTCATCCCTGGATCGAGAAAAACATGTGTAGAGCGTTTCAGTACCGTGCTTTACATAAACTGTGCCTTGTCCTTCTCCGATGCATACGACTTGGACAATGGCTGATATTCTTCCGTCGCGTGTAAACTGTACATCTTTGGGTCCATTCTTGCAAGTTATACTCAAAGTACTGCGCTCTGTGCAGCTACACCCTACTGCAACTTTTCCAACTTTTGCGTCGAGAGGTGTCACGTGATAGTGCAAGTGATCAATATATTCTCTTATATTTTCCAGCTCCTGCTCATCAGGTTTTTCAGCAATTGCTCTGTCCATGGCCTCTCTAAGACTTTTGTACATAGAGGCCAAGCCGACAAGATCCTGCTCATTCTCCATGATTTGGTTTGTCAATAACAAGCTCTTCTCCGCCAGTGATTTGATGTGCTGCGTTTTCTTCCTCAGTTGATTCAGCTGCTCAATTTTTTCACCAAGATAATCACAGGCCACTTTTTCCATTTGCAAACGCGCCTCTTCTACCCTGCTACTGTATTCGACGATAGCATTCTGTATGCTCTTGCTTGTTGTCTTTGTTTTGTCCATGATATGGGTTTCGAGTTCGTCAGCCAAGTTAAGAAACTCTGAGAACTCTTCGGATTTCTTGGAAACTTCTTCTTTACGTGAGCTTAGCTCTTCGCGGATGGTAGGGACAAAGTCCTTCAGGAATTGGAGCTGGTGGCCCTGCTCTCGGTTATGATCAATCAGGGTACAGTCATGACAAACAGGTTCAAGACAAGTCACGCAGAAAAACTTCAGTTTTTCGTCGTGTTTTGGACATAGCATTGAGTCGTCTTTGCTCTGGATGGTTACTTTCCCGTTGATCAAGTCAGATATGTTAGCGACGGTGTGCGTTCGGGTCATTCGTAAACCGGCATGAGCCTTAGAGCAGCGCTGGCAGAGGACCTGGCAGCATTCTCTGCAGTAGGTGAAAGGTGACTTTTCTGTCGAGGCAGTTTCTCCAGAATCAGTACATCCGCAAGCCTCACAGCGATGGGCTGGACTGGCGAGTTTGAGTTCCCGGGTCTCCTTTTCCCGAAGAGCTTCCACCAAACGCGTAGCTCTGAAGTCGAGTCTCAGTCCACGGACACCAGTATCAGGTAGAACAGTATATTCATTGCAGAGTGCGCACTTCAATGTGCTGTTACCTGACTGGGACGAGTCATCTTTTCGGTTCTGGACACACTTTTCCAAGCACTTCTCACAGAAGCTATGCAGACATGTCAATATACGTGGTGTATCCAATTTATTGAGGCATATGGCGCATTCAACCTCCTCAGAAACAACAGAATCTAGCAAATTAATGTTTGAGGAAGCCATGGCGATCAATATTCCTGGCCTTTAACTTTGAAAGAAACGCTTCAGAGAAAGTAAGGTTCCCAAGATTTTCTTTAGTATATACTAGTATACACGCGTATAATATGCATGATGGGTAGCCTACGTACACCCGTCTAGTGTTACTTCACGCTCGGCTGTCTAAAGCAGAATTGAGAGGAAGTGCGGGAGGAAGTGGCGGTTCTCTTTATTGACTGCGCTGACTTTGGCGACCACAAATTTTGAGACCAATTACGGTATCCTAAAAAAGCCAACAACAAAAGGAAAAAAATTGTTTTCCATGAAATATGAAGAATTGCTGATATTTGTGATAAACTGTCGACACATGAGTCAGTCACGCGGGTTTACGTTAACAGGTATCACACACATTATTATCAAAACGTGTTGATACGACATAAAAGCTATGTCAAACCTAGACCGAAAGTTTCAGTCTCTATATCGTCGGTTGTTCCACTGAGACTACGTCTGGCTCCACTAGACCTCCAGATATAGGGACTGAACGATCGCCTATGCCATCGTATGTTGAAGATGTCACGGCTAGATTTTAGCCGTTAGGCCCCTCCCACAAACATGACAAACTTGAGGAGAAATACATCATTTATCTTCAATTGCAGTAATTTTCTAGGCAATTGTCAGTCCCTAAAAGTTCCCTTTTTACCCCCCCTTCCCTCACGAAATAGAAATATAAAAGAAATAAAAGGACTTACCGAGCTTTTGGCTGCTTCTCGATGACCCACGTCAAGCATTCTGACCGACAGAGATCAAAATGGTGGCTATTATTCAAATACGATAATGAGGATGGTTGACCTCGCCTCGGCTAGCTCCTCGACATTTCAATTTCTTCGATTATTAAACATAAAATGTAAGCCAAATAGTTTTACTTCATCTAATATAATTATGTCGATCTTGTCTTGGAACAATGTTTCGTAGAATTTCAATTTGGACAGAAATCTTCGTTAATTTCTGCAACCATTAACAAATAGTCACCTGTGCGAGTCATATATGAGCTGAAAGAGAAATTTCAACACTTCCACTTTTCACCTCCTGTAACAAAGTAAGAAATTGAAATGTTGACGTGTGTAACAGGAGGGATTGAACACGAAATGGCCAAGCCTTGGAAAAGTTAGAAAATTTTCGCCGGGCGTCCTAATCGGAATCTTCGGCTGGCAGTGAGTAATTGGAGACCGCATTGCGTTTGTGTGGTGGAGATCAAAATTAAATCGGCCAAATTCTAGATTAAGCAAGTGGTAGCTGTTGGAGGATAAACATAAATATAGGACAACCAGGGGCGGTTCCAAGAGTGGGAGGGCGATGGGCCAGGGCCTACTCCCTGGCAAAAAAACGGTTAAAAAAGGTGGTAATATTAATTTTACCTTTTTTAAACCAAAAAAGAAAATGCCCCTCGGCCCCCAAAAGGAGAACAAAAATTGTTTTTCTTTTTTGTTGCTCAAGGGGGTGGGGGGGGGGTGGAAGTTGAAGAAAAAGATTGTTCATCCCCCATCCTCCCCCCCCCCGAAAAAAAAAATCGGCAGTAAAGGAGTCAAAATGGTTTGTTATTTTTAAGCAAAAAGAAAATTAAAAATAGTAAAACCTGAAGTGAATCCCATACAAATTATATTCCATTCAAAGAAAAGGAGAGTGAACATTCCGCATGCCCCTATATTGATCAATGGAGGATCTGTAAATAACGATACGCACATATCGTGGAAATAATTGTGAGAGGATGGAAAAGCGTGTTTTTTATTTTTATTACAGGGGTGAGAAGACATGAGCCCCTAAATACTGGCAAACTGACGTGGTTTATTTCTAATTCGATACCAGTGATTTACAAATGTTGCTGAAATGACATGATTTTCCGAGATTTTTTCCCACTTTTGTTGTTAATTATACTTTTTTCATGCGTTTGTTGGAAAATTACAAATTCCCAAATTTACAGTCAGGCAAAAAATGTGCTTATTTAAAAAAAAGTATGTTAAAGAAAAAAAGAAAGAAAGAGAGAAAGAAAAATTGAGTGACCTGCCAGTGTCACAAATGAGGTATCACAATATGCTCATCTCATTGACCGTAATTAAATGCCTAAAACCCCTGAGCTTCCGGGGGCTCTGCCCCCTGAACCCCACCAAGGGCCCTAAGGCGGGCCCCTAGATGCTCATCTGACTGTAATTAAATGCATAAAACCCCTGAGCTTCATGGGGCTCAGCCCCCTGGACCCCAGCCAATTAGTGACCTGCCAGTGTCACAAATAAGGTTCCTAAATATCCTTGTCTGACCGTAATTCCATGCCTAAAACCCCCTCAGCTTCCACCGGGGCAAAGCCCCCTTGACCCCACGCCAATTTATGCTCAACTCGCTTCGCTACGGTGTACCTGATCGTTAATACATCACTCTGAAAACGTTCAGCTAAATATTTTCTCACGAATTAGGGAACAGAAATAGTGCTCCTTACCCCCCCCCCCCCCCAATGGCAGTACCATCAATGGTAATAACATCAGCATGAGCAGAAGAGAAGAAGAGAGAGAGAGAGAGGGATGGAGGGGGAGATAAAGATAAACAGAAAGACATAGCATGAGAAGGGGGATGAAGAAATAGGGAAGAAGAAGAAATATGACGAGGGTGACTGGTAGTTCGGCTTATTACTGTTTTATTTGTTTCTGAACCTAATCCGACGTCAACAACAGCCAATTTTCCTTTTTTTTTTAAATCCAAAATTATACATATACATGCAGACAGAGGGAGAGAGACAGAGAGAAAGGGGAAGGGAGGGCCTGCGACGGGGGAGGGGCAGATAAAGAGAAATCGATTGAGACAAGCGAAGAAGAAATGGTAGAAGAAGTAGATTATGATGACGCTGCTGACAATTTGTATAATTATACCCGATTACCTATTCTTTGCCGCAACAATTAATGATACAATAAACAATGACAGTAATACACGAAAAATGAATTGGTGTAGGGAATGTACGTTTCTTTATTTAGTTAGAAATAGAGGTCCTTGAACAAAAACGGAGCTTTTACGTATGGAATCGTTTCGGAGAAAATACAGTAAGAGATATAGAAATTACACTTTTTTCTGAATGATGAAGTATTACAAAAGTTCAAATGTTTCGTAACTAGAGACTGTGATCAGAGACTTATCGGTTCCTGCATGACGGGATATAAATGATATTACCTTATATCCTCTAAACATATCCACTGTATATCTAATTTTAATTTCGTGCAGACTTTCAGGGGTGAACTTGTCCCTCTCCCTTAGGATCACCACCCCTGATCATAATCATATTCTAGAATATTGAGGATATGGTGATAATACTACATTTGTTTAACATACATTTATTACTCTTATTATTGTTATATTACTGTATTTTAATGTTTGGATAATTTCTTTTGTTTTGTTTCTATTTCTGCGTTTGGAAAATAGAACATCATCATATACTTAAAGTAACAATGATTTCTTCATTATACATAATTATACATTTTTAAGATGCATACGAACACAAATATTTTCAATGAAAAAAGATAAATTACAAAAAACGCAGAAGACCGCCATAATGAGCGGTAAGCTCGAAATCGTTGGCTGCCTCGACTAATAAAACCTCAACTCAACCCAAATTGTAAATAATGATATTTCTGTCAAAACACTGCAACAAACATGCAGAGGCGGATCCAGAGGGGGGGGGGGCTGGACGGGGGCCAGAGCCCCCAACCCTGGCAAAAAAAATACCAAAAAAATAGTGCTCACTACCCTCCCCCCCCCACTCGTTGAGCAAAACTATTTAGCGCCGCTACAGATTTTCTTACGAATTGCCCCCCCCCCCACCCCCTCGCCGCCGGCTGGATTCACCCCAACAACATGATGTACATGAACCATTTCAAAACGTTAATCTTGTAACCGAATGCGTTATTTTCTAACATAAACCTCAAAAGAGAAGAAAATCAGCAAGACTCAACTACATTGCTGTTTTTTTAAAGTAAATAAACATGAAAAAGAAAATATTAAACACTATTAAGGAAACAAAAATGACGTGTCGGTTACAGAAAATAAATGACATAATACGATACTAAAATTACATACATGTACTTTCATTTATGTACATTAAACCACTAAAGGTAATTTTATTATAACAATATCATTTTCATAAAGAGGAACAAAATCTTTTGAAATATGAAATTAAAATACGAATTACAATCTCTATACTCCGATTCCGTTATAGAACGCTGTTTCAAACATTTCGCACCCTTTAATTTCCAACATTTCGGAATTCGTCTCTGCGTGTTATGATGCTCTGAACACAATCGCAAAGTCTTTCGAAAAACTAAAAAAGGCAGGTTCAATAGGCTTGCCCATCACCTCATGAAACGCTTGGGGGAAAAAAAATCGTAAACCAGATCATGTATTCTTAGGAATATATGATTGTGCAATGAAATTACCTTTGACTTGATTTCCACAAAGTCTATGCGAGCATGTTTACGATGCTATTTCAACCTACGCTATGTATAGAAATAAGAAATAATCATCATCAATGATGTCAATGATTTAGGCTTTAACTTCGGTATCAACTACAGTATGTTCAACTTTACTCGAGGAAGTAAGCGAAGTCAAGAATTGCGAAATATGAATTCAAGCAATCTTTCTTCTCATAACAGATTAAAGTGATGGATTTTTGCCAGAGACACGGTTTTTGTTCATTTTAAAACATTTAAAAGATGCTTGCGGTTGGTTAAACAATTATTATCATAATTCTGAGGTAATCCATAAAAATGAACTTTATTCATATTTCTAATTCAATGACGACAACGATTTTTGATCAACATTTTATATAATTTTATATAATTTTCATGGAGAGCATATAGTATTTCAATATACCGACGTAAAATCAGAACTGGTTAGCACAGTTAGCACATCACTCACTGAAAAAGTGAAACACTTTAAAGCATAAGTTAAACACTGCGAATATATAGGAAGTAGATAAATGAATGGTTAATACATTGTTTGTTTGTTGTTTTTTTTTTTTGGGGGGGGGGGGAGTGCAATTTGACATGACGATTAAACATTTAAATAGCTTTGCAACAATGAAAACGAACTTATATAATATAAGATGTCGTGGCATTATTTTACGGATCAACTTGTCCCAGCTAAAGTCCACATTATAAGGCACATTTAATAACTTCCATTTGCAAGACATTAATCTACTTTGACCGACCTTTAACCAGCTGAAGTGATAAGGGGAGAACAAAGGTATCGAGAAATTCGCTGATTGCTTAAGAATTGATGATCGAGTGTCCTATCGTGGCAGCTTGGCTAAAAGTTGAGTTATTATAATTTTGTTTAAAGAACTTAAACATAAACAATCCCATGGCTGATATTTATACAAGCTTACCAGCTTTTAGTCCAGGTTACTGTCGGTCAATTTTAGTCCACTGGTTTATGTTAACTTCTTCCTTCTGTAACGGTAACATAGGTATACTCTATATTATAAAGTTAATAAACTAATATCATGTCAAAATTAATAAATTTCTTCTTTCATTTCGTTCTATTACATTGATTTAGTAAAGCATGAATAGTTTGACAATCGCCCCTTCGAAAATCAAGTGTACTTTACAGTTCAGCTATGGAAGTGTTTCAGGCGATGGCTTTTCTCCTGGCGCCATAGTCACTACTTTCCCATCAGCACCGGTCGTGGTCACAACAGCAGCTGCACAAGCTCCTGTTGGTGACACTGCTAAAACAAGATCGTTGTAGCTGTGCGATTCCTTCTCAAACAGAGTATCCACCTGCACCCCCTGGAAGGTATACCTCTGCAGCGTCTTCTCGTTATTCTGGTCGGACCAGAGGATGTAGAGCAGCCGATCAGCATCACATCCGATGGCCACCTTCTTCCATTCCTCGTTGTGGATGGAGCATAGCGTATTCCCGTTGAGGTCTAGAATTGATACCGTGGCTGGTTCGTGCGTGACCGCGATGATCTCTGGTCCCATGTGAGGGACAGCGACGCAAGTCGGTGAGATATCCCCAACGTTCAGTGTATCCTTCAGGTTGCCATCGGACCGTAGGATGTAGATCTTGTGGTTGTCACGATCAGTAATGTAGATGTTATCTTCGTTATCTGTTGCCAAACCTGATATACTTCGTGTATCAGGTAAACCGTGAGAAAATTCTCCTAGAGTATCCCCAAGGATGTACAACTTAGCATCAGTGGTTGCGATGACGAAGCGATGATCTGATAGAGAGGTAAAGCACCTGATGCTGTCATACTGCAAGGTTGGAAGCCAGCGGGTCCAACTGAACGAGGTACAGTTTGGGAAGCTCGTGGTTGTCTGCTTGATTGCAGCAAACATTTCAAGATTTTTCACCTCTTTGGATTGATAAACTCCTCGATTAACGGCCATGTATTGGTGCTGCAGATTGGTGTAGGTGTTGTAGAAGCCTGATCCTTGAAGTGTGTAGACTGTTTCATTACCGGTCATTACATAAACTGTCTCTGAGGTTCCTCCGATGCATGCGGCTTGGACAATGGCTGATATTCTTCCGTCACGTGTAAACTGTACATCTTTAGGACCATTCTTGCAAGCAACGCTCGAAGTACTGCGCTCTGTGCAGCTACATCCTACCGCTACTTTTCCAACTTTCGCATCGAGAGGTGTCACATGATAGTGCAAGTGATCAATCGATTTCCTTATATTTTTCAGCTTCTGCTCATCAGGTTTTTCAGCAATGGCTCTGTCCATGGCCTCTCTGAGACTTTTGTACATAGAGGCCAAGCCGACAAGATCCTGCTCATTCTCCATGATTTGGTTTGTCAACAACAAGCTCTTCTCCGCTAGTGATTTAATATGCTGCGTTTTCTTCCTCAGTTGGTTCAGCTGCTCAATTTTTTCACCAAGATAATCACAGGCCACTTTCTCCATTGGTAAACGCTCCTCTTCTACCCTGCTAATGTATTCGACGATAGCATTCTGTATGCTCTTGCTTGTTGTCTTAGTTTTGTCCATAGTATGTGTTTCGAGTTCGTCAGCCAAGTTAAGAAACTCTGAGAACTCTTCGGATTTCTTGGAAACTTCTTCTTTACGTGAGCTTAGCTCTTCACGGATTGTAGGGACAAAGTCCTTCAGGAATTGGAGCTGGTGGCCCTGCTCTCGGTTATGATCAATCAGGGTACAGTCATGACAAACAGGTTCAAGACAAGTCACGCAGAAAAACTTCAGTTTTTCGTCGTGTTTTGGACAAAGCATTGAGTCGTCTTTGCTCTTGATGGTTACTTTCCCGTTGATCAAGTCAGATATGTTAGCGACGGTGTGCGTTCGGGTCATTCGTAAACCGGCATGAGCCTCAGAGCAGCGCTGGCAGAGGACCTGGCAGCATTCTCTGCAGTAGGTGAAAGGTGACTTTTCTGTCGAGGCAGTTTCTCCAGAAGTTTGAGTTCCCGGGTCTCCTTTTCCCGAAGAGCTTCCACCAAACGCGTAGCTCTGAAGTCGAGTCTCAGTCCACGGACACCAGTATCAGGTAAAACAGTATATTCATTGCAGAGTGCGCACTTCAATTTGCTGTTACCTGACTGGGACGAGTCATCTTTTCCGTTCTGGACACACTTTTCCAAGCACTTCTCACAGAAGCTATGCAGACATGTCAATATACGTGGTGTATCCAACTTATTGAGGCATATGGTGCATTCAACTTCTTCAGAAACAACTGAATCTAGCAAATTAGTGTTTGAGGAAGCCATGCCGATCACTATTCCTGGCCTTTAACTTTGAAAGAAATGCTTCAGAGAAAGTAAGGATCCCTGCAAGCTTTGCTTTAGTATATAAACATTACACGTGTATGGATTACACATGTATAGATTAATTATGTACTCACGATGGCTATGTGCACCTGTTTAGTAGCTCCCCGCTCGGGTGTCTACAGCAGTAATGAGAGGAGCAAAACAAGTGATATAGCTGTTAACTTGAGGAGGATAAAAATAGATATAGGCCAACTCGGTGGCGTTGCGTGTAACAGTGTCTGTGATTTCAACCTTGAAACTTCTGTTTTCAACACAATACCCAAAGCTATTTTCCCACCTATATATTTTCATGCAGTGGCGTAGCTACGTTTGGGCATGGGATGCACGTGCCCGCCCCCTCCCATCGAATGGGGGGGGGGGGCAAAGCGAAGGGACGATTAAAGAAAAAGGAAAAAAGAACGTGAAATTATAAGAAGATATTGTGCTCGAAAATACTCTCCAAAGATTATACAATTATGTGAATGCACTTCTTAGAACAAATTATGACAAAGAAAAATCACGATTTGAATTCCTATTGAATATTATACCAGTAAACATGAACTGTTTATTGATCGTAAATATCCCTGTTACAGTGGCTAAGATCTTTACCATATTCATGATTCTTTTAAAGCCCGTTTGTAATAGTTTGGTCAGGGGGGATATTAGACCACCCAGCGTGGTCACTTACAGGGGGCTATCTCATCAACTCGGCTTTCAATTAAAATAAGAAAAAGAAGATCATGGGGGACCAACGGGCACCGCGCTTGGGCATTGTTTTTTTATATATAGGGAGCAATTAAGTAGCTACAAGTAATGCAGTGGGGATTTAACATGGTAAAATATCACTATATGATACTCGATTAAAAAAGAATAGTAATCAATGTTAATTAGGTTCAGTGTGATAGACATAAAGGTGAAAGGAGTATCTCCATTATAATTACCACCCCCAAAATACTGCTGAAACTGCTTACTAGCTTATAGCTTTCCTTGATCTTCTATTTATAATGTTTCTACAGATTAATTGACCAGGCAGGGAGGGGACATACCCTTGCCCCTTTAGAGTGGGAAAATTTTACATTTTAAAGTGAAACGGACACAAATACATACTTTTTCATATATATATACTATCTTTTACTCCTATCAACATTTTGTTATTCGTCTAAGCTTTACGCTACATCAAGGACGCAGATCTGACTACCCAAAACCATTTCCCGTTAATTGACCCACACACACATACGCACACACACACACACGCACGCACACGCACACGCACATACGCACACATACACACAAGAACACACGCACGCACACGCACACACGCACACACACACACACACACACACGCACAAAGTAAGGTATTACCAGAGAGATGTGAGTTCTTACAGTTATCTATTATTACTGCACTGATGTACACCGTGTCAACTAGTTAGTAGAGATTGGGGAGGCCTATATGCCTTGAGTAAGCTTCACCAACTTTTACATAAAACATGCCCTCATTGAATAAACTGGATTCGAATTTTATGCAACCACATATAGTCTGTTGTTTGAAAATATTAACAGAAATACTTATCCAGGAGTTTGTAGCATATTTCTCTAAACAAAAATGATATGCAATGGTCGAATATGAATTTAATGACGCCCCTCAAACAGAACTAGAGCATGACTTCAACTCGACACATTTTCGTACATATTGATTTCGATTATACCATAAATGTATTTGCTCAATGTCTGTGATTTAAACCTTGAAACTTGTTATCATCGCAATACCAAAAGCTATTTTCCCAGCTATATATATCGAACTATCGTGTGAGTCAAAAAAAGTTTACCTCTAGACAATTTATAATTATTTAAAAAATAATCTATCAACAGTAAATTAGTATACATCTTATGAAAGAGTGTTTTATTCCAAATCATGTGGTATCATTTTCGTGTGGTATGTGTTCACGCTTGAATGGACTGGAGGCATTGTTTGCGAGAGTGCAAAAATCGACTTGCGCAAAATCACAAAGTCACACACACACACACACGCATATGCGCACACAAAATTTGTTCGTTGATATTTGGTATTCGATATTTGATATGTGTGGCATAATTAAGTTTGTTAGGGATGTTATTTGGATCTGCAAAGACCGAATTAATACCAGAATCCAAAATGTTTTATTCAAACATCACATAAGCAACTTTGGCGCAAGTCTATTTTTGCACTCCTGCAAACAATGCCTCCTGTTCATCCAAGCGTGAACACATACCACACAAAATGATACTGAATGCTTTGGGGTAAAACACTCCTTCATAAGACTCACACTGTATATAGACCCGTCTACAACTTTTGGAGCTTCCAAGTTGAACATGAATTTTTAAAATATTATTTTCCTCTTCTTCTGTATGATCTACCCGGACCAATCCTCTCTAATACACACAATATATATTGTAGTCGATTGTTACACATACTCATCTGCGCGGGTACAAGGTATGATTTAATAATAAATCATAAGGTTTAATAAATTGTTTTAAAAAAATTGGCTCGCACCCGACAGACAAAGATCCCGTGCTCGATCTTGTAATTGAAAACAAGCCAGAAAATATAAATCTTTGAAACAGCGGGGTTTGTCGCTGCCATCTACTGCTTGCCAAGCAGCGAAATTACCACCAGGCCATCACTGGTGTATGACACAGTCACGATGAACTGGAAAGAAATACATCAGCTCTCCTAACCCATTGTGACTTATTATTATTCATGAGTCCGCTATTAGTGCAACAGCTTTGAATGCTAGGCTTCCTGGGGGAAGTTTCAATTGTTGTACAGAAATGGTATTCTCTGATTGCACCTATTGAACTTATTAACAACAATTGAAACTTCTCCCATACAGGTTGAATAAAGTGGATAGTTCTCGCTAAATCTGCATTTCCAAAGGTAGGGAAAATTTTGACAAATCGCACAATGGGTATGAGGACCAGAATAATAGTACTGAATTGTTACATCTACCCAATGCAGTACTTATGTATAGTAGTGAAACATGGACTTTACCCTCTGATACTAAAAGCGTTTGGAAAGTTGCGAAATGTGGTTTTTAAGAAGAATGGTGAAAATCCCTCGGAAGGACAACGTTAGTAATGAGGAAGTTCTTCGAAGAGCTGGATTGCAAAGGAAAATGATACGTGAGATGTTGATTAGGCAGTTGAAGTTCATGAATCACATTACACGTAAAGAAGGCCTAGAGAATCTCACTTTGACAGGGGAAATTTTGGGAATGAGAGGTAGGGGAAGAAAGACGATACTTTGGATGGATGTAGTCTCTAGAAATTGTTGGAAGAGAGAGGAGTGAAAAAACCAAAGCCAAAGTCAATGGCACAGAGAGAGAGAGAGAGAGATGTTGTTGAGATTACCAACAATGATTGATCTACAGATCAAATCGGAGGAAGGCAAAAGAAAAAGAATTGAGTAAGTTTAAATATTTATTTTTTACTCTTTCCCTCTATACTAGAAAACCCTAAATTTGTAGCAGTGTGTTTGAAAAATACCCTAATCTGATCATTCAGCAAATATATTGATGTAAGTCTAATCCTATTTATTAGACCTACATTGATATTGGTGTTGCTTTTTTCCAATGCAGCAGTGAATTTTCTGCATGTAGCTGCATAGCTATGTGCATGTGAGTAATCATATTATAAACATAAAGTTTTCGCCACCACCCCCTATTTTTAAATATTCTTACCGCCGTCAACGACAACCATTTTCACTTATACACAATATAATTGTACATGCGGAGAAAGAAAAAGAGAGAGATAGAGAGAGAGATGGAGAGAGAGAGGGGGGAGGGAGTAAAAAAGGGGAGGTGTAGATAAAGAGAAATAGAATGAGACAGAAGAAGAAGAAAAAGAAGAAGACGACAAAGAAGAAGATCTATGATGATGACGCTGCTGATGCCAATAATGATACAATCAATGATGACACAAACACACAAAAAACAAAGATTTGTGAACGGAATGGATGTTTCTTTATTTAGTTAGAAATAGAGGTCCTTAATAGATTGGAATTTTTACGTGTGGAATCTAATACAAAGAGATATTATCTGAATGTTGAAGTATTACAAAAATTCGAACGTTTCTGGACTAGAGACTGCGCCCAGAGACTACATACTTATTGGTTCCTGCATAATGGGATAGAATTTACATTATTTTATCCTCTTAACATATGTATAATCTACTATAATCTACTGTATAATCTCCATTTTGTAAAGAATTTTAGGGGTGAAAGTGTCACCCTCTCCTTCACGATTACCGCCCTTGATCATGTCATAGAATTGGCATTACGAGTATTGAATTTGTCTAAATATTAATTTAAGATATTGGAGACAAAAAGTGTTCCGCAATAGAAATCAAAGCCTTGAATTAGATGTGTATAATACATTTAAAAGTTTGATATTAGATTGCCTAATGTTATAATGGGGTGGGGGGGGGGGTAAGGGAGGTTGAACCCCTCTTTAACTGTTTGTACGTATGTGTTTCGGAGGAAACTCCCCCCCCCCTTTGTTTTTTTGTTTAATACAAAAATAATAATACCAAAAAAAAAAAAATTGTGGTAATAGGATGACCCAAAAAGCAGACATTGCCCCCCCCCCCCAACGAAACGAAATATCGATCGGCCAAATTTTCAAATTTTGGGACACAAAAAAAAAAATGTTCTCTTACCCCCCCCCCCCCCCCCGCTTATTCAGCGGCTGGCTGAGACGTTGCGACATTTTTGAGACCCCCCCCCCACCCCCGCTTATTCAGCGGCTGGCTGAGTCGTTGCAAAATTTTTGGGACCACCCCCCCCCCCCCAAAAAAAAAATGTCCTCCCCCTTCCTCCCCCCCCCCCCGCTTATTGCTTATTCAGCGGTTGGCTGAGTCGTTGCGAAATTTTCGATGTGATTTTCAAATTTAACCCCCCCCCCCTCGAAAAAATCTGCGTACGCGCCTGCTCGTGGCCATACATATCAGAACTTTCTAAATAATAATAATAATAATAATACAATATTTATAAAGCGGATGATAAACATAAGTTTCTCTATGCGCTGTACAAGCATATAACATAAAGGGAATCAACACAGAGAAATATACAAATCTTATATTACTAAAATGACTAACTTAACATAGTAAATAACATAATAAAGAGATAGCTAACTCCGGACCCCTTCATCTGAACTCATACGTTCTTCTAAAAGTATTAGATTCATTTCCAAAACCATGGAATTAACCAATTCTATATACATGTAAATCTTAAACAATTGACGAACATTTTGCTCTCTCAAGTTAAAATCTGACCTATTTTTGCTTTCCACCTTTGACATATTAAGTTTGCTCTTATGGCAGCTCCTCAATCTTCAGGAACTAATATTCATTTACAGTAATATATGGCTCATCAACAAAATTCGGTGTTATTTTTAAAGCCTTGTCTTAGATATAAATATTCATATTCTAGAACAGTTGATATATGGGGATAATGCTACATCAAAAAGAAATTGTAAATAATGATATTCCAAAAACATGATGTACATGTATTTTATTATACGCGGTATTCTCATCAGAAGTCCCGTTTCAAAGCGTTAATCATGAACCTGAATACGTTTTTTCCCATAATTATCCAAATCAAATGGCTTCTAAAATACACCTCAAAAAAAAAAATGCAGCAAGAATTATGTACATTGCGGTTGTCTTTAAAAACAAATTTGAAAAGCAAATATCAAACAATAAAAGAAGAACAAATAATGAAATGTCGGTTACAGAAAATAAGTAACATAATACGATACTATAACTTCATACATGTACTTTCATTATACGTACATTATACCACTATAGACATTTTCATTGTAACAATATCAATTTCATGAACGCGATCAAAATTTTAAATACGTATCACAATATCTCCACACCGATTCCCATTATAAAAAGCTGTTTCACACAGTTCGCCTCCCCCTTATTTTCCACCAATTCTGAATTCGTCTCCGTTTGATATGAAACCCTCTGAACGCGATCGCAAAGAATTTCGAAAAGTCAACCTACGGCGAGTTCAATAGGCTTGCCCATCACCTCATGAAACGTGCGGGGAAAAAAATTGTAAACCCGAACATGATTTCGTTGGAATATATGATAGTGCAATGGAATTTCCCTTGACTTGATTTCTATGCAAGCATGTTCACGATGCTATTTTCAACCTTTTTTGTAATTAAGACACGATGAACGCTATGTATAAACAAAACAAAAAACATCAGTAATAATTTCAATGATTTAGGCTTTAACTTCGGTATCATCTACATTATGTTAAACTTTACAAGCTGTTAGGAGGCTCGAGGAAGTATATAAGCGACGTCTAGATTTGCGTAATATGAATCCAAGCAGTCTCCTAACAGATTTAACTAATGAATTTTTGCCAGAGACACATATAATATAATATATTGCTTGTGGTTAGTCACACAAACAATCGTTATCAGAATTCTGAGCCAATCCATAAAAATAAACTTTATTCATGTTTCTAATTCAATGGCGACAACGATTTTTGATCACCATTTTATCATGGAGAGCATAGGTATTAGAATATATCGACGTAGAATCAGAACTGGTTAGCGCAGTTAGTGCATCACTCACTGACAAAGTGACACACTTTAAAGCATAAGTTAAACACTGCGAATATAGAGGAAGTAGATAAATGATCTTATAAGTGAATTATTTAATACAATTTCTTTCTTTTTTCTTTTTTGGGGGTGTAATTTGACATGACGGTTAAACATTTAAATAGCTTTGCAACAATGAAAAGAACTTACAGTATAAACGATGTCGTGGCATTATGTCACCACATTTTACGGATCAACTTGTCCGAGCTAATTTCCACATTATAAGGCACATATAATAACTTCTGTTTGCAAGACATTAATCTACATTGACCGACCTTTACCCAGGTGAAGTGAAAAAGTGGGGAACATGGTATCAAGAAATTCGCTGATTGCTTAAGAATTGATGATTGAGCGTTATATTTAAAAAAGAAAGAAAACCTAAACGTAAACACTCTCATGGCCAATGATCAGAAAAGCGTACCAGCTTTTAGTCCAGGTTACTGTCGGTCAATGTTAGTCCACTGGTTTATGAAGCACCTCATGTCAACTTCTTCCTTCTGTAATGGTAACATAGGTATACTCTATATTATGAAGTTGATAAACTAATATCATGTCAAAATTAAATAAATTTCTTCTTTCATTTCGTTCTATTACATTGATTTAGTAAAGCATGAAGAGTTTGACACTTGCCCCTTCGAAAATCAAGTATACTTTACAGTTCACCTATGGAAGCGTTTTAGGCGATGGCTTTTCTCCTGGCGCCATAGTCACTACTTTCCCATCAGCACCAGTCGTGGTCACAACAGCAGCTGCAGAAGCTCCTGTTGGTGACACTGCTAAAACAAGATCGTTGTAGCTGTGCGATTCCTTCTCAAACAGAGTATCCACCTGCACCCCCTGGAAGGTATACCTCTGAAGCGTCTTCTCGTGATTCTGGTCGGACCAGAGGATGTAGAGCAACCGATCAGCATCACATCCGATGGCCACCTTCTTCCATTCCTCGTTGTGGATGGAGCATAGCGTATTCCCATTGAGGTCTAGAATTGATACCGTGGCTGGTTCGTGCGTGACTGCAATGACATCTGGTCCCAAGTGAGGGACAGCGATGCAAGTCGGTGAGATATCCCCAACGTTCAGTGTATCCTTCAGGTTGCCATCGGATCGTAGGATGTAGATCTTGTGGTTGTCTCTATCAGTGATGTAGATGTTGTCTTCGTTATCTGTTGCCAAAGCTGATATACTTCGTGTATCGGGTAAACCGTGAGAAAATTCTCCTAGAGTATCCCCAAGGATGTACAACTTTGCATCAGTGGTGGCGATGATGAAGCGATGATCTGATAGAGAAGTAAAGCACCCGATGCGGCCATACTGCAAGGTTGGAAGCCAGCGGGTCCAACTGAACGAGGTACAGTTTGGGAAGCTTGTGGATGTCTGCTTGATTGCAGCAAACATTGTAAGATTTGTCACCGCCTTTTGTTTATATCTTTGAACATTGTTGAAGTATCCACCGTATGTGTAGAGCGTTTCAGTACCGTACTTTACATAAACAGTGCCTTGTCCTTCTCCGATGCATTCGACTTGGACAATGGCTGATATTCTTCCGTCCCGTGTAAACTGTACATCTTTGGGACCATTATTGCAAGCAACGCTCGAAGTACTGCGCTCTGTACATCTACACCCTACCGCAACGTTTCCAACTTTCGCATCGAGATGTGTCACGTGATAGTGCAAGTGATCAATAGATTCCCTTATATGTTCCAGCTCCTGCTCATCAGGTTTTTCAGCAATGGCTCTGTCCATGGCCTCTCTAAGACTTTTGTACATAGAGGCCAAGCCGATGAGATCCTGCTCATTCTCCATCATTTGTTGCGTCAACAACAAGCTCTTCTCCGCCAGTGATTTGATATGCTGAGTTTTCTTCCTCAGTTGATTCAGCTGCTTAATTTTTTCACCAAGATAATCACAGGCCACTTTCTCCATTGGTAAACGCACCTGTTCTACCCTGCTAATGTATTCGACAATAGCATTTTGTATGCTCTTGCTTGTTTTCTTAGTTTTGTCCATAGCATGGTTTTCGAGTTCGTCAACCAAGTGAAGAAACTCTGAGAACTCTTCGGATTTCTCGGACACCTCTTCTTGACGTGAGCTTAGCTCTTCACGGATGATAGGGACAAAGTCCTTCAAGAATTGGAGCTGATGGCCCTGCTCTCGGTTATGATCAATCAGGGTACAGTCATGACAAACGGGTTCAAGACAAGTCACGCAGAAAATCTTCAGTTTCTCGTCGGCGTGTTTTGGACATAGCATTGAGTGGTCTTTGGTCTGGATGGTTACTTTCCCGTTTAGCAAGTCAGATATGTTAGCGACGGTGTGCGTTCGGGTCATTCGTAAACCAGCATGAACCGCAGAGCAGCGCTGACAGAGGACCTGGCAGCATTCTCTGCAGTAGGTGAAAGGCGGCTTTTCCTTCGAGGCAGTTTCTCCAGAATCGGTACATCCACAAGTCTCGCAGCGATGGGCTGAACTGGCAAGTTTGAGTTGCTGGGTCTCCTTTTCCTGAAGAGCTTCCACCAAACGCGTAGCTCTGAAGTCGAGTCTCAGTCCACGGACACCAGCATCGTTTAGGGCAGTATATTCATTGCAGAGTGCGCACTTCAAGGTGCTGTTACCTGACTGGGACGAGTCATCTTTTCGGTTCTGGACGCACTTCTCCAAGCACTTCTCACAGAAGCTATGCAGACATGTCAATATACGAGGTGTATCCAACTTATTGAGGCATATGGCGCATTCAACTTCTTCAGAAACAACAGAATCTAGCAAATTAGTGTTCGAGGAAGCCATGGCGATCACTATTCCTGGCCTTTATCCTTGAAAGAAACGCTTCAGAGAAAGTAAGGTTCCCAAGATTTTCTTTAGTATACACGCGTATAGATGAACTACGTATGCATAATTGGTAGCCTACGTACACCCGTCTACTGTTACTTCACGCTCGGCTGTCTAAAGCAGAAATGAGAAGGGCATTTAGCAAGTGGCGGTTCTCTATATTGACTGCGCTGATTTTGGCGACCACAAATTTTGAGACCAATTACGGTATCCTAAAAAAAGCCAACAACAAAAGGAAAAAATTGTTTTCCATGAAATATGAAGAATTGCTGATATTTGTGATAACTGTCGACACATGAGTCAGTCACGTAGTTTCAGAGGCGGCGGACCCAGGGGGGCAGGGGGCCCAGTGCCCCCCTACTTTTTCAAGTACCCTAAAAGTGCCCCTTTTTCCATGGGAAAAGTGCCCCTTAACTTTGTAAGAAGCGCCCCTTTTTACATAAAAAGTGCCCCTATTACTTTGATATGTGCCCCTGTTAATTTTTAAAAGTGCCCCCTCTCCTTTCCACCTCTGATATGTGCCCCTTTTATTTTGACACGTACCTCTTTTCCCAGACAAGTTCCCAGTTTCTTTTGCAATAAGTGTCTATTTTCCATTCTCATAAGTGCCCTTTTTAATCTGTAGTAAGTGCCTCTTTTCGGATACGATAAGCGCCCTTTTTCACTTTTGTTAAGCGCCTCCTTCACCTCTGATAATTGCCTTATTAAAATCTTAGAGGTGCCCCTTTTACTTTGACAATTGCCCCTTTTCCTTTGTAAGAAGTGCCCCTTTCCCTTTTAATAACTACCTCATTTTAACTCGGATAAGCGCACCTTATATTTTCACATGTGCCCCCTTTCCTTTCTAATAAGTGCCCCTTTTCCTTATGATAAGTGCCCCCATTTAACAAAGAGCTCTTCACCTTTTCATAAATGCCCCTTTTCACCTATGAAAATAGTCCTTTTTCATTCTCCTACTAGTGCTCCTGTTCATGTCTGGTAAATGACCCTATTCAATTCTGAGAGACAATCGTTTTATTTTGACAAGTGCCTCCTTTTCCTCCTGATAAGTGCTCTTTTCATCTCTAATAACACCCCCTTTTATTTTGACGCGTGCCCCTTTTCCTTCCTTAAAAATGCTCTTTTTCCTTTATAATTTCCGCTTTTCATAAAAGCCCCCTTTCACCTCCAATAAATGCCCTTATCAAAATCTGATCGGTGCTCCTTTTCTTTCAACAAAAGCACATTTCCCTTTATTATTAGTGCCCCTTTTTCATTCTCATAAGTGCCTCTTTCATATATGGTGTTTGCCCCTTTTCTGGTGCGATAAGTGCCCCTTTTCACATCTGATAATTAACCTTTTTGACAATGATACGTGCCCCTTTTCCTTTATTATGAGGAACCTATCCCTTTTTCATAAATGCCCCTATCAAAATCTGATGGTTGCCTCTTTTCCGTCGATAAATGCCCAATTTCCATTCTCATAAGTGCCTTTTCATCCCTGGTGAGTGCCCCATTTTCACCTCTGATAATAACCCTTTGTACTTTGACACGTGCTCCTTTTATTTTCTAATAAGTGTCTTATCCCTTCGATAAGTGTCCCCCTTTCCTCTCATCATTAAACGTGTCCATAATTTCAAGCGACTAAGAGCAATATCTCCCAAAGCTCGCTCGCTACGCTTGCTCACATTTATAGATGTTATAATTATGTTACTTATCAAAGGTCTTTTCAGTTTGCTGTTATGAAAATGTGCTTATTTATAACCCGATGATGATTGGTTTTTTCCTCTTTATAAGATGTAGTTTTCGCACTGTGACCTCACAAATCTTATATTTTTCCTCGCTCGCAAATGATTTTTTCGACCATCACACCCAACTGCAAGGCATGACGCTTAAAAAAGCAATATTTTATACGATGTATAAAGAGAAAAAAATATTGAAATCATCCCTGATAATGTAATCAAATTTTAGGGGTATATACCAATGTCTAAAAATTGTTTATTTTCGCTTTGAGATTTCCTTTTGTAGGTGCCCTTTTTTGTTGGTGCCCCCCCCCCCCACTTTGGAAGTCGCTCCGCCGCCTCTGCCCTGAATGCTTGTCTAACCGTAATTTATTGCCTTAATCCTTGAATTTCCCGGAGCGGACAAGGTATCACAATATGTTCATCTGACCGCAGACGCGTAGCCATGTGGGGGCGCCCCCCCCAAAAAAAAAACACCGGCCAAAAAAAAGGGAGGAGGGAAAAAGAAGAGGACGTAGGAAGAAAAAGGAGCAGACAAAAAACATTTTTGAAATTCAGACAAGGATTAAGAGTCGAGAACGGTACAACGAATCGTCTTCTTTCTTTAATAATTTTAATGAAACGTCAAAGCTTCCGCGCTTCGCGCAGGAGGGGGGGGGCTGAATTCAGACAACGATTAAGAGTCGAGAATGGTTATACGAATCGTCTTCTTTCTCTAATGTTTTAATGAAACGTATAAGCTTCCGCGCTCTGCGCGGGAGGGGGAAACTAAATTCAAACGAGGATTAAGAGTCGAGAAAGATGCAACAAATCGGTTTCTTTCTCTAATGATTTAATGTAACGTAAAAGCTTCGGCGCTTCGCGCGGGAGGGGGGGGGGGGTAAACTGAATTCAAACGAGGATTAAGATTCGAGAACGGTACAACAAATCAGTTTCTTTCTCTAATGATTTAATAAAACGTAAAAGCTTTGACGCTTCGCGCGGGAGGGGGGGGGGGTAAATTGAATTCAGACGAGGATTATTTTCGAGAACGGTACAACGAATCGTCTTCTTTGTCTAATAATTTAATGAAACGTCAAAGCTTCGGCGCTTTGCGGAGGTCACCATTATGTACCGATATTTGGGTCGCATAATTTCAAATTTGGGGCCCCCCCCCCCTAAGAATTCCTGGATCCGCGCCTGGTGTATAGCCTCTTAAGCGTTGGGAGCCCCAAAAGTTTGATGGTAAAATTTGACTCAAATTGTATCATAATGTGAAAGAGGATCTAATTTCAGACATATTTCTGCGAGGGTTTTCAAAACAAATGCGTTTAAAGTCGAATATTGATGAAAGAATACAAAATTTGATTTTTCTGCGTACAACAGAAAACCCAAATTATTGTTCTCCTTCTAATGAAGCTAACTTAATATCAGGGTGGACTTCCCCTCCCTGTATTCAATAATGAGCAGAAAAGTGTTATCTATTCCTTTTTCCATTAGACCATTTTTCTTCAACATGTCTCAGCAACAATTTGTTTATATTCTCTCAGCAAAATAAACCAACATTTCAAATATATACAGGGCGTCTATAGGTTTTTTTTTGTTAACAAAACTTTAAAAAGTTACGCAAAACGTTGTTTGAATATAAAGCTAAAATCTGACCAAACGTTGCCTGCCCCAGATATCGATTTGCACAATCATGGATTGTATGTACTAATTCTAATCATGTTTTCACTCCGATGGATTGATTATACTCCTTAGCATATAAAACAAGCTACAAAAAACACACCGTTTGGAATAGTAGAATTGTAAACAGGTTACGTTGGGTTCTTAATTATGTGCATTACAATCAAACCTTTCTGATTATCATAATAATTAAAACACCATATGGAATACAATCGTAAACAGGTAACCTTAGGTTCTTGATTATAACATTGTGCATGACAATCAAACCTTTCTGATTATGATAATAATTAAAATACCATATGGAATTGAATCGTAAACAGGTAACCTTAGGTTCTTGATTAGTGCCCCCCCCCCCCCCCGCTTATTCAGCGGCTGGCTGAGTCGTTGCGAAATTTTCGGCCCGATTTATAAATGTTAACCCCCCCCCCCCCCCCCCTTGAAAAAATCCTGCGTACGCGCCTGATCTGGTCAGCCCAATTTTAGTGCAATTGAAATCTCTCAATCTCTCGATCCTTTCCTTAAAATCGTAAGTATAACACCTGTACATGTAGTCGAATCCATACTCTTCACTTTATTGACATTTCACTGTGTGATATGCTTTATAACTTTCCATTTTCCATGAAACGTTCGGTGTTTTCATATCCGACGGCCTCTCAATTCCAGAGTTCAGGGACTGAGTCTGAGGGAGCTCGAGTCCGACGCCCAAGGCGGCGGCGGAGCTTGCACCCTCTGACCCTGGGCTGGAGTTGGGCCTAGCTGGGCCTACAGTAGACCGAATTTTCCGTCTCTTTCGTTCGTTAAGCCTCTTATTTGGGTAGGGTCGGCTCTCTCTTTAGAGACGGAAGCCGACTATACGCATTCCCTTGCTAACACCATGGCCATTTATGGCCATATTTTTATGCCCCGAAAATCCCCCCAAACGTCATTTTACTTCGGGCATGTTATATTGTAAATTAGGCCTAGATGGTCTAACCTATAATAAATCGGTTCCACCTACCAACTTGACTGAAATAATCCGTTTAATGGTCCCTTTTTTAGGAAATTATGGGTCAAAATCGAAATCCATGTCTTGCAAGATTTTCAAGCAAGTTGAGCCCCAATGAATAATTAATAAATAAATATATGTGCTCTGTATATGTGCTGTGCCTCTTGACCCCATACAGATGGGCTAGCGTTTACGTGCGATTGCAGTGTGCTTCGCTTACTGGTTGCCTTCGACCCCCCCCCCCCTTTTTTTTTTTTTAATCCTGGAACCGCCGCTGAGAAATGAATAGTTTTACCCCTTTCTTCTTAATGGAGTTTAAATTGTTGTTCGCAAACTTTGAATTCATAATCTGGTACTGTGCGAATGATTAAGTCCCTATATAGATTCGGTAAAGTGTACATACATGGGAGGCTCAATCATTATTAACTGCATCAACTAAAGTTGAACTGTGCAGATGTAGATTAACATTCTTATTATAACAAACATTTTTAATGCAAAGTATATTTTTTGCCATAATTTAATTGACGTTATTGGAAATATCAGAAAAAAACTTTGGGCATCCTATCTGGCACTTCATATACAAGTCGTTCGTAAAGTCATGCGTAACTTTACGAACAGCTTTATGAAACAACCCCCTGGCACATCTTTGATGGGTTAAAGAACGTTTCACCGACCCCCGCCACCCCAATTTGAAAGAAAAGTTGAGATTAAAAACTACCAAGAAGTGTTTAGAATGCAAAGTAGTTCTGAATTTTGAAATAAATTAAGGCATAAGGCATGAAGACAATGTTTATTATGGAAATGGGTGTGGGATTAATGTTTGAGAACTGAATCACCATGTATGGTGCACAATTATTTGGGTTGCTATAATTTTTAACTGAAAGAGATATAGGCCTCTCCTTTGCACAGGATATTTTCCTTGTACATGGGCACATTCCTGGAAAGTTACAAAAAAGGAACCGAATTTGATAGGCCTATATGGAAAATAAAGTTTTTTTAAATAATTCAATATTTCGAAGAAAAACAATCGCTCAAATCATGTGTTTTACTTAAATATTTGATGTTAATTAATCCCATATCTATTGAAATTAGTATCAAAATTTAGATTATTTAATTTTCTTTCATATGACACCAATTTCATTTTATTAAACATACTATTTTTTGTCAAAAGGGCCTCTTTTTGGACGCCCCCTTCCGATTTAGGGGTGTTCACTACAAGTTAATAAAAAAAAACACCTCTGAAATATTGTGTATTATGATAAAAAATATTTCGTATAAACACGCTGTGCTTGTGGTAGTGGCTGGCACCTCAAAACTAAGCAAGATACATGTATTTGACTTTGGCCCTCCGCTTTATAGTATGGAAACTTTTACAAAGAAGACCGGAGACAATTCAGTAAGAGGAATAGAATTTACACTTTTATAATAACTTTCAAAGTATTAAATGTTTAAATGTTTCGGAACTAGAGGCTGCTCTCTCTCTCTCTCTCTCTCTCTCTCTCTTTCTCTCTCTCTCTCTTACTCTCCCCCCTCTCTCTCTCTCCCTTCCTTTCTTTTAGCCCTTTTTCTCAGTCTCTCTCTCTCTCTCTCTCTCTCTCTCCCTATCTTTCTGTTGGCCCTTCTTCTCAGTCTCTCTCTCTCTCTCTCTCTCTCTCTTTCCCTCTGTCCTCCTCTCCCCCTCTCTAGAAATACACTGTTCTGAGGGTTATGCAGTTTTTTTTCTCCATACTATAATTATCTCTTTTGTATGTACAATCTGCAGTATTGAAGGGATAGTTGAGTTCTGTTGCAGAGGGCGCTACACAAAATATTTTTTTGTGAGATAATATAAAACTGAGTGTCAAATTTGAAAGAACATACAATTTAAATTACAAAATCATCTTTGTTTGATCAAAATCGGTTTAGAGACGGTTGAAATATCCATAAATATAACGATCTCTAATACTTGGGTACCACCACAAATATTAGATAATTTGAAGAAAAAAACCGTTGAAAAGGTAAAGGTATAAGCCACGTGTTATATGCTGATGACACCCAGTTGTACATCATTATGCAACGCAATGACCTGACTGATGGCATCTCGTCTTTGGAAGACTGCGTGACAGATGTGAAGTCTTGGGCTAGTAACAATAACATGATGCTCAATGCAAACAAGACTGAGCTCATCCACATTACATCACAATTTAGGAAACGGAACGAGTCTGTTAGCCTTCACATAGACGGAGCTGTTATCACTGCGACCAATTCTGCAAGAGATCTGGGTGTTATCGTTGATAACTCGCTAGACTTAAGAGAGCACATCCGAAAGGTGTGTCGGGCAGCTAGCTTCGGTATTTATAGCATTGGGAAAATCCGGAAATACCTTGATCGCAGCTCTACTGAACGACATTGGTAACTTCCCATTTAGACTATTGTAACTCATTATTAATCAACTTACCTGCTTCTCACCTGGCCCCACTTCAGCACATACAGAACACCGCTGCACGTCTTATCACTCGCACCAGAAAGCACGATCACATCACTCCAGTCATCCGCACCCTACATTGGCTCTTAATTCCCCAACGTATCCAATTCAAGATCCTTCTCCTCACGTTCCACATCATCCATCATCACGCACCATCATACCTGATTGAACTGATCTCACCCAAACAGACTACCGGCATGAACCTTAGATCATCATCCAGACCCCAGCTCGCACTTGGTCCTCGCACCCACAACCGCTATGGTGACAGGGCCTTCTCAGTCTGTGCCCCCACTCTTTGGAACACTCTCCCCGCCCATATCCAGGACTCACCCACCATTGACATTTTCATAAAGAATCTAAAAACTCATCTATTCCAAAAGCAACCTAAATAAATCTAAAATAAGTTCGAATAAATATTACCATACCTTCATTATGTCTTTTCAAATTAATGCTATTACTGATATAATGTGTTAATTTCCTAGGAATTTACATGTTTTGTTAATTTCGTTAGTAATGTTAGTAATGTTTGATCTTCTTGGTAATTTAAGTAATGACAATTTATGTTAGTAATATATTTGATCTTCTTGGTAATTTGAGTAATGTTAATTCCATAAGTAACATTGATTTTTTTTGTTTGAAGTAATTTTGATTTGTGTACATGTACAGCGCTTTGAAACTTTTGTCACAAGCGCTATATAAATTGTCATATTATTATTATTATTATCAAAAAACATAATAGCGCCTTTTACGTCGTATTTTAGCCAATGCCGATGTTGGCTTTTTTGTTGGCATTTTTGTGTTGGTTATATTACGCACAACCAGCCGGCCCATGTATTGTTATTTTTAATTAAATAATTACTTAACGGTCACCGTATTTTTTTAAAAGTGGAGCTGAATTGGTATGATTGTATTGGCTAAATTTCACACATTTTGGGGTCTAAAATTACCTTTAAGGCAATTTTAGGTTCTAAAAGGGCACTGGAAATGTCATAGAAAAGAATAAGAGCAATAACATTGCACTTTGAAGGCATTTGCGGTCTGAAAAGAGAACTCAACTATCCCTTTAATATCATTGCTAGCTTCCCTTTAATATCATTCTTAACTTCCCTTTAATATCATTCTTAACTTCCCTTTAATATCATTTTTAACTTCCCTTTGTATCATTCTATTCATAACTGACCCCTACAATCTGTGCTTGCTTCCTGCTTGTCAGTTCTAGTATATCAATAAATAAATGCATGAATACACACAAAACTAGAGAGACAGAGAGAGACAGAGAGTCGTCTAAAGCTACAGGTCGCAGATCACAGCGTTCAAAACTTCTATCTACACTTATTTGATATTGGGTTCTGATCAGACAATCATGCTCGGATATAAACACATGCGAATCTATTTTCTGTAAGTATCTTGCTTGTTTGACACCATTCTGATTATAATTATGATTTAATTTTTAAAAACTCAGTGATGGAATTTGCGTCAACTCAGAACAGTGCTATTCATTGGCCGAAATGCTAGTTCCATACATATTATGCGTGTTATATAGATCTCGACTTAGTTATTTATATCCAAAGTGAATGAGCCGTATGCATCCACTACCTCAAACCAATGAATTTTAAGAGCTGGAGATCCAACTGGCAACCAGTTGCACAATGGTTGCACAATATAATCTAATGGTGTGCTGTTACCTTTTGTGTCCGAGGTTCGAAGCCGCCATCATTCGAAAGCTTGAGCAGTGTTGTTTTTCACAAAGAAATAACTTTTAATATCTCACTTTTTATTTGAAGTAACAAGGGGAAAATCGAAAAGATGATACAATATAAATACAAAATGGCCTATTTTGACACTACTTTTCTCATCTCGGTTTTCATTCTCTCTCTCTCTCTCTCTCTCTCTCTCTCTCTCTCTCTCTCTCTCTCTCTCTTTCTGTCTTCAAGGCTCTGTCGTTCTTCGAGATGGAGAATATGGACGATGATTGTGATGGTATTCTCCGCCATCTTACTATTCAAATCTTTTCCGCATCTTCCGGGCAATATGGTGAAGGGCGTGGAATCGGGGAACGACAAGCGGGAGCTGAATAACATAACCAGGACAAACAAGACAAGTAAGTTGGTTTGTGAAGGTGTTGTGATTATGGTGGTCTTGTTAGAACTCGATAATGAAGACGAGTACGTAAGTTTGTTGAGGTGTTGTGATTACGCTGGTCTTATGAGAACTCCATAATGAAGACGAGACAAAGTCAGATTGACTCGTCATTTTGGTATCTGAATAATAATTTGTTTCTTGTCTTTCGTCACCCATATGAATAATGAATTTTAGGATACGAAATTTAAGAAAAATCGATTTCAGTTTCCAGTCAGAGAAATTTCACTGTTTTATTTCACTGTTTATTATCACTGTTTATTACTATGGAGGTAATGTATCAAATTAAACCAGTAAAATACAACGGCAGCAAGATGCTTGTAAAGTAACACTAGTTACCCCTGACATATACGTTGTATATGTTTCATTGTATGTTATTGGTATACTTCTTTCTCCCGCTAGGCGTAAAAAGGGAAAACTTACCTTGATAGCAAACTACTTTAGAAGAAAGCAACAATTTTGTTAGAAGCATACTGGTGGAATTTTGAATGAAATCGGAAAAGAAATAAGAAAGTTATGATACAGAAAACTTTCATCTGTTGGGGATACTGATAACATGTAGTTTTTTAAAGCTTCTACCAACCTTAAAGGTACTATAGTCCCATTTGCAGTCTACATCCTTGAAATGCACTGTGCGCTGATAACGGCTGCCGGAGCTAGAGCTATAGGGTAATAATTTCCAAAATCTTTGGAAGGGCAATTCCACGGTAACGGAAGGACACTCAGACAAGATTTTTGAACTTCAGGTTCATACTAAAAGAAATGTTTTATTAGTATGTATTAAACTATGGGGAACAAAATGTGTTTCAGTCAAGTGGAAAGCTTCATCAACTTCACAAAGTTTGGATAAACACTAATTAACTGGAAAAACCATGTCCATTTTTATGTCCTTCCGTTACCGAGATAATTAATATGCACATTCTTAAACTACTTAACTATAATGACAATTTTTTGGGGGAGAATTAAAGGCACTTATATAGGTATTATATCTGTACTGTTTCACATCTTATACTAATAAAACAGTTCTTTTAGTATGAACCTGAATTTCAAAAATCTTGTCTGAGTGTCCTTCCGTTACCGTGGAATTGCCCGGAAGCGCATAGAGACGGTATATACTGTAATATAATACGAGAACCGAATATTATTATTTTGATTAAATGGAAGTACGTGATCAACAATTAATCTATCAAAATCCATTCAAGTTTCACATCCTGAGTATATATGAGTATATTATGATAACATGTTCCCATGTGTGCTTCCCATTTATGCTTTCTCTTTTGATTTCCTTATCACGTCTAGTTTCAACCTAAGCACCGAAAATCATTTGTGAAATTCCATCAGTTAGTGGTGAGTAAATATATATATATATATATATATATATATATATATATATATATATATATATATATATATTCACGAAGTAATTATATTGACAGTTATTCATTTCTCTATCTGATATCAGACACATTCGCCAAAAATTCATTTATCAATGCTAGACTAGTGGTGTGTGGGGGAGGGGGGGGGGGGGTTGTCTTCGTTTTAACAGAACTGAGAAAGCAAATTTGTATCTTACTATCATTATTAGAAGTAGTATAATCAGAAATAGTAGTAGTATTTATAATTTAAGATCATATTTCATTCTTATCTTGCAATGAAATGGGGGTGGCGATTCGAATCACAGCCACCGTAGCCCACGATACCGACATTGCCGTTCTCATGGGCATACCATCCAGGGGCTATTCTAGAAGAATATCTTTTGGGGGCGCTTTGGGGCTACTTGGGGGTTCTTGTATTCATTTTATATACAAGCGTCTCGATCGTCATTTTGTTTGGGGGGAGGTAGGGTGGAGTGAAGACATTTTGAACCACTAGTGCTTCTTGCAAATTTCCACTCGACCGATGTCCATGGAGGCCGACAGTCAGTCTCTTAGGCCTTCTAGCCTCTTATCAGAGAGTTCCTTAGAGCGACTGCCTACTAGAGCTACAACCCACAAGAACGACAATTTTTATTTTCCCTTTTTACTTTGTTTTCTCGGTCATCGATCTCATGGGCTTTCGGTCTCGTAGACCATTTAGAATTATCTTCTTTTCCTTATTTTCCTTATTTTCAACCCTTATATTTTATATGACAGGTTACCCTTTATTCCGGTCCAATGCATTGGCGTAGCCAGGGGCACAGGGGGGGGGGGCATGACCCCCTATTCAGCACCTAAAATAAAGAAAAGAATGCAGTAACTCATGCTTCATGTAGAATAGTATACACCCCCCCCCCCCTAAAAAGAAAGGTCCTGAAGAAAATGACACCAAGATTATTGATGTTGGTTGAGTTTTAGCGGGACGATTTCATTTTCCAAAAATATCTCGCACTAGCAGACCAAATTGTTTGGGGAAATTGCGCTCATTGACTCGGAGCCTTGAAAAAACGCCCACGCGAATGTATTTGCCTTTGTACCCTGCTCAATGAGCGTTAACGGGGCCAAGGTTTCCGGTTCGTGGCACTCCTGAATAACGGAATTTCGAAAATGACAATGTTTAGCCAAAGAAGCGTATAGTAGCAAAACTATACTCAACCAAAATGGATTACCTTGGGGTCATTTGCTTCTGCATGAAATACAGTAATCGATAAGGCTAAAAAGAAATCATTTCTGACCAGGCAAAATATCGAACATCGAACGTGTATTAACCTAATTTGTTTTCTTCGAAAACGGACAAATTATTGCATTAGGGGACATTATCATTTTGTGTTTATTTACCCACATAGAAACCATTTAAATCCCTTGTGCACAGAAGGATCATTTGGAGCAAGATTTAGAACCTAATTTTAAACACAACCGTTAAAGATAAACTTGAGTTCTGGTAATGCGATTGCATTGTGAAAGAAAAGGTGTGGAATGGATCAGAAAAGTTGATCACAGTGCAATGCAAGATTCTGGAGTCATCAAAATCATCATAAATTTGGCAAAGTAACAATCACTTACAGAGAAAGATGTATATGGGACAACACATATGGTTTCGGGGCTAGTACTACCCTGATTTCCTTATCTTTCTATGCTCATTACTCATCCAGTATACATCTTCTTCCAAAATTGTTTGGCACATGACATTTATTTGTAATCTTGAACATTCAGTATAAGTTTCGTTAGATTCTAAGAAGAATTCATTTTCTTTTTTTACCAGAACTCAAGTTTATCTTTAATTTGTGTAAAACTTCGAACAAATTTCACAACCAAACTAGATTCACATAAAAAATGAAACTATTTACATAATATTGGCAGTGTGGACCTGGGGCCCTGGGCAAAATGTGTATCAGACTTTATAAGTTATTCAAGGTGCAAAAAGGAGATTTTTAAAGGGCAATCCTACCCATGTAATGAGGTCATTGGTATAGAAGCCCAGACGCAACAACATTGATAGTGCAAACATGAATTAAAATTAGGCTAATAACAAGGGATCGCCTGATTGAGTTATGAATGTTTAAAGTCTGATAGTAATATCGATACATCCTTGCTAATCTTTGTTTTGCAGAGTGAAGATTTTTCTTTTTAATTCAAAATTCAATGGTGATCATCAAGATCTTAGATATATTTCTCACTATAGATTAGTGGACCTACATAACAATAACGTTTTTTTTTTTTACATTCTAGCATTAATAAAATTATTATTTTGATTAAATGGAAGTACGTGATCAACAATTAATCTATCAAAATCCATTCAAGTTTCACATCCTGAGTATATATGAGTATATTATGATAACATGTTCCCATGTGTGCTTCCCATTTATGCTTTCTCTTTTGATTTCCTTATCACGTCTAGTTTCAACCAAAGCACCGAAAATCATTTGTGAAATTCCATCAGTTAGTGGTGAGTAAATATATATATATATATATATATTCACGAAGTAATTATATTGACAGTTATTTATTTCTCTATCTGATATCAGACACATTCGCCAAAAATTCATTTATCAATGCTAGACTAGTGGTGTGTGGGGGAGGGGGGGGGGGGTTGTCTTCGTTTTAACAGAACTGAGAAAGCAAATTTGTATCTTACTATCATTATTAGAAGTAGTATAATCAGAAATAGTAGAAGTATTTATAATTTAAGATCATACTTCATTCTTATCTTGCAATGAAATGGGGTGGCGATTCGAATCACAGCCACCGTAGCCCACGATACCGACATTGCCGTTCTCATGGGCATACCATCCAGGGGCTATTCTAGAAGAATATCTTTTGGGGGCGCTTTGGGGCTACTTGGGGGTTCTTGTATTCATTTTATATACAAGCGCCTCGATCGTCATTTTGTTTGGGGGGGGGGGGAGGTGGGGCGGAGTGAAGATATTTTGAACCACTAGTGCTTCTTGCAAATTTCCACTCGACCGATGTCCATGGAGGCCGACAGTCAGTCTCTTAGGCCTTCTAGCCTCTTATCAGAGAGTTCCTTAGAGCGACTGCCTACTAGAGCTACAACCCACAAGAACGACAATTTTTTAATTTTCCTTTTTTATTTTGTTTTCTCGGTCATCGATCTCATGGGCTTTCGGTCTCGTAGACCATTTAGAATTATCTTCTTTTCCTTATTTTCCTTATTTTCAACCCTTATATTTTATATGACAGGTTACCCTTTATTCCGGTCCAATGCATTGGCGTAGCCAGGGGCACAGGGGGGGGGGGCATGACCCCCTATTCAGCACCTAAAATAAAGAAAAGAATGCAGTAACTCGTGCTTCATGTAGAATAGTATACACCCCCCCCCCCCTAAAAAGAAAGGTCCTGAAGAAAATGACACCAAGATTATTGATCTTGGTTGAGTTTTAGCGGGACGATTTCATTTTCCAAAAATATCTCGCACTAGCAGACCACATTGTTTGGGAAATTGCGCTCATTGACTCGGAGCCGTGAAGAAACGCCCGCGCGAATGCATTTGCCTTTGTACCCTGCTCAATGAGCGTTAACGGGGCCAAGGTTTCCGGTTCGTGGCACTCCTGAATCACGGAATTTCGAAAATGACAATAGGGACTTTTAGATTTGCACGTCAACAGCTTTGACTGCAACGTGTGACGTCATTTTAAGGCACTGCGCATGCGTTACGTCGTCTCAGTCGGCGATCGAGAATGCGTTAACCTTGATTTTCCTAAATCTAGTACATACATACATACATATTGATATTTATATAGCGCCTTTACATACTCAAGGTACTAGTATGCCGCGTGCGCATAAAATATACAGTTCCTCAGGTAAACAAAGGAACATCCCTTCCCTGCTATGATGTAAAAATGTGTAGAACAGGTGTCACATGCATATTCACCTGTTCTACGCATTTTTACATAATGGCAGGGAAGGGATGTTCTTTTGTTGAGGGTAGAATGAGGAACTGTATATTTTGTCCTTGATATTCATAGTGTTACTTCCTGCATGCCTGTATATCGTCGAGTGCAATCTAAAAGATTTCTAATTGTAGTCAACATGCGCAGTTAAGTACGTTGACACGCATGATCAGTCGGCGTTCGTCGTGTTCTCGTCCACTCAATCTAAAAGTTCCTAATGTTTAGCCAAAGAAGCGTATAGTAGCAAAACTATACTCAACCAAAATGGATTATCTTGGTGTCATTTGCTTCTGCATGAAATACAGTAATCGATAAGGCTAAAAAGAAATCATTTCTGACCAGGTAAAATATCGAACATCGAACGTGTATAAACCTATTTTTTTTTCTTCGAAAACGGACAAATTATTGCATTAGGGGACATTATCATTTTGTGTTCATTTACCCACATAGAAACCCCTTTGATCCCTTGGCAACAGAAGGATCATTTGGAGCAAGATTTAGAACCTAATTTTAAACTCAACCGTTAATTTGTGTAAAACTTCGAATAAATTTCACAACCAAACTAGATTCACATAAAAAAATGAAACTATTTACATAATATTGGCAGTGTGGACCTGGGGCCCTGGGCAAAATGTGTATCAGACTTTATAAGTTATTCAAGGTGCAAAAAGGAGATTTTTAAAGGGCAATCCTACCCATGTAATGAGGTCATTGGTATAGAAGCCCAGACGCAACAACATTGATAGTGCAAACATGAATTAAAATTAGGCTAATAACAAGGGATCGCCTGATTGAGTTATGAATGTTTAAAGTCTGATAGTAATATCGATACATCCTTGCTAATCTTTGTTTTGCAGAGTGAAGATTTTTCTTTTTAATTCAAAATTCAATGGTGATCATCAAGATCTTAGATATATTTCTCACTATAGATTAGTGGACCTACATAACAATAACGTTTTTTTTTTTACATTCTAGCATTAATAAAATAGTAGTCTTGAGCATATTATAGTTTTCTTGAGATGCAGTTGGTGTCAAAATGATCGAATCGATAAGACTATATTACTTTCTCAAAAGTAGTCAAAAAATATTAACGGCTTTTGCAGACCCTCTCATTAAACACCTGCACCTGTTTTACAAGATTGAAAAGAGGAGCTTGTTCAGTGACTGGCATGCTTTTTAGTTCCCATTCAGGTGTTTATCATACAAATAAATTGCATTATCTTTTCTCTTTTTACGGATTTTCTCATTCGCTTTCTTTCATCACCCCCTCTTCTCTCTCTCTCTCTCTCTCTCTCCCCCTCTCTCTCTCTCTCCCTTTTTATCTCTTTCCTTCTTCCTGTCCATCTACATTATTTTAATTCCTCTTCTAGATTTAAATTCAACATACGAGGCAAACGTAAATTCCATCACATTCGACATCCTTGAACCGGCCTTATTTGGTGAATCTTATCAGGAGGTGCTTTCCCTTCTGAAACGTACTGGCGGCCTACTTGTAGAAAGGCTCAAGTCCCAAGCAAGAACTGATGAGAAAAATTATACTATCGAGAAGGAGTACTTTGATGGAGATATTGTGAAAATAGGAAATTATGACTACTTGCCCGGCGGTAGATGGCGCCCATCCGATTGTAATCCAAAATGGAAAGTAAGTAATCTTCTTTTTCTTCTTCTTCTTCTTTTTCTTCTTCTTTTCTTCTTCTTCTTCTTCTTCTTCTTCTTCTTCTTCTTCTTCTTCTTCTTATTCGGCGTCTTCTTCTTCTTCTTCTTCTTCTTCTTCTTCTTCTCCTTCTTCTTCTTCTTCTTCTTCTTCTTCTTCTTCTTCTTCTTCTTCTTCTTCTTCTTCTTTTCTTCTTTGACTTCATTATTGTCTTCTTCTTCTTCTCATTCTATAATTACTTTGTTTTTGTTGTTGTTCTTATTGTTGTTAACTATTGATATCATTTTTATAATTATCATCATTATTATTTTTGTAATAATTATTATTATTATCATCATCATTATCATTATTATTATTTGTATTACTATTACGATCATTTTAACTCCATCTATGTCAAGGTTGCTATAGTCGTTCCATTCAGAGATCGTAACGTCCATCTAGCTATCCTTTTACACAACCTGATTCCATTTCTACAAAATCAAAAGCTAGAATTTGGATTTTTCGTTGGTGAACAGGTGAGAACAATTTTTTTTTAAAACATTTAAATTCATGTACATTGTATATAATGTCCAAATAGTTAGGTATTTAGCAAATAGTTTAATGACTAAACAGCTAAATGGTGAAAAATGTTAATTAATCAAAATTATAGTGAAATACCATGGTATGGTATGGTTTTTCTCGGAAGAGGCAATGATTCAAATTAGGGCGCGGATCGACAGAGTGATAAAACCTTTTTATTCTTTAAATAACAGAGCTTTGTAGATATGAAGCGGCAAAACCGTTTCGTGTTTTTTATACAAATTTGTATAATGACGGAAAGTGTAATACGTTTCACATTTCTGTATCTTACAACACAGAGCTCAGTGAATATGCACAAGTCCTCCGTTGGGAGCAGTTGCCTTTCATGTACTCGTAAAAATCCGAGTCGGCTTTTTTTGCAGTGGTTTATTTACACGACATTTCTGAATAAGCCTTAAAAAGCCAACTCATTATGTGATATATATATATATATTTGCACTTGTTTAAATTCACGGGGATGTCCACTTGTCCCCCGGGAGTGCCCCCCCCCTCCCCTTCCCCCTCCCCCTCCCCTTCCCCCTCCCCCTCCCACCTCCCCTTCCCCCGGCTTAGGTGACTACCCTGGGTAAATAAAAGACTTAATTATAGTAGATCTACCATAATTATTGGAGTCAGATATACAGATCTGTTCTAATTTTTTCTTATTTTAATAGTATAATAGCCTGCTCTTCAACCGAGGATTAATGAAGAACGTAGGATACCGTGGGGCGACTAGATTCGGGGACTGGAACTGTGTCATTTTTCATGATATCGACTTGGTCCCGATGAAAGGCGGAAACTACTACGGGTGCGACAACTTCCCGAGGCATCTTGCAGCTTATACAGAACAATTTAAGTATCGGTAAGTACATGGTGTACGGGCAGTGCAGACAGGTGGCCTATGAGAGGCTGCCTCTAAGACAGGTTAAAGCAACTGAACTATTAAAAAAAACTAGTTCCGGTCCTTACATACTAACTCATATAGCAGTTCAGAGATTTCATGTTTTCCAAATAATTTTCCCCTCCTCAAAATTGCAACAATTAATCTTATTGTCCGCTCCTTCACAGTTTATTGTAGGGAAAAGAGTGTTTATTAAATAAACGTGTATTAAATAAAATTCAAAAAATAAATTTTAAAAATTAACAGATTTTTTAACAAAAATAATGATTTATATTTTTTCATACCGTGTTGCCAATAAAGAGAATTGTATTATTATTACAATTAATTTCCCTCTCATTCGAGAACGGTCTGACGTACTGCCTTGTTAATAGGCTACAATACTTGTGATTTTAGCTCTTTCTGCTCGTTTATACACAATTTGTAAATCAGAGCATTCTAAATCGAAAGACAAAAACAAAAAAATTAGTAAATGACTGACTGTGAAATCAAATTCAAAAATTTAATTCAAAAGTTTTCCAATCTATAAAATGAAATTAAAATGCTTTGGGTAAAAAAAAAAAGTCCGTGGCCAATATTCCAAGCACCGTTATTGATCATTTTTATATTAAATAATTTTCTAATGCCCGTAGCACTCGAGTTTTCATTTAGTGCGTTATAACGTGCGCTAATCCACCCATTTTGACGCAATTGTCCCATACGGCAGTAATTAAAGGAATGTTTTCCCTGTTCAATTTGCATTCACTTTGTGTATGATTACACTTTTACCCGGTGCGTCAAAGACGGCGCTAGTTGTTGACGCAATCCTACGTCAGAAAAGTTAAGCGTCGGCTATGGGCTAGTATTCCTTCACTCCGAAACCTTGCGCTAGATCCTTACACTGCGTCACGGATTAGCGTCTGCGCTTACAAACTGATACTCTGATGCATTCATTTTCTTTCTTCTCTTGACGCAAGTTTGCCGTATGAGACCATTTTTGGCGGAGTGGTTGGACTGACGGCCGAGCAGGTACGATTGAGTAACGGCTACTCAAACGCCTACTGGGGTTGGGGAGGAGAGGATGACGAGCTGTTTGTGAGACTGAAGCGAAGGGGGATTAATATCACCAGAGAAACGGAGCATGGTTACTACAGGTCACTCCAGCACAAGAAGAAACTCAAAAAACAACTGTGCCCGGAAGTGTAAGTTAATAGGGACTTTTAGATTTGTACGTCAGCATAGCAGAATGCTACGTGTATAAGGAACGCCTTAAAAGGACGTCACATGTAGCAGTTCACTATGTCGACGTGCAAATCTTTAAAGGACGTCACACGTAGCAGTCCTCTAAGTCGACGCGCATATCTTAAAGTCCCTAATACCACTCATGATGGTACTAGTACTCAGGCACGTAGCCAGAGTTCGATGTTTGGGGGCACATACATGTATTTAATCGATCGAGGTAAAAAAATAAAAAAACGGGTCTAAAAAAGTTCAACCGATCTTGAAAATGTTTAGGGGCACGTGCCCCCCCCCCCCCCCCCCGTAGCTACGTGCCTGCTAGTACTACTACTAATTCCTACCGCTACTGCAACTGTTACTACTTCTGAAAATAATAATGATCATAATGACAACGATGATTATGATAATGAAAAATAGTTTTTGCAATGTAATGGTAATACTGTTGATAATAATTAAATTAATAACAGCATTGCAAATAATAATAGGAACGATATTAATATTACTAATCATAAAACTAATTATGATAATAATGATTTTAAAAAGATAATAATGAAAATAATCATCATTATCATAATGAATAGAGTTGTAATAAAATGATAATAATAATGATAAATGATGATAATAAGAGTTGCAGGAACGAGTTTTTACCAAAGGGTGGCTAAGATCCCCTTTTCCTCCTAATCCGCCTACGATTATTTTTTGTGTTTGTTTGTTTGTTTTCCATAGAGAAAGAAAAAAAAGTCAGAAATAAACGAAAGAAAATAAACAAAAAATAAATACATTGATAAATAAATGAATAAATAATCCATATTTCTTTTATCACAGTAACTGCCTGTACAACAACTTCCAGTTGCGAGCCGATTGGGAAGGCATCAATAATATGACTTACTCAATAAAAAGTCTGGAACTATTCCCTCTCTACACCAAGATCTCCGTGGACGTTCAGAAGGAGGTTTGGAACAGCAATATGAAACCTTGCGAGAGTTTTTCTAACCACGAAGGCCACCAGCATGATAAATGAATAAATTCAGAAGAAAGTTTTGAACAGCAATATCTTAAATGTCTCTCATGTAACGTTAGTTGTAAGGCTATAAATGAACACCATTTATCTGCATTTGCCACGCTCCACCCAGGTGACGTGGATGGTATCATGTAGGAGGAAATTCATTGAATGCTTGAGCGCCTTGTCATGGTAGCTCGGCTAAAGCCGGGGGTGGTACGATTGCTGGGCCCTCAGGGAGAACAGTATAATACTTATAGGACTACCCTGGGTTAACAAGACAATATTAGTATTATTACTTCCACACACAATCAATCCAAGACGCGCTGATCTACTTATTTGTAAGCATCTTCCATGATTCCATCTCGTACACAAACCCAGTTTCACTCATAACATTTTTTTTTTCAGATGCAAGAATGTTTGTGATTACTTATGATTTTCAATGCATGATCTCCAATCGTATCTTTAAAGATCGATCTTTGATTGTTTTTATTTCTCAAAACAAAACCTTGAAACTACAATGCAGCTATGCTTCAGTAAAACACAACCCCGTAACTTCATATATGTCTCTTCGTAACGATACCTTGAGCATTGTTAATTGCCGTGAAGATTCTGGGTTTGATCATCGAGGACAGCCTCAAATGCAGGGCCGTAGCCAGAGTTTGATGATGTTGTTGTTGTTGTTGTTGTTGTTGTTTTTTTTTGGGGGGGGCACATACATGTAATTGATCGACGTCCTGGGGAGGGATCTAAAAAAGTTCAACCGATCTTGGAAAAATAATTTGGGGGCACGTGCCCCCAAATGTTTCATAAAGAGTTCGTAAAGTTACGCATGACTTTACGAACGACTTGTATATGAAGTGCCAGATAGGATGCCCAAAGTTTTTTCTGATATTTCCAATAACCTCAATTAAATTACGGCAAAAAATATACTTTGCATTAAAAATGGTTGTTATAATAAGAATTTTAATCTACATCTGCACAGTTCAACTTAATAAATAATAATCAATAATGATTGAGCATCCCATTAGGCTTTTCATATACAAGTCGTTCGTAAAGTCATCAAGAATGTCCAGAAGCGAGCCCTCAGAAGAACTATTCTGAGCCCTGAATATCACAGGCGGGGATCCACGGGTGGGTGGGGGGGGGGGGGGGGCGGGCTGACAGGCCCGACCCCCCCTGGCTTTTTTTTTCTTCAAAAATGTTGTTTTATTTTATTTTTTAAATAATAAATGATCACACACTCCGCCCCTCCCCCCCCCCCCCCCTACTGAGTGAAAATAACGGTCTGCGCGATTTTCAAATTTCCGGGGGCAAAAACGAGAAAAAATTATGCTCACTACCCCCCCCCCCCCCCCCCCCCCCTTCCTCATATTTACTTTCAAACCTTTCAAAAGATTAGACTGATTTTGTTTTGTTTTTCCTCAAGGTTTCTCTCATTATTAGGTTTCAGTAGAAGATACGATATCACAGCTCTAGGTGCTAACTTTTGGAACAGTGTTGATTATCCTTAGTTTTTGAATAATATCATATGTTTTATCAATTTTATCTTTGAATATTTTCAGTTTTTTTGATAAACCATTCAGTAAATAAACACTGTTGTCAGCCAATGTGCCTGTGCGCACTGATACATGTTTTTTTTGCTTGGAAATACTAATTTCAATGATCTCCTAATTTGGTATCTGAACAGTAATTACCTTTTACAATAGTTGTGTTATTTAATGTCTAGACACTCCTCTTTAGTCCCCACCCCTCCCCCCCCCCCCCCCCCCCACCCAGTCCATAATCTAGCCTATTTAATTTTGATCTCCACCACACCAACGCTACCACCCCCTACTTACTTGGTACCAGCCGAAGATGGCGTGATCATTCAATTAGGACTAGTGTCCCTTTATTCTATAAAGGGACACTAATTAGGACGCCCGACGAAAGGGCTGATGAGTTCGTTGATAACGCCATCTTCGGCGGCCTGAATCAAGTGTCTAGGGAATATATTCTCACAAAATTTAGGCATGTTTTTAGTGGGTGTTTGTGTGGGTGTCTGTGCACGTGTGTGTATGTAAGTGTTTTTTGGGGTATCATTGAAAAATAAAAATAAAGAACCGGCCAGATTCTGGACTACCCCCCCCCCCTATCTGATTATAACTGGACTATCCGAAGAAAAGGCCATCTAAAGATTCAATACTTTATATAGGAAAACTTATAATGATAATCATAATGCATATCAATATTTATGTGCTGCAAAATTATGAACACTTATATATTTTCTATACGTGAGGAATCAGGAATCAAACATTCTATACCACATCTCTCCAGAAAAGGGTATGATAAGTGCATACAAGATAAAAATAAGACAAGCCATAATATTTGTCTTACATAGCAGTTAATGTATGCATTCGACTATTAAAATACAATTATTCCTAACAGGTGAATGAAAATAATTTTTAATGAGGTACTTTCAAAGATCTAAGCATTAAATTTGATGAAAATGGCCTCGAAGAAAAAGTATAACAGTATAATAATTTTGATTTATTTTGAAAATTTATGAATTTAAATTGACAACTGTTGAGATTTTTCCCTTTTTACGATAAACATTTAAATTCATTTTACACCGCACGTTCCAAGAATATTTTGTTGAATTGCTTTAATTGAGTGAAAAGAAACTGGAATTAAATGTCATAATACTTATAATTATAATAATAATTTCGAGCAGTTCGACACCCTCGAACCCTGAAACTGCTTCGCCATTGAAACGACTGTTGTATGCATTTAGTGGCCTTAATTTTCTCATCATACGCCTTTATCTTATGCTTGCTTAATACAATTGACATGGCAGAAACTCGATCCACAATAGTAACATAAACAAGAGTAAACAGATTATAATACATAAAATCATAGTGGAAACTTCGCAAGCGTTTTGGTTTCATAATGCTCTTCATGTCAAGTGATTATTTCAAAGCTTTACATGATAATACTAGTGAACTCATCCACTTGTCTTGTACAATGTAACTATGTATAGTACTGTAGTTTGAACGCCGGCCTGTTCACAAAAGATAAGAAAACTTACCCATTGTCTATATCAGCCTTCACATATAGATGACATCCCCATCTTCTTTGAAGGGCCCCCCTCCCCTCCTCCCTCCCCAGTTTAAAAGTTTCTTCATCCGCCGCAGATTTTACAAATATTATGCTTTAACAGCTTTAATGCACTCCACCATATTGAGTTCCAGTCCCTGGCAACAAAATACATTCATTGATCAAAACCAAAGAAATGAACGAATGTGAGTCTGCAAACGAAGACTAGTGTCACAATATTTCATTGAAACGCGGGTTAAAGTTCAGGTTCAAGAATCGCTTACAATTTTTGTTTTTGCCTGCCCCCAAAGTTCATTTAATTACCAGTTTGTGCCAAGATAGATCCATGATCATATATATTGTTAAGATTCCTGTGTCAATAAACTTCATTGAGTGCACCAGTTATCAGCTTCTTCGAGTAGCAATATCACATGGAATAAATCAATTCTTTATGCCATACGGACTTTGATCAATAACAAAATAGCGCGGTAGAACACAATAAAAACCGTCGAGGTCGTACAAAAAATAAATGACATTATTGTTGCACGGTAGAAATGTCGTGTGCTTATCGTTGGTACATCGCGTTGTGAAATACATAAATTAATCGTGCTGAATCTTATCAAAACAGTTTGCAACGTTGCATCTGAAGGAAACTCCAGGAAATAGAACACACAAACGGGCTTTGAGGATTCTGTAGTGAAACATATTCACCTGTGCGGACACCCCTCTCGAACTGGGCATTTTACTTTGAAGGCGGATCCGACGCTTGTTATAATATCTTATCGCCATGGCCTCCAAAACTATGATTATTCTCATCGTCTTGCTCGGTAAGTATTAATAAATACACTCCTAAGAGAATATAGGCGCAGAGTATGTTTGTTATTGGAACGGCGAGGCACAGACTTTTTGAAGGTCTTAATAGACCTATTTGAAACAGGCATAATGTATTATCGATCTATTTCCCCTTATTCTGTCGATCTGTTTTATACTACACGGAAGAGTGCATGCATGTATGATGAAATATATACAATTCGTCCTTTTGACCCAAATCAGGCCTACCACAGGAAACTCCGGTATGGGCCTGAGCATCCGTATAATATAGTCATTGTAGTGAGTTGTAATTGTTTACACTTTACACAATGAATATGGCGTAAATCATGACGGTCTAGATTCCACTAATAATCATGTCTATTGTAACTGGCAATCATACTGTCACAGCTCGGTGTGTTTAGAATTTTTGTCTTTTCAATTAAGATAAGGGATGCTCCGCCATATTTGATGGTGATTCTTATTATTATCATCTTCTTCATCATCTTCTTCATCATCATCACCATCATCATCATCGCCATCATCATTATTGAGCAATATCAAAATGCGAATAAGGATAATATTCCATGCATTTCATTTGAATAACATGTGTAATGCAGTAAACTAATATAGGTACATGTTATCAACTTCGGATCGCAGTCGACACTGCATCATCTGTTTGATTAATACTAATGAGGTGTCCTTGGTTATTCGATTATTCCAAATGAAACGTATGGCCATTGTGTTCGGGTCCATGAAATGGCGGTGTATATTGGCAAAAAGAAACACAAACAATTCACATGTGATATGTGCAATGGTAATGAAACCAAACAGTATCCGTTATGTTTCTGGCGAAAATAATTCCCCAAAATTATGTTTCACAGACTTGATTTGTTTAATGGGAATGAAAAATAAACTGTACAAATTATGTTCCAGCGAAAATAGTGATTCTCGAGTAACTCCACTAACTGTCGTTCTTTTTATGGTAGTAATTATTTTCTTCTCAATCTTGTCTTTTGTAGCCTAAACCAATATCAGTCAGTCTACAAACGAGTGTTGGGGGGATTGGGGGCATCCTGGTATAAAGTGGTATAGAGAACGGACTACCTCTGCCCCTCGTTATCCAAGCAGATCAAGTTTTTTTAAACGTTTTTTTTTGGTTAGGTTTTTTGTAAAGGGGAGGGGGCACAATTCCGAAAACACACCTTTCTGTGCGTTTTTGTGTCAACAATTTGAAGAGAGGCATTTCTTATGTGCAGAGTTAATAATGTATGGCGCATTAGTTTAAAAAGTGGGACACAAGCCGGTTGACAACCCCCGCCCTTTATCCTCCACCGCTCATTATACCCATATTATTTTCTACGTTCTCTTAAAGATAAATAGATAAATATAGAGGAAAAAATAACAGAATCAAACGAAACTTACATCGAATTATAAATAAATAACATGTGCCGAACACTTTGGTAGAAAATGTATAGTGGCTGAGTAATAAGCATAGAAAGATAAGGAAATCCGGGTAAGTAAAAAAAAATCACGTGAAATCCGGATTTAGGGTGTATTTTGGCTTCAGAAGAAATCCTCGTTTAGGGGTGTCTGGCAAACGTGTGGTCACGCATGCTTACAGTATTTCTATATGAGACCCCCGGGCACACAGCCAAGCCGACTCTAAACCAACCGATTCCTGTCCATCTGAGAAAATGTAATTTTGATTGTCGATCTGCTGTCGGTTATCTGTTGATCTCGTCGACGTAACTGGAGTATAATCGTGGATTTTTTTTGTTGTTGAAGTTATGTGAGCAATTGCTCGATCATTGGTATCCGAGAGTACCTACATACCATTATGAAAGATCTTCCGGTTTTTACATAATGCCTTCTGGTTTCTTTCGTTTATAATAAAGATCTGTTTTCTAATGATCAATATCGTTCTTTGTAAAAAAAAAAAAAAAAAATATGCAGGATTTGTAAATGCCCAATAAAATGGTAAGTGCATGTCCGAACAACTTTCAATCAATCGCATGCCCAATTCAGATGTCATTTCCCTAAATTTGTAGAAAAAGAAAATTCATGATTAGATTTCAAAATCAGTTATAAGTGACCAAAACTTTGTTTGACATGTTTGAATGAGGGGTGGCGGTAAGGAAACTGGGGTCGGTAAGGAGAGCTTCTAAAATGGCAGTTTAGGCGTTACTCAATGATAATCGTTTCCCTGGGACGAAGATCTAGCAAAATACGGGAATCGAAATCCACCGTTGGAGTAGTTTTTTTTTAATCACTTCGTTTGAAGTGGAAATCTACGCTCAAAATAGTGAAATCCAATGTCAAAGGAGTAATTCAACATCTACTATGGAGTAGATTCACTATAGTTTGGAATGAATTCGATTTCGCAAAAAAATAAAATAATGCATGACTCCTGAAAACAAATAAAAGAAACGTAATTCCACGCTTCATGATTGTTAGGTACTATAAAATGCCGGGATAAACTAATTCTGTCCCTTCCGTCATATCTTAATATAGCATCGTTATTGTTATTGTTGAACTGTTTATCCACCTGCATGACGTATTGTCCTGTTGATATACTCGTGCATCAAGCATCTATCGTCATGTGACCTTACTTTCACACCTAAGTATGCATATATTAAATGCATGCCCCTCCCCTTCAAATTAGGAAAGGAAAATGAAGAGAAAGGGGGGTTTGATCAGGAAAGGTAAATGAAGAGAAAGACGGGTTTGATCAGGAAAGGTAAATGAAGAGAAAGACGGGTTTAATTACATGTATAAGAGAAGGAAAGTGAAAGAACACACAAACCTACCCAACCACTCTACAATGCAATCCCTGCTCAGTCATCATTTGTATTCCCCCCTCCCCCACCTCCGCTGGACAAAAATTATGCACGCTACTCCGCTTTGCATTATAATACACTTTATACAGAATTCTGATATATTTTAATATTTTGTTTGTGGTCTTCTGTTGATGGGGGTTTGTTTTTTCATTTTTGTATTTATTCGTTCGTTCGTTCGTTCGTTCGTTCGTTCGTTCGTTCGTTCGTTCGTTCGTTTTGAAAATGTGTTTGTTTTTCTTCATTGTATTGCGTTTCAAGGTCTCATATTAACAAATCGTAATCATTTAGGCCTATTAGGACCGTAGAGTTCATATGGTCTATCGGCTAAAAACATAGCAAAGTAAAATAGTCAAGGAGAATAATTTATACTCCTTTCTTTAAAGGTACTATGTCCCTTTTGCAGCCAATCTCAATTGCTGTAGAACTTTGCAGGAATTATGAATATGGCATGTATGTCCTATCTGTGAAATGTAAACGTTAGCAGTGTCCTCATATTCAAATTATGCAAGGAAACCCGTTTACTTGCTAGACTTCACTGTCAGACACTATTGAGTGACTGACTGGCCTTTTTTCTTCTTTGGTAATAACATACATGAAAAGAGTTGTAAAGGGTACACGAGCATTTGTCTACATCAATAACCCACTTCTTGTGATGGCCAAGATTAAACTGATTGAATCTTTGCGCAGCATAAAACGTATGACCATTCGGTACAATTGTCTGAATATCAAGACTATTACTTTTGGGCTCTATAGCCCTAAAGTCGATTTGACAACTAATAGTCATTATTTTCCCACTTGAAGACATTTTCAAGCCCCAACTTTTTTAGGGAAGTTCTAAATTAGTATTATCTTTCAAATGCAGTTGGAATTTAACTTTTTCATTTTTTGGCCTGCAAATGGGACATAGTACCTTTAAAACCCAAGAGCCTGTTCCGGGAAGAAAAAAAATTTAGAGCGTAGAATAGTGTGATTTTTGCCAAACAAGGTTCCATCCTCTAACATTGTATAACTGTTACAGCAACGAATTTCATCATGGCATTTTCTTTCATGAAAGCCTTTATATATAGATACAAACCGTACAGTGGAACAGATATGGATGCCTTTTCTATGACAATAAGTGACCCAGTTTTCAAAACGTATCATTGATTTTTATTCATACGTCTACCAGTTGCTATTGACAACTTCATACCATTTTTACGTCAGGGTTTATCACAATCTGTATTTGTTTGATAATTAAAATGCAATCAAATTTTGTAATGAATGGATGCAAAAAAATGAGTCATAAATCACTCGGGGGAAATTGGAATATACATTTTTGTATAGATTGGCTCTAGCTTTAGAAGTCAATTGATTTTACTTTCAAAAATAGGCATTTTGACGGATCCATAATAGAAGGGGGTTGATGATGATGATGATGATGATGATGACGATATTAATAGTAATAATAATAATAATAATATGATTCAGGTGCATGGGGGGGGGGGGGGTTAAGATTTTAAGTGGGGGCATGAGTAGTTTGAGAACTCAATTAGGGGGTACATGACTTGTGTTGTCTATGTTTAGGGATGCCCAGATTGGGTTTCAATCCCACATCCCCTTAAATCCGCCATCGCCCTTCCAAAATGAACATTGATCTTAGATATAGCTGTGACTGTAATTGTTGGTAGCATTTTTGATGACGTCAAGACACGCGGCTCTAAAAGATTTGTTTTCGGAGAGGGAAGGGGGTGGTGGTCTCATGACATGAGGTTTTTTTTTTTGGGGGGGGGGGATTGCTTTCATTTCCTACAATACCTTGCTTGAATGTATTCATAATCGATAACATTTTGGGGAAGCTTCAGGAAATGGGGGTTAAACCCCCAAGCCCCCTCTCGATGCACATGCCAACCGCTGATGACCCCTTAATAGGTCAGCAGCGTATTTAGACATGTTGATAATGACGTAAATGCCATCTCTCTCTAGATCGTGATTTCAACTAGGATTGTAAAATACGGTACTTTTAATGTTGTCTCTTTATAGGCACTAGTTTTCATAATCATCATCAATTAAGAAGAGAATCGTTGTAAATTATTATTTCGCACCATTTTGTGTAAAGAACCTGTGTCTAACAAAGAGAATAAGAAGAACTATTTGAGAAACTTATCGTAGCAAAATTTGTACACATTTCATATAGGACAGTA